ATGATTGTATATTTTATAATATATGTCAGCAACAGGACTGACAAGCAACCGCGACCAACCACAATACAGGCTAACATTAGCCTGGCTAGCAGCACAGAGTAGCATGTTGCCTTTAGCTTTTTACAGGCTGGGGGCTTTTGAACCAACCAGGTTTTCAACCTCATGACTTTTTCTTTTTCTTTTTTGTCCTTTGTCTGGATTAGGTTACGGCTATAACACGGTTATGTTCCAAAATTCAACACATCTAACAATAATTCACCCTACAGTGTCATTTGGTGACGCTTTATTCGGCATGCTGCAGCAATGCTGTAGAAGTGTGTAGACTGATATACATCAAATTCATGTTATGCATCATTTTAAACGATACTGTGCTTCAACACTCTTCCCCTGCCTGAATGGGAGACAATCTCTGCAGCCAGCTTCTTTTGGAAAAATCGGCCCCAAAGAGTGGAGGCTCTTGTCGTGCTGCATATGAGGCCCCCCTTTTTGTTGTTGCAGTAGATCTCGTGTTGACGACGCACATTCACACACATTATAGCAAGTGTTTCGGGGGAACGGTTGTGAGTCGGGCGGTCTGATGAAGGAGAGAGAAGAAACCCTTCCAGTGGCGTACGGCTTGCAGTAACAACTAAGACCTTTATTGAGTCAAATTCCAGGTCGGCTTATGGCCGCACGACCCGCCGTCTCCAACCAGGCCGATTATTGAATACGGCGTTTCACACACACCGGCGCACGCACGCACGCACACACACACACACACTGACACAAACACACACACAGCAAGCAACCGGAGGCCTGTTGTGGGGCGACATTGATGACGCGTGTTGGACGGGATAATCTCTCCAGCTGTACTCTCCCCCGTAGAGGAGGGAGGCTCATTTGGACCTTGCCCCCTCCTCGCCAAATAAAGCTCACTGAGGTTTTTCCACACACTGATGACCTCGATCCCTCCTTCCTGCTTTCTATATGTAGCTTGCCAAGTACCAGAATCGGCTTTGGTCTGTCATCTGTCATGGTGCAGCCCGACTGATTTGATGACTGCGTTTGTGTGCCGTGTTTTGTCGATGCTGCAGAAAGACTGACATGAAGAGTTCGCTCCACCTTCACACAAATGGACTTGGGTCACTTGGGTTACCGCAGTAACATGGCTGCACTGTAACTCGGCGACGTGTCTCCCTCTGTTGGTTCGATACGCACATCACAAATCTGATGAATGAAAATTAGTTTAAATGTAGTTTCCCACTGAGGTGTAACTTGTCATGACTGTTTGCAGCTCTTTCATAAAAGAGGGAAAACAGCTCCTTCACTTATCGTACAGTCTGGTTCATCATCACTGCGTTAAAGCCACGTTCAAGCTATTTTTTAATCAACACATTTATTTATTTGTATTTAATTTGAACTAATAAAAAAAAAAAACATTTATTACCATCAACGTGCAACGTTGATCATCAGCACTCTGTAGACTATTTACACCAGGGGTCTTCAACGTTTTTCAGGCCAAGGACCCCCAAACTGATGGCGAGATGGAGCAGGGACCCCCTATTCTACAGGGTTTCGTCCGCCATCTTTTATTTTTGAGCTTTGCGCTTTTACGTGAGCATGAACGTGATCTGATTGGCTGGTGCCTCTGCTGTCGTATCAGCATGAAAGGTGCTGTAAATGAACCGGTGCCCAGCTTGAGAGCTGCTGTGGGAAGCTGGATGTGTGTTTTGCGGACTGACAGATGACGTCTTCTCCATTAATTTATCCGTTTGCTACAATATGTTGGATTTATGTTAATGTGTAACATAAAGAAGACAATAAATACAATTATGATTCTGAAGACATTTAAATTTGTGGAAGAAAAATTGTCTTATCAACCAAAAATTTCGCGACCCCCCTGCAGTACCTCCGTGGACCCCCAGGGGGTCGCGGACCCCCTGTTGAAGACCTCTGATTTACACAATCATTTATATCAGTTTTGTTTTAATGTAAGCTGTGATGTCACAGAGACTATTGGCCATTGGTCCTACAAATCTTTCAATCAAAGGCCACTGGCTGCACCTACTGTTTGTTTTCGTCACGCAGCAAGAGGACGAATTGTCCAGGCAATCGGTTCCTTTTGTTCAGATTTTATTTCCAAAGAAAACAACAAACACATACAATTGGCTTGGCTGCCTTCCTATGCAGTGCTCTGACTCGCTGCCTCGCTGGTAAAAAACTACGTGTCACCCAGGTGCATGCTGGTCCTACACCTGGCTATGCCCTTACATAACCCCCAGGTGCCCACAGTATTAGCCAATTAATTAGTGGTATAATTACCCAAACAATTAACCCAAACTACACATACAAATGATTAAACCAATCTTAATACTATGTCAACAGACAATAATATTTAAGAATAAATAACTAAATAATAGCTCCCACAGAGGCCCATACGTCATATCTGGTCACATCAAGTGGACCTGATGATTTGTCATGATGGTGTGATATTCAAACAGAACATGTCATTGGAATGATGCATTGGTATTTGAGTTTTTTTAATTGTTTGTTTTCTTGAGGCTATTTTGAGAAAAATATTCTTTACAGTGAAGAATAGCCAATATAGAGCAAGAGTTCACGAGTAGCTGATAAAAATAATAGCGATATTTTAATGAAAAGGACGCCCTAACCACATTGTTAGACTTTTAGTTTAGACTCTAGGAGCGAGTTCTCGCATGCAATTCCTGGCTGATGGTAACAATCTGCGTGTGCAAGATGCGTTGACAAGGTGACAACCAAAGCCTCTTCAGTGAATGAAAGTGGTGCAATCACCAGCAGGACGTCCCGACGACGGCTTGAGGTGTGAAGCTCTGCAGCCGCCACTAGGAGACAGTCTCGATCTCATCACTCCAGAGGGGACGGTGCACTATACGGTAAAGGTACCGCCGATGCCTTTCTTTACATTGAGCATGAATTGAGAGGCCGTGTCGGGTCTGCAACCCTGCTTTGAAAAGATTTGTAGTTGAAAGCGTGCTCTGCAGCCACTAAGTACTAAGTCTGAGATGGCCCATACCAATCTGCACTCATTCTGGGTTCTCCATTATTTGAAAAGTCACAAAATGTTATTTCAATAAAAATTCATGTACAATTTTTGGGGAGGGGGCGATAGGGCGTGAACATTTTTCTTCCTCCAAAGGGGGCCGTGACAGAACCACTGGCTTTCCTTTTAAAGTACGTCAGTCACAGACATGAAAGGCTCATTATCATATTGTTGCCATGGTGCTTCAAACTCAGGACAGGACGAAACCAGGCATGACAACGAGCTGTGTGAAGTTAGCTATTCACTGGTGTTCCGCATGATACCCGAACCCGGAGCAGAAAAGTACCAGTTTGTGTTGTTTTCAATAAGATGACCTCTGTCGCTCCTGTGAGGAGGATTCTCGACGACACAGGTAAAGACCCGCGCCATGCAATTTTAAACAGCCATTCGTCGGCCATGCAGATTACTGCTAAGCTGCCGTTTGATATTCATTAATTCATTACATCTGCGCCGGCCTTATTGGACAAGCTGCACATTTCTGGTCAATTCCAATTTCATGCTGAAAAATAGATGAGCTGATGCTTTTCTCCATCAATTCACTTTAATTAGAAGCCAGTGGTGCCTGCAGCTTCTGGATTTAAATCCTTATACACCAATTCTTACAGTCGAGAAAAGTGGAAAAGCATTGTGGGAACTTGTAGTTGATGTCTCTGTCTCTAGTGACCTGGTTGGTCTTTTCGTTGTCATTTTCTCCAGCGATCGCCAGTCTGAGTGTTCGGAATTTATTCGTTTAGAAATGTCCAAGAACTTACACGTCTAATTCAAGTGTCTCAGCATATGCTGACTCATATTAGTCCAATGTGTTTACATCCTAATCGTAGTTTTGATTAACATCCCCAAGGATAGAAGTTAATCATTAAAAAAATATTCACTTAGAAATGTAAGAAGTTAAACTTCAGTTTAACACCGTTACATCAACTGAAAACATTGCACGAATATTTACATCATTAAATCAAGTGGATATTTGTTGGAATGTTTGCTAAAAGCTGTGTATGTGTGTGTGTGCGTCGCTGATGAGTGAGGCAGGTCAGTGAAAGGTGGACCTTTGTCCAAGATGGGACATTATTTATTCATGCCGACTGATCTGCCCCGTTGGCCTAATTGCACCGGCAGGAGCCCAACTACCCGCGGAGTCTTCTGCAGCCGCTCAGGCTCACGTTTCCAGCGCGGTCGGCTACGAGCAACGCCACGCTTCTTATTTACATTTGCCCGCCTCGGATTTCACTCTGTAAGCAAGACGAGTTTGTGTCTGTTTGGATGCGAGGTGGCAGGAGTGGAAAGACGCGGGACGGTTTTACAGGAGTCTCATGGCAGTGGGGAGGTCTCCGTATGCTGCTACTTGTTGTGTGTTTGTGATTGTGTGTGTGTGTGTCTCCCCTCTCAAACAGCGGGCCCCGGCGAGGACCACAAGGTGCCTCCGCCAATTCAACTTCATCGTCTCCAGTCTCAGTCACCAGGTAAGATAGATAATGACGATATTTAATCACATTCAGAAGTTTTTCAATCTACAGCTTCTCTCAACATTGAGACGAGTTCGGAGAAGCGTGATCGATGATGTTAACAGCAGCCGTATTTTACTGTGAAAGGACAGACAAGACTCCTAAATACACCCGCGTGGCCTCAGGCTACAGTGAGCTGCCGCCGAGCTGAACGCACCAGTTAGACGCCACAACTTTGAAACTTTACCCTTAAAAACGTCCCTTTGGAACCACCTATCGTTCCATACGATTATCTATGAAACCTGTTTCTGTTTCAGGCAGAGCACCTACAGTGTCAATCAACTGTCAACTTCCGTGTCTCAAGGCAACGATGTCCATTAACACCCCCCCCCCACCCCCCTCTGTGCAGCCTCTCCTCCATCAGATCAGACCTACTTGCAGGCGGCGGCCATCTTTCACCGGCTGCGCACAGAGAAGCCGGTCGAGCAACAGCTCCTGCAGTATGGGAGGAGGACGGACACGCCGCCGCCGCCGCCGCCAGAGAGCGGATTCAACCCCCCCCACCGCCTGCCACTGAACGCCTACCAACTCGCCTTCGATACACTCAAATGTACTGAGATGAACGTAGAGGAGCATAAAGTCGGAGGAGAAATTTGCTTTCCCTGCAGAACCGTACCCCCCCCCCCCCCCACAGAAGGCCTTATCTCTGTGCTGAGTGTCGGGGAGCTGCAGCATGCACGTGTCCCAATATGCAGTGTTGAACAGCGGCTTCAACTGCGGATTGTAGATTAAATAGTATATAGCCGAAAATTTCATTCCTCCTGCAAATTACTTGAGCAGATGTCTGTGTAGGAGGTGATAAGAGCCATGGAAACACACACACACACACACACACACAAATCTACGTGTGCGCACTCGTACGGCAAGCACACAGTATTTGACTGCACGCGGTATCTTTTTATAGTTTGTGCACTTAGCACAATGGATTTCAATGGACTCGTGGTTCCGTGTTGCAGAAAGACATTTAAAGCTTCGCTGATGGAATATTTTCCTATTATTATTGCGTCCAATACGGTAAAAAGAGGAAAGGGTGCTGATCTAATGTTGAACCCTCAGAGCTGAATCACCCTCAGCTCTTTAGAGCATTTCTGCTCAATTGTGTGTTCATTTCACCCTCGACTTTACTCTCCCCGCTCTGATCAACGTCATCTCCTCTGAAGGAGATCAAACCAGAGCAAAAAGGAGATGGAATATATGTTGACCTTTATCAGGTGACCGGAAACGCCGCTTTAAATTAAAAACAATGTTCCTGTGAATGTGCCAAGAGGAAGCTGATAGCTGATAGCTCAGATATCCAAGACTAGAACTTTATGATTTCCGGTCACATCTCTTTGCGGGGAGTCTGCATGTTCTCCCCGTGTCTGCGTGGGTTCCCTCCGAGAAAAAACAGCTTTTTCAAAATGCATTTTTGATCCTTGTTTTGTCATTTTGAATGAAGCTTTTAGAGCCCCAGTGTGTTTAAAATGCATCCTACTGATGTTGCGATCATTTTGTTGTCCATTAACAACATTGTTTTATTTCCAGACCAAGATCTACTGGAGGAGACGATTGCTGAGAGCTGCTTTCAGACGTCCCAGAACATTGTGAGTCCCACCAGATTTGACTCCCCAACCAGTCACTGGGAAACCAGGCGCTATCCAAAAAACACATGGCAGGTTATTCACCATCTGTCCATCAAACTCGAATCAAAGCGAACCAGGAGAAGAAACCAAAAACATATTTTCATTCATTCCATCTATGTTTTTTTATTCAGTGAAGAAATAATCTCCAGCTCCGATGTGACTGATGCTGCCGAGGAGCCTCAAACTAAAGCTACAACGCACTTTAGCACTTATTAAATGCGTCCGTACAGATGCTCTGGTCAGTGGAAGGTAAAGCAGTGAGGATGCAGCTAAAGAGCATTTGTATTCAGATCCGTACGTAGTCGTGTTATAGATGCAGAGGAGGCAGATGCACTCCCCAACAGGGAGACCATCAATTACACTATAAAACACAAGAAATACACTTAGGCTGTCTGCGTGTGTGTGTGTGTGTGTGTGTGTGTGTGTGTGTAGGATTATTTTATTGAGGGATGGGTGACACATACAGAACAGGCTGACAGATCATTAGAATGAAAGTGTGACAATAAAACCAATCACGCATCTCTTTGTGATTCCACACACGTCTCTGCTGCAATATAGCCTACTGTAAACGCACACATGCACCTAGAAAAGAGATGAGGGAAATGATAGCGTGTTGGTTGTCATACAGGAAAGAAGACTTTGAATACGTTTTACAAATTCAAAATGGATTCAACATGATTGCCGGAAATTGGTTGTTTGTAGTGACAAAAAATCCCCCCATTGCACCAAACAGAGACAGTTGACTTGTGAACATAATAATAACAATACATTTAATTTGTAATGCACTTTATATTTAAGAAAATCCCATAGTGCTACATGATAAAACTGTTAAGTTTTACATAGTGGTGAATAATGATGGATGGATTCATGTGCTGCCCTCTCTGCATCGGAGAACAGAGGCAGCGGATGAAGCAGAAATAACACAAGCAGTCACGTTTGCAGCTCTAGTAATGTGCCAAATAACCAGAATGAAAGTGGCAGTGCATGTGAGGCAGGACCACCGTCCAGATGAGTCCAGATGAGTCCAGATGAAACCACCGTGCAGAACCCTGTGAGGAGACAAAGCACAGACCTCCGACTGATGGTTTAATTGACTGATTTTAGTTTCTGGGCTTAGTAGAATAACTTTGTTTTCAACATCAGGAAGTTGCATGTCTTTTTTATTTTTTTTTTGCAACCGAATGTGGCGCCCCCTGATGGTCGGAGGACAGAATGCAAGTTGTCTTCGCTGGGCAGAAGCGGTTGCCGTCTGGATGAGCCGGGGGCCCGAGGTTTAAGAGGCGTCAGCGTTATGTTTACTGTGGCCAAAGATATTAACGCATTAGTATTATCACAGCGGTGGGGGGCATCACACCGACGATGATTCCCACCGACAGCAGAAGCTTCAGCTGGTCGTGACTCACTGGGACTGAGCTTCTCTTGACATGACGAGTCAACGGAACGACGTCTATCCATCTTGCATTTCGATAGTCTGTGAGATGATGAAGATGAAGAAAGTGCTGTGCTTTGCAGTGCGGCGACTCGTTGCCGTTGGCGATGGTGATGCTGTTCGACTACCAGGACCGACGGTTTTTCTCACGTAAGCGTTCCGCGACGGAAGAGGAGCAGCCTTCGCAGGAAGTCAGGGACATGGAGGGCAGTCTGCAGAGGTGTGTGTATGTTTGGGGGTCGGAGGTGGGGAACGTGTTTCTTGTGTAGTTGAGCTGTACATCACACAAACTGAAGGCACAAATACAGCACTGCAGTGTGTTCAGGAGGAATGTGTGTTTGTGTGTGTTGGTTACAGGCGTAAAACCAAGCTGGCAGCCACTCTCGCTCGCTACATAGTGAAGCATAGGCTGCAGGGCGTCTCCTGCTTCCTCTCTGAGGGTGTCAGGACCAAACAGCAGCGAGCAAAGCTCCTGCCAGTGTACGCGTGGGTCAATACTCTCCAGACCAGGTACGCCGTCTCTCTCACACACACACAAAGCTCTTCTCTTTCTTGCGGCAACTCAAGTACATTTTGGTACAACCAACTTTGTACAAGTGGACGTCGTGACGTCACCCATTGATTCATGGACGCATGTTTTCAGGTCTTTCGGAACCATTGAACACGAGTTACCGTATTTGGAATATGGATGAGTTGGTTAGAGACGTTGTGTACAGCTCTGGTGGCAGCAGCGACCTGCCAATCAATGGAAGCCCGCCCTAAAGCATAATCCCCTTTATGGGCTGTTAGACTCTAGATGGACTGCAATTTACTAAATAAACATCATGCTGTGATGAAGGAGAGCAGAAAATAGAGATTGAGACCATGAACTCATATTTACAATGTTTCCTGAGGCAATAAATAAAGAGAGAAGTAGGTTTATTTCCTTATAGACTTCTATACAATCAGAGGAGTCTCCCCCTGCTGGTCAGTAGAGGGAATGCAAGCTTTGAACACAAGCATTGGCTTCACTCAGCAGGACGGAAGGTTGCCAACTGGAACTGATCTGTGTTAGCAGGTGAAGTGTGTGCTGCTCAGTTCGGGGTGGAGGGACGCTGAGTTTAATGGAGAGTTCACTGAAACCGAGAGGTTCCGCATGCGAACAGCGTGAGTGAACAGAAACATCTCCTCCCCTCCGTAGTGTTGAGGACGTGTGTGCGGCCCTGCGAGCGGTCGGACTGCGTGAAGTGGAGCTGCCGGTGGACCTGACGGAGGAGACGTTCTGCAGAGACCCCCTCTGTCCGGACACACTGGTCTTCTCCCGGCAGCTTCACAGCAGCCTCACGGGCACAGAAGCACTCAACGCACAGGTGCTGCATGAACACGCGTGTGCTCACCAAAGACAAACTTTTGCACTTTACTTTATAAAAACACAACAACGCCCCTCCCATCCAGGACAGGAGCCTGTGCGTGGCGGTGAGCGCGTTACGCCCCCTGCTGGTGGACAAAGGCGACGTCCTGGTGGCGGGGTCCTTCTCGGCCGTGACCGTGGCTCACGTGGCCGTGGCGGCGGCGGCCCGCTCCGGCCGGGCGCTGGTGTGCGGCGGCGACCACACAGCCGCGCAGCTGGAGGAGATGCGAGAACTGCTCGAAGGGATGGACATCAAAAGTGGGCAATGAAAAAGCACTTGTGTGTAAAAAGCGGAGGCCGTTTGTACAAATGTGATGGACATCTTTTTGGAATATTTCCATTTTAATTTCCGTTCAAATTGGTGCCCGACATAGACGCGCGCGTCCTGTCCGAAGCCTTCTGCGGCCTTGGCGAGGGCGACGCCGCGGTCCAGCGCTTGAAGGTCATCTTGGTGCTGCCCCAGTGCTCGTCCTCCGCGCTCAGTGACCCCGTGCCCACCATCCACAGCGAACACGGAGGTACGATGAGACGCGCGGATAATTGATAGCGGTATAGCGATCCATGTCATTTATAACACGCTCCACCTTGTTGCCAGCGTGGGACCTGCTGCCAGACTTGTGTCACGAATCCGTGAGCCGCAGCAAAATACACAAAATGGCCAACGAGCAGGCCAGACTCCTGGCACACGCTCTCTGCTGTGAGTATGCATGCAAAGGAGAAAGCACACACACACACACACGTATGCACTAATGCAACAATGTCATGTCTTCTCCGTCAGTCCCAAAGGTCCAGACGGTGGTCTACTGCACACGCTCAGTGTATCCCGAGGAAAATGAACAGCTGGTGAAAAGAGTGTTGGAAAAGACACACACTCACCCCAAACTGCTGCCCTTCAGGTCCAGACACACACACACACACACACACCTGCTCTCTTTTTATGGAGTATTGCATTGTTAAAGCAGACTTATTATTACTTGCCGTACTGAAAATATTCACTCTATTGGTGCATCAAATAGTCAGCAAGTGGGTGGAAATAAGAAGTCGTAGATGCAGATCCTGATAACACAAATCAAAACGAGTAAAGCATAGTCAGTGTGGAGATGTACCGAACCTTCAGGGACCTTTATTTTATGCTGATTACAGACTGCAGGGGAGAGAGAGCGAGTAGATAATGTCTGACTCACGTGAACATGACAGCATATCCCACACATCCACTTTAAATACTGTGTAGAGAGTGTGAGCGAGCGTATGGATGAGCTGCGGTTGCCGTGGGGACGGTGGTCGGGGTGAACGGGGGGGAGAAGACGTCACGTCTGCTGCTCCACACGGCGCGTTTCTCCCCATCGATCCAAACGTCATCATATTCTGTCACATAAGCTCTTCCATTCAATCACTGGGTTTGTCTTTTCATTTTTTGATTTCGATTTAATTTCTTGAAGTTATATGCTTCAAGTAGTGGGAGGTAACAAACAGCACATCTGTACTGCTTATGTGCATAGATTTATTTTAGTTCCTGTTTTGATTCTTAAGTTCAACAGATTTTCAGAAAACTATCACAACGCTCACAAAGTCATGAAAATACTTCACCAGAGCAAAGAATAATGCTCTGGGCATAGACTTTATTTTTGTTTCTATCCAGCTGCAGGAGGATGGAAGTGAGAACAAATTTACGCTTTCTTAGAGAACGGTACTTGCTTTCAAAAACAGCTTTGCAGTGAGAATTGTCCCATCAGCAGATCATCTCCATGTTTAGACGCCATTTGGTGCTGTGAGAATTGCTAACCAGTGCCGAGGACGCCAGATGTTGAATGTGCAGGAGCTTCAGTCTGTCCTGTGGTTCCCCTCAGAACTTGATTCTTGTGTGCATCATTTTTCCTGTAACGTGTTTCTGAAGGAATGTGACGGCTTCAAGTGGGAAATGACACGTTTTCTCTCTCAGGTTGAACGGCCCCATTTTCCCCGACGACTCTGGGTCCGGTGTCACGACGGACTCCAGGTTCCTCTGGATCCAAGCGTCCCAGTTCACCAACGGCTGCTTTGTCGCACGGCTGTCTCGACAGGTGAGAAGCGTAAAGAGTGTGTGTGTGTGTGTGTGTGTGTGTGTGTGTGTGTGTGTGTGATTGCTTTGTGACGAGACCTTGCGGTAATGCTGAGGCTGCACTCTTTTACTGTTCGTCTGCTGGGAGGTCGGTTGGCTTGTTTAAACACACACACACACACACACTCACACACACATACTCCCCCCACCCATAAAACGTAAATATAGGAGGAAATTAGATGCTCCTCCTTTGATCCCCTGCAGCTCAAAATCCCCCCCCCAATATAAACACACACACACACACACACACACAGGGGGACCATCCATAGCAACTTACATTACACTTTAAACCCATGGCTTTTTCACAGTTTTTGCCCGGGGAGCAATTAGGGGTTAGGTGTCTTGCTCAGGGACACTTCCACATGGAGCATGGGGCAGCCTGGAATGGCAGCACGCTGCACGCTGGCTCTGGGCGGACCGCGACACGGAGCTCTCCGGTGGAGGAATCTGCTTCTACTTCAACAACAGCTGGTGCAACGACGTAACGGTGATCCTAAAACACTGTTCTCCTGATCTGGAAACTTTCTTCATCAACTGCAAACCTCTTCCCCCCGTGAGTTTGCTTCATTCATCCTGGATCACTGTGCTATCAAACCACAGTAAGCAGGGCTTATCACTGGGACACTCTGACCACGTCATGGTCCATCTGATTCCTGCATACAGGCAGAAACTAAAGCTCTGCAAACCTGTGGTGAGGGAATTCAAGAAGTGGACCAGTGAGGCGCTGGAGGATCTTCGGGCGTGCTTTGACTGCACAGACTGGGATGTTTTCAGGACTGCTACTGACAGTCTGGATGAGTTCACAGAGGCTGTAACTTCCTACATCGGCTTCTGTGAGGACAGCTGTGTACCATCATGCACCAGGGTGAGTTACAACAACGACAAACCCTGGTTCACAGCGGAGCTCAGAACACTACGCCTGCAGAAGGATCAGGCATTTAGGAGTGGGGACAAAGACTTGTACACAGAGGCAAAATACAAGTTTAGCAAGGCGGTGAGAGACGCTAAACGACTGTACTCTGAGAAACTCCAACAACAGTTCTCAGCAAGTGACTCTGCTTCGGTCCGGAGAGGCCTCACACACCTCACCAACTACAAACCAACAACCCCCCACTCCATGAATGACCTCCGCCTGGCAGACGAGCTCAATGAGTTCTACTGCAGATTGGAAAGACAATGTCCTGATCCCATCCCCCACAGCGCTGTGCTGACCAGCCGTCTCCGGTGTTCACTGACATCTTCAACGCCTCCCCGGAGACATGCCACGTACCAGCCTGCTTCCCCCCAAGGCTGCGTTCTTTCCCCTCTGCTCTTCTCCCTGTACACCAACAGCTGCACCTCCAGTCACCAGTCCGTCAAGCTCCTGAAGTTCGCGGATGACACCACCCTCATTGGACTGATCTCTGGTGGGTACGAGTCCGCCTACAGGTGGGAGTCTGACCATCTGGTGTCGTGGTGCAGCCAGAACAACCTGGAGCTCAACGCTCTAAAGACAGTGGAGATGGTTGTGGATTTCCGGCGGAACAGAACCCCACCTTCCCCCATCACCCTGTGTGACTCCCCCGTCACTATTGTGGATTCCTTCCGTTTCCTGGTCTCCATCATCACCCAGGACCTCAAGTGGGAGCTGAACATCAGCTCCATCACAAAGAAGGCTCAGCAGAGGTTGTTCTTCCTGAGGCAGCTGAAGAAATTCAACCTGCCAAAGACGATGATGGTCCACTTCTACACGGCCATCATGGAGTCCATCCTCTGCTCCTCCATCACCGTCTGGTACGCTGCAGCCACAGCCAAGGACAAGGGCCGGCTGCAGCGTGTCATCCGCTCTGCAGAGAGGCTGATCGGCTGCAATCTGCCGTCCCTGCAGGACTTGTTCGCTTCCAGGTCTCTGAAGCAGCTAAAAAGATCGCGGCCGACCCCTCCCACCCCGGACAAAAACAGTTTGTGGCCCTTCCATCGGGCAGGAGGCTGAGGTCCATCAGGACTAAGACCTCCCGCCACACCAACAGTTTCTTCCTGTCGGCAGTCGGGCTCATCAACAGAGCCGGTCCCCCACTGCCTGACTATAACATTCCACCGGTCACTCCCCCTCACACTGCACATGCCACTTTAACTGTAATTTTTCACTCGTTACTTTGTTGCCACTCGTCACTTGTTCGATAGTGCACTTTATTTTTTTTATATTTTGTAACTTTTTAAATATTTTTAACTCTATTCTCTTATTTTATACTAACCCATAGCCTTATTCTACTAACCCATTGCATTAGCATTTTTTTTTATTACTTGTGCACTGCTGTCTTGTCTATTGTTACACTGTCTACTGCCACGCACCAACCGCCAAGACAAATTCCTTGTATGTTTGACATATTTTGGCAATAAATGTTTCCTGATCCTGATTCCTGATTCCTGATTGTCATCCAGCACCTTGGTTTGTCCCACAATTTGGTTTTACGACGGAGTGATACTCCAGTTAATCTCAGTCCCAACTAAAGTGAGATGGCGAACATGGCTAACGTTAAATCTGCTAACCCCCTAACCGTAGTTTGCATATAGCTCAAAGATAAGGGGCGGCTGGAACTATTAACAATTAACGCAGCCTCACTATTCGTATCATGTTCTGACAAGTTAGCAACGTGTCAATTCCGGCCTGTTACAGAAAAACAGTCTTTTCAAAAAAAACTTCCATCACTGCAGGAAACAACTCACAGGTTTGGCTGCAGAGGGACTTGATTAGGTTGAGGGAAAGATTGTGAAATATCTATTCAGTTGTAGGCAACAAATCTACTTCATACTAATAGATGTTTTAGCTTTAGTAAAGTTTGCAGTTTCGTTCAAAGCTACTAACTCCAAATGCTGGACGAGACCAAGCCTGAAACACCATGTGGCCTTTCCTCTGTCATTATGGCTCATTTCTACCGGCTGGTATTTTGCTGTATATATTCATCCCCAGAGACCTGTAGTTTTACTGCGTGGCGTCCGTGCTGTAAATGTGCCCTTGGTTTTTAGGCGGATCCAACCAAGGTAGAGACCATCCACGATGTGCTGGCCAGGGCAGCGGCAAAGGGCCTCCTCGGCGGAATTCTTCCTGAACAATCAAAACCCGGTAAGAGGGGAAAAAGGAGGAAGAATGGCATCGCTTCAGCCGGCAGCAAACCCTCGTCCCCCTCGAGCCAAGAACGGCAGACGGGGAGCAATGCGGCGAATGGAGAAGATCCGGACGCAGCTTCAGAGCACAATGGAGAGAGAGGTGAATGTGGCGAGGAGGGAAAGGAGGGAGAGCGGGGTGGAAAATGTGGGAAGAAGAAGAAGTTGAAAGGAACCAAGCACAAGGCCAAGGGGCAAACCAAGGGGACAAACGAAGCCTCAAAGCAAAACCACAAGAGCCGCACGAAGAAATCAACAAAAACCAACGTCAACCAGTCACATGTCAAGAGGCAGAGACCCAGGAGAATACCTCGACTCACACTATCCTTAATGTCCTCCTCAAAGTCCTCCAACCACCTGCATCCAATCACGGCCCTCGCGCACAAGCTGAGGAACGGTCCGACCATCAAATCCCAGCAGGCGGACTTAAGCGGCCCGTCCCCTGGCCGTCCCAAACCCACCGCGGCCTCCAAGCAGGTGCACGCAGGAAGCGGCGAGCACCACAGGGCGGAGGGAAGGCGGACGGAGGAAGCTGGACCAAAGGTCAAAGGAAACTGTGAGACTGTGTTGAAGCCCCCAGATTCTGTCCTGCCACCCATTTGTTCCCCGTCCCACGGCTCGGTGAGCGCTAGCTCTCTCTGTCTCCGTCTGTCCCGGACGTCCCTCTCTCAGGCTGGCCACACGTCCGCCTCGTCCTCCTCCGTCGACCTTCCCAGGTTATAGAGAAGATTCCACGTTCCCCGATGCTGTTATACATGAAATGATTTGCATGTTCTGCACAATAATTACAAGTAATATTACAACTAGAAAATGCATTTCCTGCTGAAAATGCGTTGGAATGCAAAAAGCTGAAATTAATTTTAAAAAATAGCTGAAATTACAGATATTAGAAAAGCTGAAATTAATTTGAAATTGCTGAAAATACAGAAATGGGAGAAGCTGCATGGAATTTCAATAGATTTGCTGAAAAAGCAGAAATGAAAACAGCTGAAATAAATGTGAAATATTGCAAAAGAAATACAGAAATAAATATTAAAACATTGCTGTTAATACAGGCATAAGAAAAGCTGAAATTATTTTAAAGAACTGCTGAAAATACAGGAAGTGGGGAAGCTGAATTTCAATAGAATTTCTAAAAAATACAGAAGTTGCTGGAGCTTAAATGAATTAAAAAAAATACAGAAATAACAAAAGCTGAGATAAAAAGAGGTTTTAAATTGTTTGTAGTAATATTAATAGTAGTATAGTTGTAATTGTGGTATTAGTAGTACTAGCAGTAGAAGTCGGTTTCGTATCAATAGCAGTAGTAACAGCTGTAATACCAATACTATTAGCCATAGTAGTATTTGCAATAACATTAGTAGTAGTTGTAGTATTAATAGCAGTAGAAATACTAGTAGTATGGTAGTAGAAGTATCAGTTGTAGTACTACTAGAAGTACTAGTAATATTCTTAGTGGTTGTAGTGGTATTTGAAAGAGCAATACGTATTTCAACGAAACCGCTTCATTCTGAGCTTCATGGTTAAGGTACAGATAATCATTGAGGCTTTTATTTTGAAATGATGGAATTGGGTGAGGGGGGTTGGGAGACAGAATGTTTGTTATTCAAACTAAGAAGTTATTAATTGATAGGCCTCATCACAAACATTACAGTAAGAATTCCCTCCATGGGGCTTTTATTTTGAAATTATTGGATTGGTTGGGGGGGTGTAGATAGAGAGAGGGAGGGTGAGAGGGTGAGGAAGGGAGGGGTGGTGAGGAAGAGATAGAGGGAGAGAGAGAGAGAGGAGAAGAAATAGACAGACAGACTGACTGAGTGATTAACAGTGAGAAGAGGTCAGGGTGGAGTGGGGAGGGGGGGCGAGTGTCTTTATCATATTGGTCTGTTGACAAAAAGCATAGCTGCGTCATGTGACTCCACTAATCAGGTCATAGGAGCAGCTGTGAGTCACATTCAGAGATACTGCAGCGTGTGTGAGCGAGTAACCACGGTAACGGCGCTCCTGTGCTCATTAACGAGCTGCTGCAAAGGGCAGACACAGGACAGCGAGTTACACAGAATCCACACCTCAAACAAGTGTCCACCAGCGCAAAACTATAACAGCTATCTAAAAAATAAGAGGTTGTTGCGAGACCCAAGACTCTACGGAACGCATCGATGTGTTTTTTATGTCTGGCCTGTCACGGTGTGGTGCCCTTCCTGTCGTATTTTGTAGTTTTCTGCCACTCGTGTCCTCGGGTAACTTCACTTCCTGCCTGGTCCTGTCATCCCCTGTGATCGTCGGATTGTTTCCACCTGTGTCCAATCACCTGCACCTCCCTCGTGTATTTAAGCAGTGTGTGTTGTTGGTCACTTGTGGCGTCATTGTCCTTTGTCACGGATGTCCCTGTATATCGTCTGGATGTTCCGCCGTCCTGCCTGCCTCGTTTCCCCCGGTTCGTGTGTGTGTGTTTTTGCCCGTTGGCCTTTTACTTTGTGAAGTTTTTTGACTATTAAAGTCTTTTTTCGTTAACGTCTGCGTTTGAGTCCTGCCTTCCTACCCAACCCTGACATCGTCGGTAATAAATACGGCTCTTAACGCAGTTGACAAAACGTGTACTTTCTGGATTTTTTGAGAAATATGTCGGCAGATTTGTATTGGAGCCTATGGGGCTTTTGGCAGAGGTTGTGTCACTCTAACACTCCTTAAGCCAAAACTAAAGAACTCTGGGATTCCATGAACACATTAATCCAATCAGCACAATCATGCCATCATTAATCCAGAGAAATTAAGCCTCAAAAGTTTGGCTGCAAGGACAGAAGTTCCATATTTTTTTTAACCAGATTCTGACGCTGCCCCACACTCTAGCCCTCAAGGTCTGACTCTAAGAAACGCAGTATGTGGGGTCCCCAGGATGGATATGCTATAGTAAAGGGACACCCCCCTATATTCCATTATTTATGTATTGGATTTTCTAATTATTTGTTGATTAAACTTGCATAGGTTCTTTTGCAAAGCAATAGTATGTATATGTGTTGGTAAGTGAACAGGCACTGAGGTCACCTAAGGGGTCCTTGTTTAGAGACAACGGGGAGATGTTTTCGCACGCTTGGAAAAAAGTAGATAAGAGCGGAAAAAGAGTGTACCTGTAACTTGGCGCTAATGCGCACTTCTTACCTGTGTTCACGGAGGAATAAAGAGTTTCTTAAACTAAGGCACGGCTGGGTGTCACGAATGTCCATGTGTGCTACAAATACACTCATGTAAAACTCAGAAAAGGAGCGAAGAACTAGTGAAACATAATCAGTGATTATGAAAAAAGTAGAATAGATATCAACAAGCAGTTTTTTTGTGTCAACATTTGAAAGTTTAACTGGTTTCTGTTTCTGATTGGCGAAGCTGAAGAATCTGAAAGTTGAAGAGGATTTGAAAAACGGTCTCCATTGGAAAACCATGTTAAAATATTAATGACTATTGATTTATATAAATTCAAGCTTAAGAGCCAGAAAGCTGAAAAGTCATAGCACCCCTCCCGGGAAAGAGCTGAATATGTTTATATTTGAATGGTTTTAATAGCTAAAAGTATGAAGGAGTTGAGAGGTGGCGCGGAAGAAATAGAAGAAGAAGAAGATGATGTCGGAAGATTCAAAGAACAATACTTGGAATGATTAATGCATTCCAAAAATAAATATATTTCTAATGGTATTATGCGTGGTCATTTCTTTGTCTCTGGTATGGTTCTCTCTTTTTGCTGAGGGGAGCATAGTCTAAATTATTGCATAATTTTAATTCCCCTTTAAAACATGATGTATTAGTTGTATTGGATTCGGATGGCATGACGTATTGTATCCACTGGTACTGTGATAGTATTTTGAAATACTGGAGATAAGATTTTAAAATATTCAGTCGAGAGAATCTATAGAAAATATCAACTCCTCCCCACCCCAATAATGTTACTAAAGTCCCTTTTTAAGACTCACAACTTAAAGATTTCTTTGGAGAGTTGTAATAGGCATGTGTACATTAAACCAGTAATTCCAAACCTGTATATCAGGAGCAAGATAAATCTGAGAGGTCAAACAATGACTAAAAAAAGTAAAGGAAAGAAATACTGTCCCAAAATAATTATCCTGTTATTGAGGGTTTATTTCTAATTTTTTGACTTTTTTTTTCCTGAAATAATGTGTTCTGTCATATTTGCAATACAATATAACACAATATAGAGTAAAACAATCTGAGAGGGATGAGAGAAAACCCCTCGGGGGCTCCAGCTGGCAGAAAGTAACCTCATCAAATATCTATGAGACACACAGACATGAGCTACAGCGTCGATACACAAACACACAGCGTTCCGGTTTATTATGCTGTTTATTCTCACAATTGATTACATTGACAAAGTGTACAAACAGGTGAACAGCAAACAGGAGCTGACGCATCCTTCTGTGGGAAAGGTGTGCGCTTGTTGTCGTTTAAGCAAGTGAGCTTGACGGAGACGCCGGAAGTCCAATATTGTTACCGCCATCGCCATCTTCCACCGCTCGACTTCCATCGACCCGCAAAGACCAGCGGCGGACTCCCGGCTCTCATTACACTTCACACGGCGGAGATGAATTCCTTTATCCGCCTATTTCCTTGCGATAAGGAGCTCGTTGTAGCGCTGTGAGTAAAACGGGAACTGAGACAATGACACGGCGTCGAGAGACGTTCGTTGCCCCAACTAATAAAATCAGTATATACCTTTATAAAATAGAATAAATAAAATAAAAAATATTTCTGTTCAGTACATACAGTCGCTCTTTCAACCATCCAACGGCATGCGAGGCTGTTCACGACTTTCCATTTTCTCGAGATCAAAAGAATGCATAGATAATTGCTCAGTTAAATTCAGCATAAAACGGAATCGACAACTGTGAAACTTTCCAATCATCTCTCCTGGTTTCATTATTCGCTCTGGCATTTTTTCTTATCTACAACAATGTAACGTTATAATCACTATTTTACACTTTGGCCATTTGGTGAGTAATCAAAAAGGAAGGCATTTCATTACAAGAAAATAACGAGACATTTAAAAATGAAAAGATAGCTTATAATAATGATTAATGCCAAATGTTACAATAGATTTGACGTTTTGTACACAAACATTTTGAGTAATCTGGTTCACATTTCGTCATCCTGGGCTGAATGTCCATGACTCTCCTGGTTATCTGCACTGCAGGTTAACGGGTCCAAAGCTCGGCACGGGTTGAAACTGCTGCTACGCCGTCAAGCTCCACTTCACCACATTCAGTTTTGAATAAAGGTGGTTTTAAGTATAAATGACTATATGTTTATTTCCTTTAGATCTTGCAGACCTTTGATTTTAGCGGCAAAAATGTGAAAACTGTTGCGAGCAGATTTTCATCAATTCGCTGGCGAGTTATGTGGCTGATTAAGCTAACGCTAAGTCCACAAGTCTGTTGGAAACACTCGTTAAAGGCGCCTAAAGCTTTTGTGTGAGGGGTTTCGGGCAATGATGATGAAGGAGCTTTTATTGCACTATTTGGAGGCGTTGAAGTGGGATATCTTATTGTGAAAGGCCAGAATTGGGGTCTTGGATATGGCGACAGCATTGATGGTCATTTTGGTGACCCTTTAACCTCTTTAGGGCAATAAGAGCGCACGGCTAATTCCCCGGCGTTAGCGTCCTTTTACCGACTCTGGTTGAGACAATTTTAACTTCCACAATTAAAACGGTATTTGGCTGAAAAGGTAAGGAGCGAACCTTTAACCTTAAACACCGCGAATCACCTGAAAACATTTCATGATCATTTTTATCAATACTTTTACTAGAACATTAGCTGGGTGTAAACTTCCTCAAATCCAGCAGAGCGCTGAGATAAAGATATGCTTTCCTTTTTTAACCCATGAATATAGCTGACCAGCTGCAGCAAACTATACTATTAGATTTGTAAAATTGATATAAAAAAAAAGAAAAGCCTTGCTACAGACCAGCAATCCTAAAGCCTGACAGACGGGCCGGTGCAGCTAACGGCCGGTTGTCCTAGCTTAGCATCAGTCTTCTGCCTCACATTCAAAGAGAACTGCCTAAAGGTAGAACATGCCTCTATGATGTTAGTTGTAATAAACTTTGATAGTCATTACCGGGCATCCGGCATGGTCGGATATGCGATGATGAAGAGCTAGTTGCAGCGGTACAGTGAGAAAGAGGCCATGAGGACAACAAACAGGCGTCGACCTGGGAGAGTCCTGTCATGCTAAGTGGACATGAAGTCTCTGAGGACATACATACTGAAGTCAGTCCGTCCCTGCGGCTCCTTCTCGGTTATGGCTATCGGCTATCGTTTTCCCACATGGCCAACGAAAGAAAGACAGAAGGACAACGGTAAACAGGAGGCGCATGCAGGATGTTTCGGGTGAACGGTCACCGCTCGTTTGGACCCTCCACGCCGACCCTCGCACAGCTTACGAGAAACAAGAGAGACACGGACAAACAACAACTTGGCTTCAGATTTCTAATCCTCCTGTAAGCAGCAGCAGTGTGTTTATATTCACTTTGATACGAAACGATCATGCAGGATCGGGTTAGTGTGTGCGGACTGACCACCTAATATTTCCTTCTTTAACTCGTTAAGAATGCGTCCTTCCATCCGCCGACGCGTTATAGTCCACAGGGGGAACAGCCACTACAGACAGGACAACCGGGGGGTGACGTGGGGGGCGTGGCCAGGTGTGCGAGGTCATGCTGGCAGCACGGACACGAATACAATAAGAGCACAATGAGTCTGCTGTGCTGAGAGCAGCATTTCCTATTCCCTCCTAGTTCCTCCTCTCATCACCTCCCTCCTAGTTCCTCCTCTCATCACCTCCCTCCTCTGCACTGAGGGGGGCTGAGAGTCACGTCTATGTACACGTCTACCACATCGCGTGTTTCTCCGTGGTTGTTCCTTCTCGATGTGGATTACAGTCTTTATTCATCTCGTATTTCGCCGGAAAAATTTGAATTTCGCCCCCGGAGCCGACAAACTCTTCAGGCAAAATTCCAATTTTAGTTCAGAGAAAGCAAAGGCGTTTCCACAAACCCTCCCCCCCCCTCGTGGTCGGCTGCGTCTTCACTGGGGTCTGGCGGTGGCGATGGGTTTCGGGGGCGGCCGTGCGACTTGTCACCATGGCAACTCTGGGTTCTGGCAGGCGGGCGTTACTGCGGCAGCTCGCCGACGGGCCTCTTCTGTTTGAGGGTGTCGATGAGGGACAGCACGCCTCTCTTCACGCTGGTCGATACCCGACGCGACACCGAGTCAGCGGGGGGCAGCGAGCCGCAGGCCTTCTGGGAGGGGGGCCGGGCCACCAAGCACTTCTGGTACCGCAGCTGAAAGAGAGACGTGGCGCAGGTGATGCAGAGCTACAGCTGTGGACACCGTGGGAGAGACCGGCGCTCAATAGTAACGACTGGTGATTCCTGTCAACGTGAATCAGTGTCGCTGTGCGCGTGTGTGTGTGTGTGTGTGTGTGTGTGTGTGTGTGTGTGCGTCCATGAATCCAGCGTGACGTGTGATCAATAGACCGGCCTGCAGTCCACTAATCCTGAGACTCCCCCCACAGCAGAGGAGTACATACTGGTAGGTTGCATTACAGCAGAGACGCATTCTGTGATGGGATTATGGACGCGCAGAATAAAAAAAAAATAAGGTATTGGGATTTTATTACAATGAATCACAATAAGTACTGACGGCCACTCTAAAACGCCTCCTGTAATGCAGCAGACTTGATCCATAACTGTACTGGAAGACTTACTATATAGGAGGTGCGCTCACACCAGCAGAGCTTTACACCCCATCACAGCCTGAGGAGGACACGCCATCCGTCAGCACGGACAAACACACCACCACCACCACCCAAATGTTACCTCGTTCCATGCACCCTCATACAAAGGCATGCTCTTATTTCCCTCATAAGATTACAATTTATTCCAAATATTAGCTTTTGAATTATGAAGAGAAGATCGATTGGTTTGTTGTTCATGATTTGCTCCTTTGTTTGGTTTTCACGGGAGTAATGCGTCGGAGATGAATCTTTTTTTGAATATGGAAAAACTCCCCACCAGTACAGCATGAACTTCTTAAAGTGGGAATAGCTTCTGGACAAAACGCCCCCGTTATGTGGACGTGGGGAGGTGCAGCACGTTGCCGAGGGCCGTGGGCACAGGAGAGCTCCGTTACCCCGACGGGACAAAGAGCATCAAGAAAGTTCACATTAACAACTAATGGGACGTTATCACCCATGTAGATGCAAACCATGGCTTCTGATTGGAACTTAATGTCACCTGGTCGACTGTGTGTGTGTATGTTGTCAAGGAGGTTCAATAAGAATTGTGTGTTACACAAAATCTTTTTTTAAAGCCGTTCGTTCTTGGTATTTGTTTTTTTGATGAACTTTCGTCACCAAATTCAGTGTCATCCTCCCTCATCATATCCATGCACTGGATTGGCTGCGTGTATTCAGTGACTCACCATGCAAGCCGCCTGCACAGCCTCCGACACATTCCCGGCATTGGGCTCGCACCAGAAGACGTGGCAGTCGAAGCGATGGCCGCCGGCGTCCATGACGAAGGCGAAGGTGTGCACGTTCCGCCCGACGCCCATGAAAGACAGGAATCGAACGCGACACTCGACCAGCACGTCCTCTTCGTTCTGGTGATTGATCAAGAGTCGTGGAAATGCAGATTGTGATGTCACTGGAAAGGACCTCATGGGAACCTACTCACAGGCATACAGATGTTACACATGTTCATACAGGGGAGTCGCCCAGTACGTCTGTAGCCTTCTAAAAAACAGGTCCACCGGAGCATATGGCCGGCGTGCGCCTTGATGTTCAATCATTGGAATGTCAAAAAGGCGTTTTATGTCATCTGCACGGTCGGACGCCTTTAACACTTTAAATGTGTCCCATTGTTCTGGGTGGCTGGGTTCTATATTCACGATGATGGTATAATTGGAATCTTTGCTTAGTGGGACTATGCTCTCTTTCAGGGGGAGGTGCTATTATCCCAATATACATGGCAGTGAATAAGCATCGAATCATTGGCCGAAAGCACGTCGTATCCGATACGATAGGTGGCGCTGTTTTCATTACAACATTACAACACAACATTACAACAACTAGTGGTGATGCAGCCATTTCCGCTTGACATCTTCACCACTACCAACATCAACATTAGGAGAAAGATGGCGAGCGGAGAGCGAGGTGAAGCTACGTCCCTCTACTGTCTGTGCATGATGCTAATAGGAGCACAGCGAATGCGAATGGCGCTATTGGCTGATTTGATAACGGAGAGAAGACGCCGTCGGGATCTCAAGCACGCGCAAAGACGCAAAGTCCAGTTCCTCATCCGATTCACCGTCACATGCCGCAATAGTCGAACTAGCGACTGGATCGGATGGAGTTATCAAGGCGTGTTAGTCGGATCAGAGTCGGACCGCACATAGTCGGACAAAGGTGTTTACATGAAACGTATCATTGGATTTCAGTCCGACTGAGCCAGTTATTGGAATCCATGTAACCACGCTGAGTGTCAGCAAAGAAGCCCAGAGAGGCGCAGTGTGCCATTTACAGTCCTTTTAAGAGTTAGAATCGACAGTAATGTGAGAGTAGCAGATACAATTTAAAACGTGGTGACTGTTGAAGGAAATAGACTCAACCGCGTGTTCCGTACCAGGCGTCATAAAGCATGTCGATCACTCAAAGGTGACCAACGCTCACGGGCCATGTAGAAATATTATCTTAGTCTGTAGCAAGTAAAGGCAGGTTCTCCAACTCCACAGAGAGACATGATTGATAACAACCTGGAAAGGAAAGTTCATTTAGAGAATAGACTGTAAATAAGATCCCTTCTGTCCACTAGGACGGCGAGAGCCATATATGTTGAACTTGAGCCTGCAAGACACCGGCCCACAAACCAATGGGATGTCCCGCCGACTGCGTCCTCTCATCTACATCTTTACGGTCTTTCTTGTCTAAGGGGTTGTTGGATTTATCCCGTTTCATCTGGCCGGTTCAGTCTCACCTGGTCTTTGCTGATGGTGACCGTAGCGTCGGCCACGTTGAGGGCCACGGGCGTCCAGTCCTCTCTGCTGGACGAGCCGATCAGACTGTCTATAGCCCCGTTAAGGATATCCATGCCTGGAGCGGAGCATGTTTCAACAAAACAAAATCAGAAACATTAAAATCCTACCTAAAGTCAGACGGCATCACGTCTCACCACAGCAGCAGGTGTGTGTCGGACTAACCTATTGGTCTCGCCACGGGCAGCATCCCGAGGTAGAGCACCTGAAATTTCTGGACCAGCTCCGTCTTTGGTGTGGGGAACTCTGCTGAGAGAAGCACGCGTTGAAATACATGCCAACAACCCACAATGCACCTCTGCAGAGGTCCTTCTGGCTCTTGTTCTTGTTTGGTTTAGTGCAACAAATTCTTTGTGCGTTGTCTGACATGTTGTCGTGAAGAGCGGAATGTCACGGAAAAGAAAATATTGCATTTTCGGAGCGGATCGCGTGGCTTTGCTTCCATCACTGTGGCCTCGGCAGAGCGAGCGCCCTCAGGGCCGGCGGGCCCCGACTGACCGTAGAGAAATGACTCCGCCAATCATTCTTCTCCCCGACAAGAGTGGCGGCGAGCCCGCGGGGGAGAGGGGTGGTGAGCGATGACGGGGAGCTCACTGAGAGGACACCGTGGGTCCACAAATCAGCAGCGCCAACGGGACGTTCAGTGCGGTTTTACCGACGACGTCTCCGGTCTCGCTACTGAAGCTTCTCTGCGCGTCTGAGGTGATTGAACAGCGTCTCACATGCATGACCACTAACGCCCGCCATGGCTAATGGTTCCGTGGAGGGAGCGGAATGCATTGCACACGTCTGTCGGGCTTGAATTGACACGAGTGGAGGCCGAGGTGGTTCGTATGTGACGACCGCTCAGTGCAGCGTGCGCGGATCCTTTACGAGGCGAGAGATAAACGACACGCCCAGGCGCGCTCACAGCCCCGTTAGCCCGGCTAGCTTCTCTACGGCATCGAGAGAGGAAAGGAGCGCTGTGATTGGCTGCCCACCTTGTAAAGGGAGATCTAGTCCCGCCTGCATCCTGTCCTGCAGAGAGCCCGCCATCGCTTTGGCGTTCTTTCGCTCCGTCATTATCTGGAGGAGAGACAAGCGGACACGGTTACAGAAGGGTGAGGACACGGCGGCAGAGACGTGGGGGGAGGGAAAACCCTCGAGCGGTTTCTCCACGGATACCGGCATGTCTTTTATTCTTTTAAAAAAAAAACGATTTTCAGGGACACACTATGTTCATAAACAAACTATATTATATAACTATAAAATATATTAGTTTTGGAATTGTTAATTGTAAAAATTGTTATTACTTAATTATCAGGATTTTTCAAATAACATTATTTCTTAATAGTATTATTAACATTATCAATATTGTTACTAATATTATTAGAAAATGTATAATAATAATAATGAACTGAATAAATGTTATTTATCCACGGTGTCCTCACCCGGGAGCAGATCTCGTGCAGGCTGGTGGCGATGGCTTTGGCCGGCGTGTCACAGCGGAACACATGACATTTCAGGATCCTGGTGTTTTTGTCCCGCGCCACATATGCAAAGTCCCTGAGACAGAGAGGACAGCACCGGGTCAGCGAAGACGGACGGACAGAGGGAGAAAAGGCCCCACCACGGGGCCGGGGGTCAAACTACTAATCTGACAGACGGCCCTTGCAGACGGATGAGGGATGAGCTGACCTTTATCCGTCTGATGAATACAGGACACACACACACACACACACACGTCGATGGACCGCTGAGACCAATAAAGCAGCGTGATGTAAGAGGGAGTCAAGTGAGTGACAGCGGGGGAGAACTTCCCCCTGAGCCCCGTGGAGAAAAACTATCTACGAGGCCGAACGGACGGAATGAGAACAGAGGGAGAGGAATGGAGGCGTGACAAATGAAACCAGCGCGCACGCACACACACACACAGACTCGCGTTCTGTGTGCATACCGTGCATACACACACACAAAAATGATTGTAGACAGACGAGGTCACCTTTCACTTCCCACACCTGCATGCACAACGCAGCAGGAGACGAGAACCACGAGACACGGAGGAAATGAAACAATAAGGGGTGACGGGGAGGATGGAGGGACGATATCGGGAGGAGGAATGTGTTTACCTCTCTCTGTGTCCAAGGAAGCCAGGGAGGAAATAAAGCCAGTTAGTGGAAATAAAAGAGAGGGGAGAAAAGGGATCTCACACAAGTCACACAAGTTACACACAAGTTACACACTTTGTTCGGTCCTGAGACTATTTCCCAAGTAATCAAGCGTTGACGTGCAGTGCAGAAGAGCAGCAGTGCATTTTTAGGTACTTGATATTTTTTATAAATATAAAAAGAAAAAAAACTATAAGGCCACAACGTGCAGAATAAAACAGAAAAGTCAGAGGAAAAGAGAGGACTATGTCCTATCGTCATGCCGACGCCCCTGAAAACGTGAAGGTGGCCGTGAGAATCTGTTATCTCTCGATAACGAGTTTCGTGGCACATGGGTAGAGAGGATACGGTTACTACGCCGACATCACCACTTTGAGTGTGCGTGGGGGAATAAAAAAAAAGAAGGCAATCAAGCGGTTAACAAAAATAGAAAAATAAAAACAGTTTCTGCATGTCTTGCATGCTGCATTCAGCCCTGCAGCTCCTCAAACATCAACTCCAGACCCGTGACCCTCTCTCTAATCAGACGGCTGCAGCTCTCCAACTGCTACTTCATGACAAAAGCTGAACAAAAGCAGTCGGGATTCTAGAAAAGACCTCAGATCAAAGTGCAAAGATACTCACAGTGTTAATGGCGATCTACTCCTCGGTCATACCGGCACTCCTCAACCTGTCCTGCTCCACGCCCAGAGAGCACTAAGCATACCTTCCCCCTCTGGCAGCTGCCTCCCCCTCTCTCCCCTGCCGACCCCCCTCCCTTCGCCTCCCGCTCCGCCTCCCTCTGCTGCATCCGAAGGTACTCCCAGCGCTCCCACTCTGCTGCCACATGTACGCTGGAAATGTCCCTTTTATCTGATCTTGTAAATATACTGTAACACGCAACGTTTCACACACGTGTGTGTGTGTGAGAGAGAGAGACAGAATGCTGCAGTTCTGCCCGGGCCAAGAGCTTTGAGCATTGCCTCGTGTGCGTGTGTGTGTGTGTGTGCACGTGCCAGCTCCATTATACAGCAGCGACTGACCGCTCCTGTCCTGCCGGCTCCTCTGATCAACCAACATGCCAATCGGTCTCTGAATTGGCGAGGTCACAAACAGAAAGTCCCCTCGTCGTCCCCTTTGTCCTGACCAATCTCGTCTTCATCATCCATCACCTACGCCGTCACGCTGACCTTTTCATTTCTGCTGAGCGACGTGCCATCGGCTCCATTTTGAATAAGTGACTAATCATTGAAGTGCTTGAAAACAAACACAAAGCCGAAATACGCCCTGAGCGGCGGGGACACACAGGGGAGGTGCTAGCGAGGGCTTCTGGGTAACTTGATAACTGATCCATCATGGGGGCAGGCAATAGGGGGGGAAATCGGTAAAAAAAAGGTGGTTGCCACTGGGAGACTGACCTGCCGTTGTCCCGGCCGACACCCCACACACGGATGCTTGCGATTGGCTGAGAGTGGAGCAGGCCGCGGTCCATGGGGTCAACCAGGTTCAACATGTTGTTCTCCAGCACCAGGTACATGTCCTTCCCCTGCAGACACACACACACACACACACACACACACACACACACACACGTTAATTCCTGCAGCTCAAGGCACAGAGAGAACAGCCATTTACAAAGTGCTTTTTCTTATACTTCCTCGGCTGCCCCTCACCTCTCCCCAGATGCCGACGGTGTCTCGGATGTCATTCTTGCAGTAGGACAGCTGCCGGATGCAGTTATTCACGGCGACGCTGCTCTTTCCGGGAGCCAAGTCGTCCTCCGCCATCTCCACCCACCCCAGAGAGCGCACAGCGAAGCACTGAGGACACAGCGGGCTGCCGTGTTAGCGTGTTTCCTCCACGTGACAGAGCTCACACACACACACACACACACCTTTCTGCAGGCCGACCAGCTTCAAGCTAAATCATTCAAACTCCACAAAGCACGTCGATGGACGGGAAGACACGTTTAGAGGAGCGAGACACACCCATCCGTCCTCGATCACTTGATCTCAGTGGTCAGTACTTTGCAGACTACGGAGCGGTCAGTCTAACACAGCAGGGATGTAGTCACACCGTGTCTCACACGCAATATAAAAAGGACACGAGAAGACCCACAATGCTCCTGTCTGAAGCACAGAGCCGTGTCACAGATGCAGACTCTGAAGATCCAGCGGTTCCCTCTGAACGACGTTACTGCTGATTGAACCCGTTCTGCGGCAGTGAAATAGCGCCCGTGTGCACTCCATCGGTCTCTCCGCTCACGACAGAGAGGTTGCGTGTGCTACCGATCAGGCCTGCGTTTGTCTGCTATGTGAATGGGAGCTGTGACGTTCCAGAGGTGATCTGGGGTTCTTGGCCCTCGCCACTTGGGGGCAGCATCGTTTAACGCCTCAGCCTTACTCGGACGACAGCGCAGCCTCGATGACGTAAACACCAGCAGTAAACAAACAGGCCCGGGACATAAACAGACAGAACATCATCCCGCAGGCTGCGGCGTCCCGGGAATGTCGATTGTGCCGCGCGGTACTTAAGAGCCGGATTAGATGACCGAAGACGACCGCAGGAGATCACAACATCGGTGTTCGGCTGCAACCTTAAATTCAACACAAAGAAGTCCAATACAAAAGGCCGCTTCTTTGAAACGAGTAGTTGAAATAACTAGCAGTTGAAGAAAAAATATATATATTTTAGAAAGGGGAACTGTGTTCAAACCAAACCGGAGAACGAGGACTTGATCCGTCTTGTGTCTGAAATGCATGCGCGCTTCGTGCGGGCTCTTACTTTTGTCTCTGGGTCTCTGTTAGCGCTGCTGGACTGCTCGTCTTCCACTGCTGGACGGTTCCTGCATACAATAGAAATAGTCACACAATGTGCTCCCTGTTGTCTCTTCCAGGGAGAATTTTAAGAGGGTTTTTCCATGACGAGTGTTCCTGCCTGGATTACATTGAACAGGACACATTTCCCCAAGTAGAACATCCTGCTTCGCCTGACGCTGTTGAGAGTAACTGTGAGACACTTGCATTTTTCCTCTGCTCGCGTGTGTGTGTGTGTGTGTGTGTGTGTGTGTCTGCAGGCGTTTCACCTTAGCTTGAGTGATGCGTAGCGAAGCGTCGCGCCCTCAAACTCCTTCAGACTGGGGTCGGGGTTCACCGTGGCCGCTTGCAGGTCCTGGCGAGTACAGGTGACATTATCAGCATCAAACACAAGCCCCCCCACCTCCTTAAATCCCCCCGTCACACACGTAACCTGCAATACGCCGGCTTAAGGCGGGTCCCACGTGATGCAACAGCTGCACACAGATGAGCTCAATGTGCTTCTGATGGAACTATAGCGCTGCCGTCCCAACACCCGCATGTACGACTCCCAGGTTACATGGAGAGCGAGAGCGCACACAAAGCCGGCATTCAATGTTCTGACCACGCGCAGCGCGTGTCATCCAGCATGCACCGTGGCGCGGGAACAGCCTCGTGTGCATGGGGGGCATGCTGCATGGGGGGGGGGGGAGGGTTCAGTCACGCCTGCGCGAGGCGAAAGACGGCAACGGTTCGTGGGCGAGTGAAGAGGGACACCCTTTGTGTGTGTGTGTGTGTGTGTGTGTGTGTGCGTGCGTTCGGGTCGATCAGCCGCGCATGCTCCGTACACGAGAGGGGTGAGTTTGCGGCACCGCGCGGCGCGTGCGTTGTACTTGCCTTCCACACCTCACTATCAATCTTTCCGCCAAAATCACTCCACACCCGTTTCTACACGGCAGCGTTCAAACACACCCATGGTGGCGGTGGGGGGGTGGGGGGGTAAGAAAGAGAAGAAGGATGTTGAGATGAGACGCTGTCCGACAAACTGCTTCCCGCTGCTGACGGTGGAAGGTGAACAGCGCACGCAAACGCCCCCCGTTTGACTCCAACCCCTCGTCTCTTACTTTGTTCTATCCAACGATCTTTTTTTGGGGGGTGAAAATGATGCAAATAATAATAATAATAATAGTGATCATTTCTATGCAGTTTGCGAGATAGAAAGTCTCATTATGTACATTTTAGATTTTGTGTAACCGCTGCTGATGAATGTACACCAACCGAACAGAAACACGTCCCTGAGCAAACTCTCTCCTCGCTGCTCTGTATGTGACACAAATAAACAGGGAAGTACTTTCCGTCTGTAACAAACACAATTCACGCACAGGAAGAAACGACATCAGGCCCGTCGGGGCGACGAGAGAGAGAACTGCAGCGCAGCGGAAAAGGACCATACCTTGTCCTCGTCCTCGAGAAGCAGGGAGCGGCACTCGGGATCGGGCATCCCCTGCAGGGGTGAGGAGCGGGGCTGGGGAGGGGACAGAGAGGGAGCCAGGGAGTGATGAAGGCAGATCACATCATGTGCAGGCCAGAATGACATTTTTGGCAACCATCTATCTGTCAACATCCGTCCATTCCCCCCGGATCGATGTCTTATGGACACCTCCCTGCGGCCTCGCAGGTCTCCCCTCCGTCTTTCTTGCACCGGCGACTGGCCCGGCTGCCTGCGTGCCCTCGTCTCCCTCCTCCCGGTGGTCTGAGTGTGCGGTGAAAGCGCCGGCGGGACTCACAAAGTAGCAGCTGTTGACGAAGCCGCACGTGGCGAGGGCGGGTTCGTGAGCGGAGAGCGGCTCCGCCGAGCTGTCGGAGGTGGTGCTGCCCGAGCGGGTCGAGCCCCTGAAGAAGACCTCTGCCTGGCACGCCTGCAAGTGCGAACACACGCAACACACATACAAACACACACAGTGGATTCAGGAGTCCTGTAATTAGTTTCAGCAAAGTGGCGACCCGAGCGTGGTGGTGCATCGAGTCCTTTTGGGCACCCGAAGCAGCCGGTGGTTCCGGTCCCCTCACTTCGTGGTCCGGGGTGGGCGAGGGGCTGAGGGACCCCGGGAAGTGCTTGCGTGACGCGGAGGCCGCTTGCTCGCCCGGCGCCGGGGGTTCGGCCGCCCCCGGGGGTCCCGCGCTGGCCGCGGGTTTCTCCCATTGGGTGGGCCCAGTGGGGATGTGCCAGTAGTAGACGCCGCCCATGTCCGTGTTTTTTTTCCATCCCGGCGGGAGGTCGGTGTCCTTTTGGACCGACTGTTCGCTCCAGATATTGGGGGGGGGGGGGGGGGGAAGTCATAGACCTCTTGGGTACTTGTCTTACAAGTGCGCACAGACCCACACACACACACACACACACACACACACGCTGGACAAGATCAACAGCTGACTGGGGTTACCAGTATCGGCTGCAGCGGTCATTCAGTCTCCCCTCAGACAACCACTGAGGAACACTTCATTTCAGGTGAGGCAGCAATTATTTCAGGAGCAACAAAATCAGAAAACTAAAAAGGGACCAACACATTTGTGCCATTTTGTTTTCCGGATCAAGAAAACAGGCCTCCAGTAGTTTAAGTCGCCTCTGAAAATTCACCCTGCTCTCAATTTGACTTGTTCACTTATGAGCGTTACACACACACGTCAAAGCATCAGTGTTGCAAACGCAATTTATTCTGCATATCCCTCAAAAAAAAGTTATTAACGAAACACAAACTGCAATAAAAAATACCTGCACTGCACTGTTATTTAAATTCTAAACTTCCCTTTTCTAACACAACGAATCTGCAGCATAGGAGGAAGACGGCCGTTGCCATCATCTATTTGACAGTAATGGAATGTGACGAAAACACACACACACACACACACAGATTATTAGATCCCTGCTTCTTCTCTCACTCGTGTACTAAATGTCATCTCATCTGAAGGTTGCAGTTTCCTGGCAGTCGAGCTGGATGAAGTACACACACACACACACACATACACACACACACACACACACACACAGAACTATTGATGGCTTGTATTTGTGTGTGTGACGTTGGAGTAGCAACTCAATAAAGGTGATATATGCTCTGAGGTGTGTGTGTGTGTGTGTGTGTGTGTGTGAGAGATATGAAGAGTTTTGAAACTGCTGACCATGTAAACTCAGCGCCTGTTGCCATGGCAGCAGGCCACATGTCACCATGACAACTGGGAGGACCAGACCCACAGTTAATAAGGGTCTTTAGCGTGTTTAATGCTAACAGATATGGCTCACACGTGTGGAGAAACGCACAAATGTCCCTGGCAGACATCCCCATGAGCGAGGAGCCGTGACGCAAAGCCTTCTGGGACTTGTCTTTTATGAGCAAAAAGAAATAGGTCAGAGCAAGAACTAGACAGAGGACCTGTCTGCTGAGTCGGGGGGACGGGGGGCCAGCATGACATGCACTGGATGTAGATTTAAGCATGTGCGTACATAAAGTGGGTGGAGGGGGGGGTGGGGTGGAGAGACCACTGGACGGTGCACCGGCCAAGTGAGTCGCACTCTGTGTCAACCAGACGGGAGAAGCGACGGCGCCGGGTCGCTACGTAGCACCCGGCCTGCGGTAGCCCCCCCGTTAGCATGCAGCTCCTCTCCGGAGCCGAGTGGAGCGCAGAGGGGGAGGGGAGAGCAAAACACATACACATGTTGGCTCTGTCAACAGCGCGCGCACACACACACACACACGTGCACACATGCGCTGTAATTTGTGCACCTACCCTCGTAGTTGACAATCACAATGGCCAGCATGTAGTCTTTCCCCAGCATCATAGTGAGCTACTGCCTCTGTGACACGAAGCCCAGTGCTGTACCCGAACACAGCAAAGCTCAGGCAGAGAGGGGAAGAGAGGGAGGGGAGGGGAGGGGGGGGAGGGGGTACTGCAAGAGAGGGGAAGCCATAAAGGCACGGGGAATTTGAGGAGAGAAAAGAGAGAATGGAGGGGGGGGGGGTTCTGTATCCCTGTGTGTTTGCTGTTTTTGTCTCTCCTCTCCCTCCATCCCGACAGCTCAAATGAGCCTGCCCTCCCTTCCCTTCCCTTCCCTTCCCTTCCCTTCCCCGACACACACACACACACACACACACTTTTCCCCTCCGTTCCACCCTCACTTAAGTCTGTCCTGGTTGTCCCTGGCAACCCAACATAAACCATCTGTCATTCAGGATGATGTCCAGTTGAGGATGAGGAGCAGCGAGGAGGACTGTGATAAAAGCAAGAGAGCAAAAAGAAGAAAAAGTGCTGACTCTCACATGTTGCTTCACTTAACTCGTCATGCTGTGCGTGTGCGTGTGTGTGTGTGTGTGTGTGTGTGCGTGTGTGTGTTTTGGCTCCTCGGTGTGAAAGCAATGTCGTATCGGCCCTCCAACCCGCAAACATCATCGGAGGAATGTGACACACACACCTGGGAAAACAACACGGCTTTGTGGATGTGAGAGCAGGAGGGAGACAGGAAGGGAGGGAGGGAGGGAGGCGGGAGAACAGCAGCAGAAGGCCACGCACGTTGGATATCGACAACGTGAGCGACGCCGGGTTAGAACCCTCCAGAGCACCACTGCGTGTCCTGCAGACGGCAGCGGTCTACTTTGTGTACCGAGTCCTCACCGGAATCGACCCGCAACGACAACAAGCCTCTTCAGCACTTTGTGCCTCAATAAAATCGGAACGGCCGATATTCTTTCCATTTTGAACAACCAAAATCTGTTGTTGACATGAGCAAATGTATTGCCCGTTGTTGGCGGCCGGTTGACAGCACTGTCCTGATGGGATGAACCACGGAGGACAGCGACATTTTCCTCACACATTAGAAATGATTGATTCATTCCCATGATGCTGCTCAGAGAGTAATCAGTCCCTTATGTTGCTAATAAAGGAGCCGACCTGCAGAGGTTCCATGCGAGGAATGTCCCCCAAACGGACTTTAAACAGCACGGCTCTCAGTCAGTTTACATGTAAGACCAGACGGGTGAAAAGATTTCAACCTAACCCACGGATTCATTTATCCATCCTATAATAAAGCAGCGAACAGCTCATCTGTACAGGTTCCATTAAAAATCATCATTATTATGTAGTTTGATAAGAGTTGTTTGAACGACTGAAGTAAAAGGACATTAAATAAAAACAGTGAGATTTTGGTATTAACTCAGAACTTTCTAACCAAAAGTTTATGAGGGCATTTCCTGTTCCAGTCGGAGGGATCCAGGTGATTTACTGGAGCCCAAAGTGAAAGTTATTCTATTCCAGCAGTGCCCGAGTTCTGTATGCACACACACGCCTGGTCCCCATATATGGGAACATGTCATCAGCAGAGAGGGAAAATAAACACCCGCAGCTGCACACGCACACACACACACACACACACACACACACACAGCGGGTCTCGTACCGGTCTCCTCCGGGGAGTGGCTCTCCTGGGACAGCGTGGTCCAACTCAACTCTTCGTCGCTAGGGTTCAGATTTTGGATGCGGTTCAGAGCGCAGTCCGTCTTGGCCCCCGTCCGCCTGTCCTTCTTCGTCTCCGGCGATGAGGAGGAGGAGAAGGAGGAGGAGCGGGAGGCCACGGAGAGCAGCGGCGCGTCCTCCGGGCTGGCGTGCTTGGGTGGCGAAGGCGGAGGGGGCATCGGAGAGTCCTTCCCGCCCGACCTGAGGAGCTTGAGGTTGGAGCGGAGGTCGGAGATGAGCTCCGCCCCCGGGGAAATGTCAAGCTTCTGCAGGGGAGACTCGCCGCGCATCGACAGCAGAGGTTTCTTCTCCCCATCTCCCTCCTCGTCCTCCGCCTCGTTGTCGCCGTGCTCCTGGATCTTCATCTTCGACATCGTGTCCTTCTCGGACAGGATGCTGATGTCGTCGCTCTCCTCCGCGTCAACGTTCAGGTCGATACCTTTCAGTTGGAGCTCGGCGGGCGCGCTGACGTCACAGTCCATGTCTGACTCACTCTTCTGCTCGGGCTCAGCGTTCGAGATCAGCTCAAACTCCTCCTCCTGCTCCTCCTCCACCTCCTCCTCCTCCTCCTCCCGGTCGTTGTTGGTGAGCGCATGGCTCTCCTCTTCCTCGGCCGCGTTGACGTTGAGCTCGTCCGCCGCGGCCTCGGGCTCCGGGTCCGTGGCGTTCTTGTTGTGGTCCCGGCTGGCTTTGCGCAGCTGGTTCACTCCGTTCTTGGCCAGTTTGGGGTTGCTGGGGGTCGGGGACACCGGCGGGGAGGAGGGCGAGGAGGAAGACGAGGACGGCGGCGCGGCCTCCCCGAGGCCCATGGCGGCCTGGATGCTGGTGTGCGCGTACTTTTTGCGACACTTTGGAGGCGTGGCCGAGCCCTGGCGGACAGCGTCCCCGGCGCTCAGCAGCTGGTTGTGGGAGGAGCGGAGGCTGAGCGAGGTGGGAGGCGTGGCGGCCGCGCAGTTCCGGTTGGCCACGTCCACCGACATCATGGCGGCACGTGGCGAGGTCACCTGAAGAAGAAGGAGATGCTCCAATTAAAAATGTCTATATTTTTCCAGCAGGAAACAGTGCAATAGAGAAAAACAGCAATACGTTAAATAAACACAGTATTTATACTGGACATACACACATTAAACCTGCAAACCGCTTATCCTGCACACAGGGTCGCGGGGTTTAAATCACATGATTGTTTTAAAAAATGTATTTGTTTATTTGTCATATTTGAGGATTTCCAGTCAGGATTTTGAGCGCATCACAGTACAGAAACAGCACTGGTGAAAATTACGAATGATCTTCTACTTGCATCGGAACAAGGACTCATCTCTTTTCTTGTCTTGCTGGACCTCAGTGCCACATTTGATACCATAGACCATTGTATCCTGTTGCAGAGACTAGAACATTTAATTGGTATCAAAGGAACTGCACTCAGCTGGTTTAAATCCTACTTATCGGATCGATCCCAGTTTGTGCTTGTAAACGGTGAATCCTCAAAGACCAACAATGTTGGTCACGGAGTCCCACAAGGTTCTGTACTTGGACCGATTTTATTTACCCTCTATATGCTTCCTTTGGGCGATCTGATCAGGAAACACCGCATAAACTTCCATTGTTATGCAGACGATACTCAACTGTATCTGTCAATCAAGCCAGAAGAGACGGACCAGCTAGTTAGACTTCAAGAATGTCTTGGAGACATCAAAACTGGGATGACCGGCAACTTCCTGATGCTAAACTCAGAAAAAACAGACGTTATCCTGATAGGCCCAGAGCGCCTTCGAAGCCAGCTGTCACGTGATACAGTTTTTATGGATGGAATTGCTCTGGTACCCAGCAGCACCGTCAGGAATCTGAGAGTTCTCTTCGACCAGGATATGACCTTCAACTCGCATATAAAGAAGACTTCAAGGACTGCCTATTTTCATCTACGTAACTAATCAAAAATCAGGAACTTCCTGTCTCAAAGTGATGCAGACAAATTAGTTCATGCGTTTGTCACTTCCAGACTGGACTACTGTAATTCTTTGTTATCGGGCTGCTCTTGTAAATCTCTTAAGCCTCTCCAGCTGATTCAGAATGCTGCAGCACGTGTATTAACAAGAACTAAGAAAAGGGATCACATCACTCCTGTATTAACTTCTCTGCACTGGCTCCCTGTTAAATCAAGAATAGATTTTAAAGGTACTTCTCCTCACCTACAAGGCACTTGCTGGTGAGGCACCGTCATATCTTAAAGAGCTTGTAACACCTTATTGCCCTACAAGGCAGCTGTGCTCCATAGATGCTGGTTACTTGTTGTTCCTATGGTTTTAAAAAGTAGGCTGGGGGCCAGAGCCTTCAGTTATCAAGCTCCTCTTTTGTGGAACCAGGTTCCACTTTCAGTCCGGGGGGCAGATTCGGTCAGCTCTTTTAAAGTAAAACTTAAAACTTTCCTTTTTGATTCTGCCTATAGTTAGGGCTGGCTCAGGTTAGCCCGGACCAGCCCTTAGTTAAGCTGCTATAGGCTTAGACTGCCGGGGGACTTCTTAGGACACACCGAGCTCCTCTCTCACGCTCTCGTTCTACCATAATTCACGTTTTATTAATGCACATGACTAATTCAGCTTCTTTCCGGGAGTTTTTTGTGCTTTCTCCCCTAGCAGGTCTCCGTAGATCGTGGTTCCTTCTGGACCCTGGTCCTGACACCTGCCGTGGCCATGCTGACGCTTGCTGCTGCTATCATCATCATCATCATCATTATTATTTTAGATATTAATTATATTACTGTACTCTTAAACCAACATGACCCTCCCCTTAAGTATCTGTGCTCTCCCTCCCCACAGGCTTCTGTGGATGGTGGTTCTATGTGATGGTGGTTCTATGTGATGGTGGATGTCCCTGCAGTGGTCCTACTCACAATTACTTGAATAATTTCTGTCATATAGTCTCATGTATTATACATTGTTCATTCTGTACACATGGCATCCATTGTAGTCTGTCCATCAGGAGTGGGATCCCTCCTCTGACGTTCTCCCTAAGGTTTCTTCCCTTTTTTCCCTCTTGGAAGGGTTTTTTCATTTTATGGGGAGTTCTTCCTGTGCCGATGGTGGGTTTCGGGGCAGAGGATGTCGTATGTGTTCAGACTGTAAAGCCCTCTGAGGCAAATTTGTAATTTGCGATTTTGGGCTATACTAAATAAAATTAATTGAATATTCTATTAATTTCATATTTTATTGTGAAACCCCGATCAAAAGTATTTCTACAGTGTATTTAACATTCTGTACAAACAAGGCAATTTGGCTCCTTTTGTGATTAAGATTCTTAGGGTACAAATATTCCCTGTTGGCTCTCTACACCAGGGGTCTTCAACGTTTTTCAGGCCAAGGACCCCCAAACTGATGGCGAGATTTTTGAGCTTCGCGCTCTTTAGACGTGAGCATACAGGCGATGTGATTGGCTGCTGCCTGTGATGTCGTATTTGCATGGAAGGAGCTGTGAGTGAACCGGTTCCCAGCTTGAGAGCTGCTGTGGGACTGAAAGATAACGTCTTCTCCATCAATTTATCCGTCCGCTACAATATGTTGGATTCATGTTAATGTGTATTTAAGGATAATAAATACAATTCTGATTCCGAAGACATTTAAATTTGTGGAAAAACAATTGGTTGAAAAAATTAAAATAGTCTTATCAACCAGAAATGTTGAGACCCCCCTGCAGTAGCTCCTCTGCTCTGCATGATAAAGAGTTGAAGAACAGATGTTCAAGTTCACAGTCTTTCAAAAGGGTTAAAAAAATGATTGAAATAATATGCTGGCATTCAAATTCACCGGGTTTAGTAAACATTTTAGAACCGATTGAAATTCAAAAGTGACGCCATGGTGGTGGATAAACAATGACGCAACCTCAGGGTTGGTTTTCTTTTGGTTTGGTTTCCACGGTCACGGAAATGTGATTTCTCATCCTCGACTCGAGGATGCTGGAGGCATGAAAACATCAATTTTTTTTTTTTTTTAAAGTCTGGTTTGTATTGTTGACTTTGAGTGCTGTGAAAAGATCAAACAAGTGTTGCCCGTCGAGCTGGAGCTGCGTGCGCTGGTCCTCCATGTTTAAATGCTAGTGCACCAACTCCACAGCTGGAAATAGTACCAACAACAAACAAACGCAGTATTTACCCTGCTGGGAGCAGTGATGGCTAAAGACTACAGCTGTTCCCAGAGGGGGCTCGAAGTAGGAGAGGAGGGGGGCACCCGGAGAACCCGGCTTGGTATCGGTCCGCCTGTGTGGCGGCGTGTGGCGTACCTGACAGGAGATCAGTCGTGCACCGGCGTTTAGGGGTTCAGGGGACTCAGCTGCGGATCTGAACACCATAGAAGAAGAAAAAATGACTGTCAAGAGGGTTGTCCTCAGAGGGCACATTCATGGCGGTTTCTATGGTAGCAGAGAGGTAAACACTTGTTGTTGGGAGAGGTATTGTTCCTCGTGTTGTGTACTTCTGCCAATCCAAATACACCATGGATATCATGGGCACTCTCCTGTTTAGCAGTGATCCTAAGGTGGTACATAACAGGTGGAGGGGGGAACGGAACACAGCGTGCTGCCAACCTGCATATGATATTGTGTGAACTCGAGTGTTAAGTTCATCCACTCAACAACAGCGTTCTTTTGCTATCGAGAGCTGAACCGAATAGCTGGTGACGAAGCAGCGAATACTCTCATTCACGACAGCAGGGACGAGAACATCAGAAGGCTTGGGAGGCAGTTACGAGTCTCTTCTACATAAGAATAAGGCCTTTACCCAATTGGAAACCAAGCAGGGACCTAAGGATTGTGGGAAACTCCAGGATGTCGCGCGTCCATACTGGTAGCCAGCGGCGGTCTCTCTCTCTCTCCTCCAATCACAGCGGCTTCGGCGTTGTCCTGAGGGAGAAGACCAACATGAAACAGGATCAATGAGAGAGAGCAAGAGGACTGCAGGACACCAGAGGGACAAATAATAAAGAATCATCAAATATTCACAACCTCGATCAAACGCTAGTACACAAAGTGTGTGTGTGTGCGCGCGTTCGTTTTGTAGAGAGCTCGTGTTTCTTTCTTTGGTGCAGTCGTGCCAACTCTTCTCTGACTGGAACCATCGTAAACTTGGAGACACGGGAGACTTGTAAACTCCACCCACACTTAGCGTACACACACACACACACACACACACACACACACACACACACACACACACACACACACACACACACACACACACACACACACACACTTCTCGCCGGTGAACCTGGGTCTTCCCGATCACAGAGATCTAATGAATAAATACTGCAGCTGCAAAGGCAAAAGTGTGCCAGTGATTGTTGGAACATTCAGACATTTAAGTGCCGGATGATCTAAATGCAGCAAAGACCAAATTTACCCCCATTCCCCCCCTCTAATTTGTCTCCAATGTGAGAGAATTTAGTGGTATCATTCATAAAAATAAAAAAAAATCATCGAAATGAGACGATAAGAGAAATTAGCTCCATTCAGAGGAAAGAACGGCAAAAGAAATGATTTGAATCCCTCATCTAAGGAGCCACCTGCAGTGCCTCGACCGAGTACTACTACATGCAATAAATAAGGTAGCATAATGTTGCTCCAGAATTAGCCAGGCTGTTGTTATGTATGTCATTTGCATACTTGATCCCAAACTAGTGGATCTTTTGCACTTTATAAAAAGTACAATATACGCCTTTGTTTTAAGCCTGTGGACCAATGGCAACATCCAACCACGTGTCACGTCCTTATGATGTGGTCATTTAGACGGGAACAGAACGGTGTTCATTTCTAACTATATCCAGCCAAAGACTTTGGCCTGAGCCTAATGTTCATTTTTGCACAAAGCTGGATTGTTTACCCCACATTCCCCATAACCCCTGATCTGCCAAAGCAACGGTCTCATGCTGAGCCAATACTGTTAGCGGACACAATAGACACATCTGGTTTGTTATACAGACTTGTGGTAAAGAGGGAAACCATCTGAAGAGCAACTGTGTAATTGTGACCTGAATCCAGCTGTGCGCATCGTAATGGATTTCATCTAATGGTTTAAGAGGTGACCAAATAAACGATTTTCAGTCCTTGAGAATGACTCTTTAAAAAAGAAACTGATGAAGTTTATATTCTGCCAATAAAATAGGAGAAAAGGAAATAAGGATATTTAAAAGAGCAATAAAAACTTACTGCGTACTGGGATTAAAAATGACAGGGCGTGCAGCTCGGTTCCTTAAATCCTGCTGCGACAAGTCTGAATACCTGGGAACCGTATTTGTACGAAGAGGTGTCTGTCTACACCAACGCCTTATGAATCACTTCCCAGGACGCGTTGCTGCCGACTCGGTCCCACCGGTTGGATGCAGGGTGCGTAGTCGCAGTGTACCACCCTCCCCTTGGTGCAGGAGTCATTGGGTCATTGTAGGTCCAATACAAAGATAATAGAATGGTTTTGGTCAATCGGCCAACCTCAGTTTATCTAAGCATGCGTTTCTCTTGCCGTTAATGTGCGAACTGAAGGCTGGTCAGCGTCGATGAATACATTTCTTTACTCAAAAACAAATACAGTGATGTACCGTGAAACCACCAGAATCTTACGAAATACTGTTATATACATTTTTTGCTCAGTTTTGGGCCTCAACCATTTTCCAGATAGTCACTGAGTAACAGCGAAGGTTGATTCAAATGTGACTGGCGCCCACATCAAGGCCTTCTCTGCGGAGTTACCACTCTGACCTCAGACCGGCTGTGTGCTGGACAGAGGACAAAAATGCGTCGCCGTCCCACAAACTAAAGACTGCTCTGAAATTGCATAACCACTTTTTTCCTGCAGACATCGATGTGAAACATTCAAGCCTTCGGCAGCAAGTAGGCACTGTAACTGGAGAGGAGGGGAGGGGGGTCTAGACATGATTACCGGCCCCCCCTCACTCACACATGGGCTACCATGTAAACAGCTCAATCCACAGGCAGGGTAATAAGATCCCAACTGTGTCAAAGCATGAGGGTTTGACCCTTGACTCCTGACCCCCCCAGGCTACCCAGCGAGTGTGTGATGTTGTGGTGTGCTATAATGTTGGGGGTGTTGGGGGTGGGGGTCTGAATGAAGGGAGCAGCTGCGAAGCCTCCACCTCCCTCGCTCGTCTCTTTTACGCGAGAGCTGCGGTGAACCACCAGACTCTGGACCAGGCGAGGAAGACGCAGATGCTTTTGTGAAAGTCCAACTCTGGCCACCAGTTCCACATTCCTCTCCCCCCCCCCCACCCGCCCCGTTACCCCTCTCAAGGCTCCTCGCCAGGGCCGGTTCTTCTGCTAATCCCACTTGACATCTCCCTTTCATCTTATCCCATCTGGGGGGTAGTAACATCTTGGGATAGGCAATGCTTAAAACCCCATACCAACCCCCCCCTCCGCCCCCCTCCAACCGAACACCTCTTTCTTTTGCTGTTTTCTCATTTAAAGTAAGAGGTCTGTAAACTCTCATAAAACCACCCATTTCGCTCCACAACCCCTGATTTACACCCCCCATCCTCCCTCTCCTCCCGCTCCCGTCTCTCCCTCGGCCTGCGAGGAACCCCATCTGTTGCCAAATAAAAAAAGACTGACTGAAATCGCAAAACTGTCACAGTTAAGACGCTGGGCCTCCTAAAAAGATGAGTGTCTTTCTGGGACGAGCATGAGAACTGGTGAAGTAGCAGGCAGCCTTCCCAGATCTCCCCTGGCTGTGATTTGATCGGCTGGAGGCCGAGTGGGACGGATCCTTGTGTTGCTGCGAACTGCTGGCAAAGAGGTTAGCAACATGCTAAGCAAAGCTCGTCACACTCCAACCACTGCTGTGGTTGTCATGACTTTAGTCCAGGTACAAACTCGATCCTTTAATAGAGATGGATAGCACACTATACGGCTATACGGGCTTTAACTCTGTGCATTAATGCAAATGCTTTAAGCCCTTTTCATTGTACGGAAATCTTATGGACCGACCTGCCCAGCTGTGTTGTTTTATGTGCCTATTCTTTCACTTCCCAAACTCGAAGTTCCTTTTAGGATCAGAAGCACCGTCATGGGAAAAGTGGTGATGCAGCACTTTAAATTAGAGATGCATTCATTTTAGAGGCATATACTTATATGCAGTTTGTTTATATAAAAGGGTTATTCTTAGTGAGCTCATATGGAGAGTTAAATATTTTTGCAGCTGCTATAGCAGATAAAAAACATCAATCATCCTCAGACAAAGCTAACAGATGTCTGCTGATATATATATATAGATATATAGATATCTATATATATATATATATATATATATATACACACACACATATATGTAGCTTCGTTTGTGTGTGAAAACAAGGGAGGAAAACAATGATCGACAGAATCTGGTTTCCAGAATAACAGCGGAAGGGCTCAGTGTGTGCGTGTGTGTGTGTGTGTGTGATCCTTTTATTGTCGATCGCAGGAAATTACTGAGACACAGTGACAAAACTCTGAGACTGCAGCCTAAACAAACAAAGGCTTGTACACACACACACACACACACGCACACACAGTGGTCTGAGCGTGCACGTTGTCCTTGCAGCGGCGGTGTGTGGCGTTCGGAGGGACAGATCCACTGTGATTCCACCAGTTTAAAGTCCACCACCCAGAGACAGGAAGCGTGTCCGTGTGCCGAGATGAACACGCGCAGCTAAAAGGGATCATCTTCCACCGCGAGCGAGGCCCAGAAACACCACAAAAGAAAAAGGAGAGCACTGAGGAATGTCCAGGGTGCGCCCAAAGAATCTAGGGATGTCTCTCTTTTTTCAGAGGGGGGGGGGGTGCCAAATTCCTCTCAATTGGCTACCAAAAGGTTATCGCGTCAAACTCACCCACCCATATCTAAGTCTAGAGTATAAAGGGGAGGGCGCACTGCGTGAACTTGTCACGCTTCACTCGCCGAGAGCAGATGTCGGCCTCGCACTGAAATACCAACACGGTGAGAGTGAGCGGCCTTTGCATAGTTACAGACCGGGGAAGGGGGGAGGGGAGGGGGGGGGATGTTAAGACACACAAACACACACCCTCACAGAAGCGCAGGGACGGATTTCCTGCATATGGGAAGCTCGTGGGAGCGAGTTTACCCCCCCGGCCCCGCCCCTAACCCCTGTTCCCAGCCCCGCCCCTAACCCCTGTTCCCAGCCCCTTTTTTCCTGTGGGTGAGGGGCGGTCCAGGGAAAGGGAAGAAAAGAGCACGCCACCGACATGGAGCTGAACGCAGCGCCCCCCCCCCCACACGTGGGCCCGGCCTGTGCCGCGATGACACGCCGGCTCTTTTTCTTGGACGCGGTGTGAAGTGGGAACACAAGCCAGAGAGAGACAAGCAGAGCCACGTGCGTTGGTGTTTCTAGTTCAAACACTCTTTAACAGGGTAAAACACCACAACACAACAGCTTGTGACACAGATAATTGTACATTTATAAAAATGACCCCGCCGCACTGCATGCTGGGTAAAGCTCACAACAAGCAGTAACTCTGTTACTACATAAAAACACAGTAAAGAGCGATGCAGGAGGAACAACCAGAGACGCACCAACACAACTTGTGCCCAACAGAGGAGCCGCGTCGGTTTGGGAGGTTTTTGGTTTTGGGAAATTACATTAAAAGTTACATTAGATGAGAAAACGATTCACTGCAAAGCCTGTCGAGCCTCTGGTGGCAACACCAGCAGCCACAACACACAAGCGCCTTCTTCTGCGTTAAAACAGTGATGACGATAAGGGGCACCGAGCTGCTTTAATTCGGATTCCTGCTCCGAATGCAAAGGTGTGCTGCAGTATGTGAAAATCGTTTTTTCCATCGTAGTGCTGAAATGACATTGAACCTACATTCAGTTTCGTGGTGCTTTTTTTGCTCCAGTCACATTTTCCTCTGCGTGTCAGTGCAAAATAAAAGTCCTTCAGCTAGATGGAAACGGCATAAATTTCTTTCTGTTAAGTATGAAACGGTTACAATGCCATAAAATGTGAAAAGGAAATTTCCTTTATAGATGCATTTCCCCAAAACTGGCAATCAAAGGATGTGTTTTATTATTTCTTTTTTTGCCAATTAATAAGAAAAGGTGAGTCGGCCGATGATTCAAAGTCATATTCCCAGACATGGTGGAGGCGCCCACTGTGCGTCTCTTTAACCATCATAAACAGGCACACGTGTGTGCAGCCTGAAAAGCATGTGCACATGCACACATGCTCCCAACATCAGCACATCAACAAACAGGAGTTTAGAATATCACACTCCTGCTAATGGGCTACAGCGGAGTGCAACTTCTGGGACCCATTTGTCATTTCAGTGGTTTCAAAACGCCTTTTGCCCTTTGATTCCTTGTCAATTAGGGAGGTTGGAATAAAAATATCAAGGCGTGCTATTTGAAAACTCTCTCGTCTCCTTCAGAAGTTTTTGTTTTTTTAGGGGTTTTTTTCATCGTGCTTTCTTAGTGATGTAAAAAATATCTGAGGCGAGGGCAGTGACGAGACTGTGGGTCCTATATATAGACAAGATGTGACAGGACATCCGAGAGGACGTCTAGACACAAACGACACAGCTACAGCTCAGATTGTGTGTGTGTGTGTTTGTAACTGTGGGTTTAACTTGGCCTTGTTATCTCGCATTTCGTGAGAAATGCCTCTGGTGAGCACATTTTGCGATAAGGCCACAAAGATTGCACTAATATCATGGCCCGGTCCCAATCTGATTGGCTGGGAGTTTTTAGAAACTGGAGGGGGGGGAGGCGGGGGAGGGGGGGGGGTGGACCAGGGGAGATGTGAGGCAGGAAAACGTATCAGAGAGAGGGAGGGATGACTCATCAGAAAAGGAATGTCCCGCCGCCGCTGCCAAAGGGACCACAGACACCACTGCAGCGATCGCTCCCTCGCTGATCTCTAAATCACCCCCGTCCCTCGCTGTCGTCCTCTCTTCCTCCCCTCCAACCAGTGGAAGCCATTATCCCTGCCCCCCCCTCCTCCCGAACACCAGCCGAGCACGGCTCTCCGACGGGGCATCGATATCGCAATGGACGTGACGCAGCATTTCTAGCGCTATGCGTTCCATCACAGTCACACCGTTTCCGTCCTCCACATTGTATAGGTTTATGTATCATATATATATATATATATATATATATATATATATATATTATATTATTAAATACGGGACGGGAGATGAGACAAGACTACCAAGTCTGTTTTTGTCTGAGACCTTCAACTTGCCCTTTTCAGCATCTTCCATCACATCAGGGCTGATGCGGCTGAACTGGGCGCGATGGAGACAAACTGCAGCCAGGTGGAGAAAACACCATTCAGGTGCAGCAGGAAATACAAGCAAGAGGAGCGGGGGGCCTCACGTGATTCGACAGCTCATCTGAATAACACGCACACGGACTGGACAGCGAGGAGACAGCCAATCAGCGATTGGACGGGCCCCACGCGCAAACGAGAGAGGACGCGCCGTCAAGCGGAACCAACAGCGAGGCGATGCGCATCGAGCGGAACGGGCGGGACAGAAACGGGGGGGGGGGGGGAGGGCCCCCCTGTCACTCAGCTTCGCACCACAACAGGGCGGGCGGGCGGGGTGGGCGGGGGGGCCTCAGTGCTCCTTCTCTGTTCAAACACACCTCACGGCTGTCTGCTCCCTGCCACAACAACACACACACACACACACACACACACTGCAGCCCGTCTGACAGCAGGCACATTATACCCATTGAGAGGCATCGATGGAGGGCTGGAAGTGAAGAGAGAAAACATAAATACTGGTTATCTGGGCCGTGCGCCCCGTGCTGTCATAATGCACCAGTCACCTGTCCAGACACACACACACACACACACACACACCAGGGAGGTCAAGGGCGAACCGTATTGTTGAAAAGTGCTGATAACGGATCTCCACATTCTTTATCTGATCACTCACACATGTGCGCCCCCCCCACTCTCATCAGCTGTTGTGCGTGACCTCGACCACACACTGAGTTGATCTAGCTGTTGCTGCAAGGGAAGAAAGACCCCCCCCCCAAACACACACACACACACACATTTATAGCCCTGCCAATGGAACTACATCCAACCTGCAGACAATTGTGGGGCTAGCGAGGTAATCGCCGGCTGTATCCGGGTGACTGAGGAGCTCACAAGGTGATAGCTTACATCACTGCCCTCCTAGTTCTGTCCACGTGCACACGCACCGTGCACGTGCGTGTCCCTCTTCTGTGATAGAGGCTACTTCAGTAGAGGGGGGGGGGGGCGCGACTTGAAACGCAGCCACTTTTCAGAACACCAAAACTAAACCAATGCACACACACACACACACAGACAAGAATTGCGAGCACTTGGAACCAAAACTGGGCCCATAAATGTGCGAGTCACATTTTCCGTGCTCAGCAACCAGAAACTCTGGTGTGGAAAACGCTTGAGAGGGAAAAGAGGAAATAAAGAGCGTATTCATGTAAAAAATATAATAATAAAAGAGCAGAAAGGGGGAGTTTATATACAATATAAACCTTAACTGAACAGCACAGGAACCATGAGCAATTAGCAGTGACGTCATGTTTTTGCATGCACACGCACATCCAGGCCGTGCCCGGATGAAGAGCAGGCCAGCGAGGTGATGGAGGGGGGGGGGGAAGATGACAGTGCACCATTTCCACTCCACTGGGGGTGCGTTCAGGGACACGTTCACACTCAGCAGGCCACGTTCATACGATGAGCCGAGCAGAGCGAACCCGGGGGAGCACCGGCCTGCCTGCAGCACAGCGCCCCAGAGCCTAAACACGGCTCCCGGCTTTGGTAATGAACGCACGCAAAACAAGGTGTCACCTGGAGGGGAAGGGCAGGGAGCCCAGGCCACGCCCACCTCCACTCTCCGGGGGGGGCTGTAGCTCCCAGACCATTGCACATGAGTCATGTGAATACACTCCTTCACGCTGGTTTGTGTCACAATGAACCTCCATTATTCAGATGGATGCTGAGCACAAGAGACCCGCACGGCGCAGGACACGCAGGACACGCCCCCCCGGAGTCTCGGGACCGACCGCCCTGTCGGTTAGTCGACTCCCGTAAAGTCGAGTCATAGAAAATGAATGTGAAACGTTTTTTTTATTATCCAATTTCTTTTTCACGCCAACTTGTCACATTTGAGTTAGTGCTATTCGTTTCTTATGTAACGTAACATTTAAAATATCTCCCTGTTTTGATCTGAGGAACACGTGACTGTTTTCTTTTTAAATTAGGACGTGACAGGTACTGCGTAACAACGTGTTTCTGGTCATTGAACGTTTTCTACCTCGTCTGCTCGTAGAACTTCTGATGAAGTAACGTTAGTAGTTTCTTTACTTCCTACTACCGTTACAAACAGCCCCCCCGTTTCCATACTAACGGCGCCGTGCGCTTTACGCCAGCTAGCCGCGCGGTAGCCGCGGCTGCTCCCACGGACCGACCGACGCGCTCCACGACGCTGCGCGCCGACCGACACCGAGCGTGTTCCGTCCGTCAACCCGGAGGAGGAGCGCTGTGTTTGGGGCTCCGCGACCTGGCGCCCCGCGGGGGCCCGTGGGATGCGGCGCGGTGCGCAGCGTCACGAGAACATGGGAAGTTGAACTCACCTTCCCACTCCGGTTCAAGGCGGGGGGCGACTGCGACGACGGCGACTGCCCGTGTTAGAGATGAAATACTCGGCGTAGGACATCGCTCACCTCACCCTCTCCACAGTGCGGACTCGCCTCGTCTTTTTTCTCCCCTCTCTCTCTCCCTCTCTCTCTCTCCTCCCCTCCGTTTTCCCTCGACTTGTTCCTTTCTCCTCCCTCCCAGATTCCGCTGTTCTCCGACAGGGGGAACCGGGGGACGCTGATCCGGAAGCAAACGCTCCTGTTTTGTTTTTAACTCCATAATGCCGATGTACTTTATCCTCTAGTGCTGCTTCAAAATAATATTTTGATTTACACATCAAATAAAACAAAGAACATTTGCGAGCCGTTATATGTGATATGCTTTGGGGTACATTTTTAAAAGCAAATATCTTTAAATACATACATTACAATTCGATCTATAGTACAGTATATAAATAAAAACGCCGCAGCAGCATTGCAACGATACGACACATCATATAAACATAATGATGTTGTTTTATAATCAGTAAAATATTGTTCAAATGATCTTAGTATCAATCAGACGATCAAAACACTGATAACTGACGTATCAGCCTCAAATGAACACTAATCCGTTTGTAACAACTGTTATGACCCAGTTTTAATCCTGACATTTACGTAAGAAGCAAGTCCACGTCTTTGTGTGTTGTCATGTATTCATGGACGACAGAGCAGCACAGATTTATGTTCGATATTTTATTGCTGACCATTCTTTAAGTGCTCATGAGAGGGAATTTGAGCGGCCTGCTTTTGGGCTATTTTTACTGTGCTAGATGATTCCATAGAAAGAAATGAAAGGCAAATAAGTATTGCCTGGACGGTAGGAGAGGTGTTAAACAGATCGTACTCCACTTTCCAAATAACCGGAGACAGTAGATGGGCTATATTCATGAAACTGGTGTAGACTGGTAGACCTGTTTTATTTCTGATACGAATGACCGCTCATACAGCAGAGGCAGTACAGAATGACATGTTGACCCCTGGTGGTTAGATTGAAGTACTGCAGTGTCGGTTGTGGTCAAACTGTGTACCCGAGGATTACGTTTACATTACTGGGCACATAAATGGGTTCCACTTAGTGTCAATTTCAGTCCCTTGTGTAGACCGCTTACCAAATTAAATATTGGCTGAACAAGATTATTGGCCAACACGGGCAACTTCAATTCATTTTATTTTGAAAATAAAATGCAAATTTCCCTCAGGGGGCTTTACAGTTTGTACACATGTGACATCCTCTGTCCCAAAAACCACACATCGGCACATTCCCCCCAAAAAGAAAAACCCTTCCATGGGGAAAAGAAACCTTAGGGAGAACGTCAGAGGAGGGATCCCACTCCCGGGATGGACAGACTACAATGGATGCCATGTGTACAGAATGAACAATGTAAAAGATGTACAATACATTAAATTCCTAGAACAGAAATGATTCAAATAATTGCGAGTAGTAAGCCAGGTGTACGGCAGGACCACTGCAGGGACAACCGACCATATACAGCCTGTGGGGAGGGAAAGCACAAAGACTTTAGGAGAGGGTAATGTCGGTTTATGACGACAGTAATAGTAATATGATTAATATTTAAAAGTCATAATGATGATGATGATGATAGCAGCAGCAGATGTCAGCAGGGCCACGGTAGGAGGCAGGAACAGGGTCCAGATGGAACCATGATCCATGGAAACCTGTGAGACGAGAAAGCACCAAAAACTCTGGGAAAGAAGCTGAATTAGTGATGTGCATTAATGAAACGTGGGTTATTGTAGAAGGTGAGAGTGAGAGAGGAGCTCGGTGTGTCCTAAGAAGTCAGTCTAACCCTATAGCAGCTTAAGGGCCGGTCCGGGCTAACCTGAGCCAGTGGTATCAAAGAGGAACGTTTTAAGCTTTATTTTAAAAGAGCTGACCTAATCTGCCCCCGGACAAAAAATGGAAGCTGGCTCCACAAAAGAGGAGCTTGATAACTGAAGCCTGTGAAGTTCATCGACACTGATGAAATATGCCGTTTCCTCCTCCACTCCGCCAGGGGGCGCTGTGCGCATGCGCGGACCCGCTGTGGACCAATCATTGTTGCCCAGCAGTTTGAACGATAAGCGGGTGCAGCGGATTTTGATTCCTGCGTAATAACAATGAAGAAAATACTAAAAAGGCAATAAAATAACGGAATTAATCATGGGAACAGGTCAGACAGCTAACACTCGCGTTGGTCCGATCAGTGTTGTTTAGCGCATTCGGCTAGTTAGCTTGGTCACGTTAGCTAAACGCCCCTTGAAGGCGCATTCAAATCCATCTGGACTGTTAGCGCAGCTTCATGTGCGGTTTAAGCCATGAAGCGCTTACAGCCGTTGTTTCTGAAGACCTACGGTAAGAAGGCTCGACAGGAGTCCGCCTGGATCCTGCCGGAGAACCGCAAGGCCGCCTTCGACAGCTCGCGCTCAACGGACGGTGACAGCTCGGTGCTCGAGGCCCAAAGGTACGACGAGCCCCGCAGACGCGCTGACGGTTCCCCTTAAATAGCGACGGCCTTTGGACTCGAGCCGACCCGACCGGTACCAGAATGACACCGCCTTTAATGGCCAAGTCACCTTAGTAACACACCAGCGGTAACGTTAGTTTAAATTAACGTGTATGTTAGAATAGGGTCTTTATATACAGTGAAGCTGTTCATTTGATAATGGTCGTCTAAACTGCAATACTTACCTTCATCTTGATAGGGATGATATAGACATGTTTCATATCATTTAGTTTTATACTTTGAAATATTTGATTTTCCGGTATGTATGAACTTTAATAATGAAGGTTGAATATCATCGCAGGTGTTTTGTTTACCACAGATATGTCTGCACAGCACATACTGTATGTCAGCAGCAGGTAATGATGAGGGAAAACTGTGATTTAGCAGCTCAGCACTGTATGATGATCCATTTTGAACCCTAGTCGAGTCTCCCCTGTCTCTCATGTTGCCCCCCAGAGAGAGGACCACCAGAGCCGCCGGGCCTGAGAGGACGCGGCCTGCCACGAGGAAGGCCACGCGACGTCTGTCCGAGAGGAGCTGCGACGAGGAGAACGCGCCCCCTCCTCGCCGCTCCACCAGGTGAGCGATCGGACAGCTGCTCATCTTGTGTCTGTCATTAATCCACTCATCGTTTGATAATGAGCCATGCTCATCACTCAGGAATCCAATGTCATCACACTACGAGGGTTGATAATATGTATAATATAATATAAATATACAAAAAACCCAGTGAGTTCTGTTTTGTTCCCCAGACCAGGTTGCCCGTGCTCACCGGTTGGTTGTAACCTTCTTTTCTCGTTGTCAGGGTGAAGAAAACAAGCGTGGCCAGTGGGCGAGCGGCGCGTCCCGCCAAGCTAAAAGCCCTTTCATGTCTGCGAGACGACGACAGTGACGAGGGGGACATCGGCAGGTCCTCTCCTCCCCGCCCTCGAAGCAGGACAGCCAGGTGAGTGCTCGGACAGGCACGAGCACATGTACAGCATTTTGCCCTTCTATTGTATTTATTTTTGGTTCCGTGAGCTCAACATAAAATCAACATAACTGGTTATAACAGATCCAACTGTCTTCTTCTCCATTCTATAAAATCCCCAGAATTTATTGTGGATGCAGCCGCTTTAGATCTGGGATATAGGGCTGCTTTTTTAAAATCAACTTCAATTGTCAATCTCTTGAAAATCAGATCCGTCTTCAGTTTAGATGAAGAGAAATTGAATCAACTGAGGAGTATCTGCCACTCTTCAGACCAGCTTTGGCTGTATATATAAAAAATACCTCATTTAGGCGGAAACCTCCGGTTCTGAAAAGTGAAGCAAACAAAGAGGTGACATAAACATGAGTTTTCTCTACTGACCAGCAGGGGGCGACCTTTCCAGTTGCAAAAAATATGTCTTAATTGTTTGGAATTCTATGAGAAAGTGACTGATTCTCCCTGACTGACTCTCAGTAGACGGTAGTCTTCAGTGCATTATGTTCCTCTAGTAAGTTATGGTCCATTCAGAATCAACGGGTGGGCTTTAGGACAAGCTCCCTGTGATTGACAGGTTGCTGCTGGTGCCAAAGCCTCAACGGGTAGTCACTCCTCATCAGTCCAAATATGGTCGTTTTCTAGTTGCAAAAAAACAAGATAGCATCTGTTTCCAAAGTTTAACTTGGCTCGTCTTGCTGCATCATCAGGCAAGATGCTGTTACTGCTCTGCTAGGGGTGTAACGATTCATTTTAACAACAATTCGATTCGAATCGCGACTCATGGTTGCCGATTCGATTCATGGACGATCTGGGTTCATTTAGAACGATTCGATTCAGTAACTTGAAATCAATTCAGTAACTTTACTGGACAGTGCAGGCAATGTTTCTGAGATCCCTGTTGTTTCTTGTAAGGAAATCAGGTTTAAATTAATTATGGATATGTTTATAAACAAGCAAACAACAATTGATGGCAAATGTATTAACCTTTTATTGTGCAACCATTTTTAATGTAAACATTACACAATAATTACACAATGTTTGGATCAATTCACAGAACCCCGGATGTTCAACCACATGGTCGGGTCGCATGTCTTTACAGATAAACTTGGCAATTGTTACTGTGATGTTGAGTTTGGTGCTGGCGAGGCCTGAGGCGTCTGCAGAGCTGAGTTACCTGCTGCTGCTGCAGCGGTGACGCTGCTAGAGGTCCTGACTGTCGCCGTTGTTTAATCCCACGGCGCCTTAGTAGATGGCCGGAAAGATTCGTCGTGTTTCCGTGGTTTTTTATTTGGCTTCTACATATTCTACAAACAGCGACTGACTTATTTAGAACACCTCCGTGTTTGCAAAAGCCCAAATTTTTCCACACGCTGGATCGATAAGTTGGTTTGTAAATGTCTCGCTCGCAGTCGTCTCCTTCACGCTGTGTTTTGTTGTTGTTCCGAGTTTCGCGCGGCTGCCGCTGCGTACTGATGACGTCACAGACAGGCAGACTGAATCCAGTAACGTTTAACGTGTCAAGTGCTAAAAAACTAACAAACAAACACACATCCACACCGTTTTTGTACTTAAATCCAATGTGCAGTTTCCAAGTATCGATACAAATCGATTATGTACCATTTCAATCGATTTGTAATCGATATATGTCGTCCGGAATGCCGATTTGCGGCGCACAGATCGATTCAGTTGGATCGCAGGAATATAAATCGATTAATCGATTCAGTGAATGAATCGTTACACCCCTAGTTCCTGCTTGTTAAAAGAAACCTGCAGGGTCAGGAGGATTATCTCCTCTGCAAGGTAACGCCTGCTGTAACCGTTGTTCTTCATCCTTTTTCAGTTTTTCCCCCTCTAGTGGGCACCTTCCTTCCACGGGCCGCTTCGTAACCCGCCGCAGACGGGCCACCACTGCCAAGCCCCAACCCCCGAAATCATTGTTCACCACGCTGAACTCTTCAGATGAGTTTACAACCGCCGGCCCCAGGAGAACCCTCCGGCCCACCCGGAGGATGGCCCCCCCGTCCCGCTTGGCATTGAGCTCGGAGAGTGCAGCCGGCTCTGGCACCGACCCCTTAGCGGAGATTTCCCTGAATGAGTTGGCCGACCGAAGCCTCGGACCCCGCCCCAGGAAGCCCACCTTTTGCTCCACCCCCTCGGCAGGCTCCTTCAGCAGACGGCCACGCCTTAAACCCCCGTCCTACAACGACCAGTCCCTGAGCCCGCTGCCCATGGCCGTGAGCTGCATCGGCGTCTCGAGCACATTCCACGAGGACGCCAATTTTCCCGGGCGGCTTTCCGCGCTGCCCGTCACCCCTCGCTCCGAGGAGAAGATGCCGCCGAGCCTCGGCGAGCGCCAGCCGGACCTGCGTGGCAGCGAGGGATCCTCCGCTGATCTGTTCGGCAGCCCGAAAGAGAGCGGCCGCTGCAGCGAGGGAGACGCAACAGCCGGGAATGGCGCGGGGTCCGTGAGCCTGGATCCCTCGGCCGACGGCAGCGATGGCGGCAGCCGCTTTGTATCGGCGGCGGGGGGCTTGGAGTGGTTCATAGAGGCCGTTAAGGAGCAGTGTCTGACCGAGCGCTGCACGGTGCAGCTGCAGCGGTTGGACGGCCGCGCGGCGTCGCTGCTCTGCGGCCGGACCGCCTACTCCTCCTGCCTGGGGCTCGCCGGCTCGGCCGGCAGCATCGGGCAGCCGTCCGTGAGCCGCCTCAGTAGTTATCCGAGTTATCTGACATCAGAGTCATCTAAAGACGGTCAGAGCGCCAGCGCCTCGCCTGCAGCCGCACAGCCGAGCACACAGGAGGACCCGGAGCAGTCGGCGTCGCTTCTTTATGTTGGATCCACCCACCGCGGCGACTGCGGTGGGGAGTTTGCGGTGGGCGCCGCGCCGGCACCCGCTGCTGGACCGGTGAAGGGCGAGCGCCTCTCTGAGCAACGCAAAGCGCAGCTACGAAACACGCGTTTGTCCCGCGCAAACGGGTCCAAAAACTCAGACGACGTCATGCTTTTGGGAGAAGTCCCCGAGAGGAGGAGGACCAGAAGCCCGGGGCCGACGCCGACGCCGTCCAGCCCCCCGAGGACGGAGGGCGAGGCGGCGGCGCTCGCCATGGCGCTGAAGGAGAAATGTCTGACCGCCAAAGTCCTTGTTGAGGTGACGAGATTAAGTCTGTCGCGGCTGGACGATATTGAGCCGCTCGAACGGCCCGAGAGCCGCTGCGCAGAGACGCCCGTCGGCGCGGAGAAGAGACCCCCAACGAGCTCCGGGGACGAGATCAGAGGCGGAGGAGCAGCGCGGGGGTCCAGAGACATTCCCAAGAGAGGGGAAAAAAAGACCCGCCCGCCTGCTAAAGAAAAGAAGACGAGAACGACCACGTCTGCGGACCGTCCCGGGACGACCCGGAAGGCGTGTGTGAGCGGCCTGAGCGTCAGCCGCTGGAAGAACAACGCCAGCATAAACGCCACCGGCAGCAGGGCGGCAGACTGCAGCCTCAACCACCTGGTCTCCACCCACGGACCGCCCCCGGTGAGCAACACACACACACACACACACGTCCACGGGACGCTTTGATTAAACGACACAAGAGAGGAAATGAGGAATTGTTCTTTTCTGTTAAACATCAGTTACACTTCATGTCCAGTTTACAGCTGTGAGCCGTTTGTTTGACTGAAGTTTAAGGTATTTGTGTCCGAGACTCGTGTCTTCCCTCGTACACAATAACGATGCTGCCATGTTGTTGGCTAACACTGCCAAACGCCCCGTGTGTAGGAGCTGCTGGGGGGCGCCGTGGGGTTCTCCACCCCCCTGAAGGCCAGCCGCCTCAACCTGTCGTCCCTGCTGGCCGACCTGACGCCCCACACGCACACCTGGAGTCGCCTGAAGGCCGCCCTGTCGGTCCACCGCAGGAACAAGGGTGACTTTTTGTACCTGACCTGGAATCGGCGATTCAATGAACTTCAAATAACATCTGTGTTGTTGTTGTTGTTGTTGCTCCGCAGTGCTGCTCACTCCGAGCAGCTCACGGCCGGCTGCGATGGGCGAGCTGGCCGACGTCAGCGGCGACCTCTTCGCTACACCCTTTCGAACGCCGTTCCGCAAGCGCCTGCAGCCAGCGCTGCTGGGCAGCAATTCCCCAGTACGGACCACACACACACACACACAGAGACAGCCATAGCATAGGAGTCACAACGTCCATTCTCTCTTTTGAATGTTTTGCTCACTGGACGTGAACTCCTCCCCCCGTCTCTTTTGGCCTCTAGGCTGCGTGTGAGGACGCCGACCTGTCGGATGCAGAGAAGGTGTGTGCAGAGTGCGGGCAGCCCCGCCCACTGCCGTGGGAGCAGTGCATAGCCCCTCACCGCATGCAGCAGTGTGTGAAGATAGGGGAGGGGACGTTTGGGGAGGTCTTCTCTACCACCAACGCTTCAGGAGACATGGTGGCGCTCAAGGTATGTGCGACTGTGTGCTTGCGTGCAGTATTTTGCGCTTTGTAGGTTGCGATTTGTTGCAATTGGTACAGATCATAAACCCTACTGAGGCCAATTGGTCAAATTTGGGCTATACAAAATAAATGAAATTGAATTGAAGACATTTGTGACGACAGATCATTCCACTAGAGGGCAGCGAGAAGGTGAACGGGGAGGACCAGAAGACTTTTGGAGAGATTCTCCACGAGATAATTATCTCAAAGTAAGTAGGTGGAGTCATTTCCCCTCATGGGGGGGGTGGGGGGGGGGGGGCGCCTGAAGTGACGGCTAACGATGGGAAACAGCAGCTCTGGTGAAACGCGTTGTGTGGTTTCTCTTCAGGGAGCTGAGCAGTCTGAAAGAGAAGCAGCAGAACAAGACTCACGGATTCATCGGACTCAACGAGTAAGTCTCTCTCTCTGTGTCTCTCCGGATGTTCTTTTCTTCGTTGGTTTGTTAACGTGAATCGCCTCTTTTCCCTCGCAGCCTCCACTGCGTTCAGGGCTGCTACCCTCCACACTTCCTGAGTGCTTGGGACGCCTTCGACCAGCAGAAAGGCTCAGAGAACGACCGACCAGGTCAGTGGTGGGAGATCTGGGTCCCGTTTAGTCTCCATAGAACCAAAGGGCCGTTTCTTTATTACCAGACGGCGACCGATCTTGTATATTTATCTCTACTGTCTATCTGGATGATTTATCACCTCAGCAAACGTTGTCAGCATCGATCTCTAGTTGCACGTCTTCTTCAGCAGACGATGTTCATTTAGTAAATATGTTCAGAGTGGATTATGCTTTAGGCCGGGGCTACTTTGCGTTTTCAGTTCATCAAAGTTATTTGGTCCTTTGTGATGTGTATCAGTGTGACGGGAAAAAAATCCTCTCTCCCCCGTGAGACGGCCAAATTGTTAATAGTCCAAACGGGACAAACCTCCAGCATCAGTCTGCGTCTCGCATCCTTTCCTCAGGTCTCTCTCTCTCTCTCTCTGCTTAGATTTTTTTGAAAAGCATCAGTTATTCATAATCCTGGAGTTTGAGTTCGGAGGCGTCGACCTGGAGAACAGCAATGGGACGGTAGGCTCTGCGTCGGTTTCCCTCTTGCGCGGCACTCTGCTCTCATCACATTTGTACACCAGTTGTAAACATGGGCTCAGACATTAATATAGAGGCCACATGACAACATAAAGTTAAATATGTATGCCGAAGGAGCCACTAAAAGATTAAACCGGCTGAGCAGCTGAACTTCTGCAAACAGTAAACACATTCGAAACGCTGTGTTTATGTTTATTTACTTGAGTCTTCGTTGTGTCTTGAAGCTGACGTCTTTGCTGGTGGCCAAGAGCATCCTTCATCAGGTCACTGCTGCCTTGGCCGTTGCTGAGGAGGAGCTCCACTTTGAGCACAGGTAGAGTGTCAGCGCGCACACACACACACACACAGGGTCGTCTGTGGCCATCAGGCACACTAAGCAGGGAGAGATTCAATGTATATAAAGTGAAAACAAACATACAATCAAATGTCTAAAATCTATTGTTCATAAAAGAAGTCAAATTGTTTTTTTGATTGAGTGAGCAAAACAATACAACGGTTTGTTAAAATGTTTGCTGAATTAAAAAAAAAAACACTGGGAAACGCTGTGCAATACTGTGCTGCTGCTGTGGGACTCCTTGATGCTGCAGGGACCTCCACTGGGGCAACGTGCTGGTCAAACCCACCAAGCAGAAGACGGGGAGCTTCTTCCTGAAGGGAGCGGCCCACTCTCTGGAGACCAAGGGGGTGCTGGTCCGCATCATCGACTACTCTCTCTCCAGGCTGGAAATCGGTCAGGAGGTTTTCCTCTTCTCCTCGTCGGCCTCTTTGTTCCGTACCCCGAAGGGTAGAAATGATGCTGATAATATAACATGTCCCCTACAGATGACCTGACGGTGTCCTGTGACATCTCCAATGACGAGGAGCTCTTCATGGGCCAGGGGGACTACCAGTTTGACATCTACAGACAGATGAGACGGGAGAATGGGTCAGTGTGTCTGTAATTCTACACAAATACACATGCATGTATATTTGTTTGTGTGTTTATATCATTTGTGTGTTGAGCCAACCTAGTTGTTTGCGTCACTGATTGCTGATCACGATGCCTCCTCTCAGAAATAACTGGAGTGACTACCACCCCCACACCAACGTGCTGTGGCTGCGCTACCTGTGCTCCAAGCTGCTCTCCATGAAGTACCGGGGCTTGGGAGGGAGGGGCTACAAGGGCTTGCGAGAGGAGCTCACCCGTTTCCATGACGACGTCCTCCAGTACCGCTCTGCCACCGACGCGCTGCGGACCTGCCCCATGTTTCAGTAGCATTTCAGTGTGAGGATTCTCACACCTACTGTTTTTAAGATGCGGAGACACAAGGAGGTGTGCGCTTCATCTTTAGTGTGCAGTCTGCTTGGTGTCTGACATATGAAGACGGGTTTATTCATCTCCTTTTATGTGTCAACTGCCCTTTGTCACGTTTATTAAAATAACCATTTAATACGACGTATAAATGTCTTACACTTTTTATTTGAAGTTTCTTTGATGCCTGATGCATTAGCTGCTGCTTTCACAAATACTGTATAAAGAAAACAAACATTCCTACTTGATACATTTTTTTTCAATCTAAAAGTGGTATTGTGATCCAGATGTTCCCATTATATTTTATCACCAAAGGTATTTGTTAGAAACTCACTTTCTCTCTATAGACTTGTTAAACTAACAGTTATCAACATTTTAAGCTATTTAATAGACTAAAGTGCACTGAAAATATTCATTTTCTAGTCAACACTGCTGGAGGGTTTTCCAGACCGATTTGTAGTGCAGCAGTATTTAGTTGTGTGAAATCAAATGTGAAAAGTAGGTTGTGCAAATGTTTGAACCCTGATCATTTGAATACCTGCAGCTACTCAATGCTGATTAACTGCAACACAGAATTAGTCTGATTAGCTTGTGAAGCCTTGAATTCCATAGAAAGGTGCATCTGATCATCAGAAAAGGTATTAAGGGCGGGCTTTGATCCTCTGAACAGTGGCGGCATGGAAGCATCATAACGGCTATCAAATGATCTGAGAGCAAACGGCGGTCACCAGTGTGTCCTCGGCTATGAGCAGCGCTAAGAGATGGAAGGCTGCAGGCGCAGTTCTTGTGAAGGCACAGGTGGCAGCAAGAAGAATAACAGAGCGGTAAAAGAATGGTGAGAGTGGTCTGGGACGACCCTCAGACCCCCTCCAAAGACCTGCGAGGTCATCTGGCTGCAGATGGCGTCGCCGTGCACGGCTGCGCGGGAGAAGCCTTTTCTGCACGCACGCCACAGACCGGCTGGCCTGAGGTTCGCCGCACTGCATGTGGAGTTTCTTCTTTTTTTTTTGCCTCCTACGCATGGAGGCAAAAGAAAGAAGCATTCCTAGAAAAACACCTGCGGCCCACAGGGACATTTGATGGGTGGGGGGGTCCATCGTGCTGGGGGGGCTGTGTGGTTAGTGCAGGAACTGGGAATCCAATTAAAGTTGAGGGTCGCGTGGATTCAACAACAACAATAACGTTCAGGAATCTGTAACAGTTTATGCAGAGGAACAAGTATACGATGTTCTGGAACGGCCGTCCCGGTTCCCACACTTGACTTTAAGGCAGCCATCAAACACGCTGAACGGAAGAACGGTCCAGAATACCTTCATCCAGAATCCAGACACTCGTCAGAGGCCACAGGAAGCCGCTGCAGGCTGTTGTTTTTGCAAAAGGAGACTCTAGTAAATATTAATGTGATTTTTCTGTTGGGAGGCCCAAATTTATGCACCTGTCTAACTCTGTTATGATGCCCGTGGCATATTTTCTGTTTATCAAATAAACCTTATTTCACTGGTAAAATATCACATGTCCATGGGGTATTTTATATATATATATATTTATATGAATATATATATGACGAAGTTCCTGAATGAAAGTAATGCAGATCATCAGCGGTGTTTAGAGTACAGGGAGATCGTATCTATATCTTAATACAATCATAAAGTAAACCTCATCTGCCTGCTGATTGTGTTGCTCGTTTGAAAAATAACCACGTTAGCTGCTTGGGGTTAATAAATTTCCTCTTATGTCAGCGATTTGACAACAGAACTATTCGTATTCACGCTGCGGCGTACTGCATACTGATTTATGGTTATTAAATATTAATGCGTGAGGAGGTAGTGGCATATTGCTAGTCTGTATTGGTGAACATACTGTATGTTGACCAATTAAGATATAAACTGCATATAATTATTGAATTTTTGAAAAACTAAAATACCCATTGTGATATTTAGTTAGTTTTTTGTAACAGTTTTACTATATGACGTAAAATGATAAAACACGTCCCGCCAGCCAGCTTCACTTTAACATCTACAATCTACTTAACGAAATCTGGATTTCTCCGGTAGAAAGAAGAAGCGAGTACGAAAACAAAATATTTTATATAATTTCTTCAACAAGATTATTATACATTTTTGCATCGAGACAAGCTTCCTGTTGGTCGGGTGAGTGGCGGGTTCCCCTTCTGACCGGGAGCCGCAGTGAAAACGTCCGACGCTTTGCAGACGCTCGCCTGCTGATCTTCAACAAATGGACGTTCCTCCTGGAATAATCGCGTGTTGGAGATTAGAGCAAAGGTTTGCACTTTAAAAAAAAGAAAAGGAAGACTGCTTTGATAAAAAAAAAAAAATCAACACATGGAGACATCACAAACCATACAAAGGAGATCGGGCGGGCCTGCGCTCCGCCATGTGTTTGAGAAGCACTTTTTGGTTGAGCTTTGAGGCAATGTTTGAGATGGCCTTGCTGGTGATGAGCCCGTCTGTCTGTGGATGCAGTCGTGTGTGTGTGTGTGTGTGTGTGTGTGTGTGTGTGTGTGTGTCAAACAGATGCGTATAAGAAGCAATGAACTGTATATGCGTAAATGTACTTGCAGCTGCTGTGCGTGTGTGCATGTAACATTGGTTTGTGCTCAGAAGGAGAAGTATTTGGTGAACCACTCCTGTTTCAGCCCATCTGTCCCCCTCTGCTCCAGATACGGGCCCCTGCAACACACAACAGAAACACGTGCATTGGCCGCAGTCATTAGTCCGTCCGTTGGACAGGAAACGGAGGAAGGGAGACGTAAACGATGGTCCATTTAGAGTGCAATCGACCATGAGGAAGGAGATGCTTTAGGGCGGGGCTACCTTGTGATTGACAGGCGGCTTCCACAGTTTTGTTTCGTCTTACAACTTGAACCCCTTTAGTGTTTTTCAGACTAAAATGAAGAAGTAGTCCACACAGCAATGGGTGACGTCATGGTGACTATGTCGGCATCTTATATACAGTCTACGATTGGGAGAGTTAGCTATTATTTTACAATTCAACAGCATTATGAAGTATTTATTTATAACAAGCATGAGGCTCAGTACGTCAGCATGTCTTCTTTTATTTTTCTTTCTGTTTTTTTACAATAAATTTATTGTCTCTGAGTCTGAAACAAATTTAGTTAGATTGATTGCAATATTTTCAGGAACGCTAGAAGAACGCAGTGTGCTCACATTCCGATCATTCCCTGTGCCGAGTGATGCGTCTGTCTGTCAACCTTCACGTCTCTCGACCTTTCGTCCCATCACAACATGCCCCTACCTGATGGACTGGCCCCGCAGGTGTGCGTGGGGCTCCTGGCACGAGGGCGCCACGTAGCGGATGCCTGTCTGCGGCGAGGGGCAGACCGGCAGCGGGGCGGTGGGCGCCGGCGTGGGAGGGACGCAGGAGGTCCGGGATCTGGTGGAGCGGGGGAGGGAGGGGGAGGAATGCCGGCCGAGGGAGAGGCCGGTGTGCTTGTGTGGGAGGGAGGAGGTGGAGTAGTGAGGGGAGGTCTGCGGTTGGGAGGTGGACTGGTGAGGGAGGGTGGAGGAGGAGCGCTGATGGACGGAGGACGAGGAGGACGAGGAGGAGGACGAGGACGAGGTGGGCACGAAGACGCTCCGGTCGTGGAGGCCGGGGACGCAGACGCGAGGAGGAGACTCAACGCGCTTCCTCTGTTAGGGGGACACAGTCCTTATTCACAGGAATTTATTTACAAATACAATAATAAGACGGCTGATATTCTATATTCTCATTACTGTCAATAAGCGCCATGAATACACCCAGAAATGAACCAATTCTTGAATTGAATATGGTAGTTTAATGCGATTCAGTCCCACATCCACTTTCCTGTTTCCATAAATATAATTAACTAATAAATTCATATTTCTATAAATATATATAGGCTATATTTGTGTTTTTTTTCTGCTTATTAAATGTAGCTGAAAGCCCAGCGAGCTCGTTTCCAGGAGTTCACTATGAACACATGCACTCACCCTCATGGTTGGCGTGACGCTCGCGGGGCGGGGCCTGAGGGTGCTGTTGTCCCCGGCAACGGGCGGCTGGAGCTGCAGCTGGTGCCTCTCCTCCTGGAGGAAAGGAGGACGAGGAAGGAGCGTCGTTACGTCGGTGTTGTTGCGGTGGTTCCGGGGGTGGCTGCTTGTTTGCTGCTCTGCCTCATGGCGCACAGATGGCCGACTCAGCACGCTGCCAGAGGACACCAGGTCTCCGCTGATGATTAATGAAGACACTGCTCCAGTTCCATTTGGTCTGAGTGGTCCAACATTCGTATCCGCTCGTGGTCCTTTTGCTGTTAACTGGCTACAAGAACTGCTCAAATAACACCCGTCAGGTGGCTTTGCACCATTCTTCCTTATTTAAATGTACACTAATTGTATAGTTTAAATGTTGCACCAATTGTATCATTTAAACTAAATGTAGGATACAATGTCTTTTTTTGATCTCAGCTCAAGTCGACCAGTCCTTTTGCTTTTGACCATATTCTAGCCTATGAACTAGCACCAACTCTGCTCAAAGATGCTTTTGCCTTTTGTGTCCACTAGATAGAGCAAAAGTCGGAAGACAGACGGACACAGAAAGGGTTTGAACTGTGAAAGGGATCAATGCAGCTACCTGGCATTCATCCTGACCCAGTGTCACCCCCATGCTCCGGATGCAGCGCTGAGGTCAATGGAAGCAGAGCAGACTGAATCTCGGGGGAGGGGCTTTGACGGGGTGGGCTGCCACTTTTGCTTTTTGGAGGTGTGTGTGTGTGTGTGTGTGTGTGCGCGCGCTCCCACCACCAGGCGCTTGATGAGCTGGTCCCTCTCGGTGAGCCTCTCCTGGAGTCTCCCCAGCTGCAGGTCATCGCAGCGAGGCTCCCTCCTCCTGCAGCGCTCCTCCCGCTCGCGCAGTCTGCAGTTAAATCATATACACAAACACACACGCGCACTCTTCTCACATACCCGCCCTTAATGTACAAGATCCCCTGAGTGCCCCCCCGCAACGCCCCCCCCCCCCCCGGGCCCGTCTTGCCCTCCACTCACTCGTTCTCGAGGGCCACGATGCGGGTCTGCAGGTGCGTCTGGGCGCTGCTGTACTCGGACACCAGGCTCTGCATCTCCTTCTTGTGCTTCCTCCGGATCTCCTCCACCTCCTCCCTCCTCTTGTCCTCCTCGCACTCCTTCTTCTTCTCCTCGTCCACCTCCTCCTCTTCCTCCTCTTTCACGTCCTCCTCTCTCCTCTCCTCCCAGTGTTTCTGCGACTCCTCCAGCTTTTCCATCTCCACCCTCAGCTTCTCCACCTCCTCCTTCAGGCGCTGCGCTTCCTCCTCCAGCTGCGCGTCCCTCTTCTTACGCAAATCCAGGACCTCCTCCTCTTTTTTCTCCTCGACTTCGGGTTTCTCCTGTGCGGACCTGATAAGACACACGTGGACAATGCATGATAAGGCTTTATTTAAATCCAATGCAGCCAAATGGGATACGGCAGAAGGGATCGCACTTCTCTTTTTTGTGTCCGGGTGGGTTAACAGAATTTTGTTGCGCATCCTTGTGTTGTATAATGACAATAAATGGTCCTTGAATATGACTCTGTCTGGATATACCTGCATTCGTTCGTTTTGAAAAGCAGTGAATTGCGTTGCCAGGCAACAGCTTGGATAAACGTATGCTTCATGTCAGCGGAGGTTGTCACGGGGACACATTTCGTGTGAAGTAGGGTCCACATCTTTTGGTTGCAATGGTCGCATTCATCACCTCAGCTTGTTGTACAGTGTATGATGAAGCATATACGTGGAAACCAGAGTCAAATTCCACATAAGCATACGTGGCCAACGAAGCCGATTCTGATTATTAGAAAATATTAAAACTCTATTTACATCTTTAGTCCAGTTAAACAAACTGACAAACATACGGATTTAAATGACTGGACCCAAGCAACAAGGTTTTAAAACAAAAAAAGCAGGTAAACGTATCCTAGTGGAAACGCCAAATATAAGTATGAACCGGATTATTCAGTTTGTTTAGCCCCAAAACACAGATTAGAGGGATTGACAGTGTGTCAGGGCGCTCTGCCCCGGAACGGACAAACCTTTGACAGAAAAAGACTGCATGCTGACGGAAGCAGCAAGCTTATTCATGACAGGCTTGGTGGCACCTCTGCAGCTCCCTGATTAACACAGTGCACCGACTATGTGTGTTCGTTGGTTAGCGGATTTGGACCGAGTCAGTCCAGCTGTTCCCCCTTTGCCTCCGTCTCAGTCGTATAGTGAAATATCTGCCAACTTCTTACACATGATGGGGTGAAATGTGAGGATTTGATGTTTTTCTTGAAGAGAACATCATCCCGTGTGACGTCCATCGCCGGATGAACCAACATGGCAAACAACCGTTAGCCGCTGCATTCCCACAGGTCACATCGTTAGTGTCATGATATAGAACTCCACGGGTGTCTTTCCTCACCTCTCCTTTAATTGCTTCTTCAGTGCTGCGTTTTCTCTCTGCATCTCCAGCATGGCACAGCGGCTCTCATCCAGCTGTCGCTCAAACACCTGATACTGGTTCTGCTGCTTCAGATCCTTCACACACACACACACACACACACACACGCGCGAGTTACCGATATCAGCCCTCGAGAACCATTTTTGTGGTCGTATTTTCACCTTGTTTTGGCCCGTGTGCGTGTGTGTGTGTGAGCGTGTTACCTGCTGCAGGGCCATCATCTGTGTGTGTGCCTGCAGTTGGGCCTGCAGGTCCTCTATCTGCTGCATGTGTCTCTGGGTCATCTGCCGGCTCCACTCCGTGTGCTGCTGGGTCAACTCGGCTCGCTGCTTATCTGATATCACACATACACACACGCACGCACGCACACACACGCACGCACGCACGCACGCACGCACAAGGGGAAATAACAAAATAAATCGGACCGACTGCTACAGGTACCCATCCGCTGTTGCCACGGTGAAGTGTATCCATGGCGATAGCAACTCCGCTGTTTAATTTACATTCTCAACGTGCGCATCACTCAGTGTGCATGACACTCGTGCACGCGCGCGTTTACGTGTGCAACGTGTGCGCTACCTAGCTCCAGGTGGTGCATCGTCTGCAGCCTGTTCCTCTCAGACAGAACGTCTTCCTTCGCCTGCCTCTCCAGCGCCTGCAGAGCCTTGGCGTGGTTGTGCCTCTCCTCCCCCGAAGACTGGGTTTGGGGCTCCTAAGACACACACACACACACAGCAGCACTTAGCCGCACGTGCACGCACTCCAGTGGGATCACGTTACAAAGCCTCTTCATCACCAAAGCCACTAAATTATTCATCACAGAGAGGAAGACCTGTGAAAGATTTCAGGGTACCTGAAGTAGATCCTTCAGTTTCTTGTTTATCTCCTTGGTGTCCTGGACCTCCTTCCTCAGCCTGTTAATTTCAGGGTTGCCATGGCAATCGTCTCCCGGGCTCTGCTTCGTTTTCTCCGCCTAGCGAGAGACGGGTACGCGTACAGTAATGCTGAGGTGATGAGGTTACAATCGGGCCCGGAGTGATAAATGAGGCTTTTGTTCCACCCACTCTTGAAAAGTAAATAGACTAAGGACCTAATTATGTTACTTCTTACACAGTACTGAAGTAAAAGCACTAACGCCATCATTTAAAAAACACTCCTTTACCAGTCCTGCATTCAAAATGTTATCTGCATGAAACCAATATAGAAAATGTGCTTGACGTCAGGAAATAAAAGGCATCTACAGAGCAGACAAATGGCTTCTTAGCTGTCGCATCATAACGTCCTCGGCTAAACCAACGGACGTGGCTCCATCATCCAACGAGCCTCGGGTCCACTGCCCGACTCCGGGGGGCAGGAGGTGAGAGGAAGACTCACCTCGCTCAGCTGACCCCGCAGCTCCGATATGAGCGCCTGCAGCTCCTGCTCTTTGCTCTGCCACCGCTGCTCGCTCTCAGCGACGGCGGCGTTCATCTCGATCCTGAACTCGGCTCTGAGGCGGTCCTCGCACTCCGCCCTGCAGGCACGCATCAGCGCCAGTCAAGCCACTTATTCAACAATCGTTTCAAGCGTATCGTAGATGAGGTAGAAACTCACTATTTTTTGTTCATAGTGTGGTTTTCTATGTGTTTCTATGTAAATATGCAGCGATTCGGAGCTACAGGAGCAGAAACCTGCAAATCTCTCACCAGCAGGTTTTGTACAAAACCCCTAAAAAAGGGAACGTCCTGTCGGGGACACTATCAACCACACATTAGCGTTGTCTGCATGCACACTGGATTTTAGAGTCATTTTAAAGTTTTCATTTTCCAGATTCCCTTTAGAACACCTCTCATTTTCCTGCAGCCATCGGGATCATCTGGACCGTGATACTGATTTCCCTCTAATGCGCTGACATTCCCACCATTCCAACGGCCGTCGCTTCGATCCACAATTTCAATCCTTTGCCTCCCAACTTAAGCGTGCGATCAGCTGAGCTACCTGATGCGGTCCTCGGCGTGCCGCTGGCCCTGGTCGAGGAGACTCCGCTCCGTGCTCAGGCGGCTCTGCTCCAGGACTTTCTCCTCCAGCCGGTGCTTGTCGGCCCTCAGGGACGCCGTCTCCCTCTGCTGCCTCTCCGCCTCCTCCTGCATCCGGGCCACCCGGGCGCGGGCCTGACGGAGCTCCTCCTGCAGGCGGCCGGGTGCCGCCGCCTCGGGGGCGCCCTGCTCCTGCTGGTCCCGCGGTTGGGCGGCAGACTGCAGCCTACAGGTCTGGGAGCACGAGAGCCTTTCACTTAAAGCGCGTTACAGCCGGCGCAGGGAATGAGTTTACCGGAGGGACGGCTTCTGGTAAAACCTCGTCGGTGGCATCTTTCAGCTTCGTCCGCAGCTCCTCCATTTCCCTCTCCAGCTCGCCGCGCAGCTCCTCACCGGCCCTCCTCTCCTCGTCCAAACGGGAACACACCTGCCGAGGAGCGCCATCGTGACATGAACAACCTCTGACCCGCGACACATCTCCTTACAAAGCCAAGTCAGACAGACGCCGACCTCTTGGTTGGTCTTCCTCTCTGAGCTCAGAGCCTCCTGGACGCCCTGCAGCTCGGCGGCGTGCCTCCTCATCACCTCCTCTATGGCCTTCCGTACCTGCTCCTTCAGCCGCTTCCTATCCTCCTCTGCCTTCTCCACCAGCCTCCTCTTCTCCTCCTCCAGCTTCTGCTGCACGTTGGCCCTCTCGGCCTCCACCTGCTCGATGCTCTTGTCCAGCTGCAGGCGAATGCGCACCCTCTCCACCTCCAGCTCCTTCCTCTGGCAGTCCACCTCCTCGTCCTTCTCCCTCCTCAGGCGCTCTTTGATGCCCTCCAGCTCCTCCCTCTCCTCCTCCCTCTCCCGGCGCAGCCTTTTCCTGTCCTTCTCGAACTTCTCCTTCTCTTGCTCCCGCTCCCCGCGCGCCTCGTCCCTCTCTCTGTCCATGTCCTTCTGCAGCTTCTCCCGCTCGTCGTCCGCGTGCTTCTGGATGCGCCGCAGCTCCTCCGTCTGGGCTCGCACCATCTCGGAGCGCAGGCTGGACAGGGCCTCGGCGTGCTGAGGGGGGACACACACACACACGCGCACATCCGATGGGACCGCTGCGACAGGAAGCGGCGGCGGCTCCTGCCGCGCTCCTTACCTGGCGGATCTGCCGGGCGTGGTCGCTGCTCCGGCCGCTGCTCTGCAGCTCCAGCTCTCTGTTGCGGCTCTGCAGGCGGCCGGCCTGGCTCCTCAGCTCCTCCACCTCGGTGCACACGCAGGCCTCGCAGCCCCCCCGGTTCAACAGCTCCTCTGGCACACACGGAGAGGAGACGCAAGCGCATGAACGCGCCGATTGTGGTGCAAGCAGAAGGGGAATAAGGATGCGCCACCAGCCCGCAATGAATAACGTCTTTTGTGCTGACCGGCTGTGACGGGACTTTGATGAAGCTGTTTGCCTCTGAGGAGGATGAATAACGCGCGTTTGTTGCATTCCCTGTACACATTACAGACTTAATTAACGCTGAGTCAGAGTTGCCGCCGGGAACGTGCTGAGCTCAGCGGGGCGCTCTGCCTCTCCGGTGGACGGACGGGCGAGACGACAGGTGAGGGCGGAGGAGGGGGGGGAGGGGGAGGGATGGGGGGTTGACAGGCTTATACCTGCTCTGCTCTGCAGCTCGTCCTCCTGCAGCAGCAGCCTCTCCTTGGCGACGGAGAGCTCCTCCTCCGCGCGCCTGGCCGCGCCCTCGGCCTCCATCACGCGCCTCCGGTCCAGCTCCAGCTCCTCCTCCAGGTCCTGGTGGTGCCGCCCCCCCCCCCCCCCCACCCCACACAACAACAACAAAACAAACACAAAACGACAGGAAGGGAGGAGAGAAGAAAGACAGGTGAGGGCAGCGGCCTTTGACACAGATGAGGACAGAAAGGGCACAAGTCAGGGAGAACAACACGGGGGGGTTGGGAGGGGAGTTGGGGGGGAGGGAGCTGCCCTCCCCCGGCTACGGGCGGGTAATGGCTCGCTGTGCGAGGACTCTCTCGCGGGGGCTTCTTAATGCTTGTGTAATGGCGGCGGCGGCGCGGCGGATCCATCCCGCTCAAACTGCTCATTAGTTGGCAGCGGGAGCAGCACTCAGGCGGAGCAGCAGGAGGTGAGACAGCCAGATCCACCCACCCCCCCTCTCCACCATCTCCCCCATCTCCCCCCTCTCCACCATCTCTGCCTCCAACCCGCTCCCTCTCCCCGTGAGCACCGTCATTAGCCGGGTGCTTCCGAGACAGGAAGTTGCCACATTTCAATTTCCTCTCCCGTCCGTTTCAACCACCTCCAGTTTCAGTGTGTATGGAAGGATTGTGTGTGTGTGTGTGTGTGTGTGTGTGTGTGTGTGTGTGTGTGTGTGTGTGCGTGCGTGTGTATGTGCGTGTGCGTGTACCTGTATCCGCTCTTGCAGTTTGACCGTGCTCCTCTTGCCCTCCGACAACCTCTCCAGGTGGCCCTCCACCTCCGCCTCCGCCCTCTTCACCCTCTCTTTCAGGGCACTGTGCATCCCCCTCTTCTCCTCCTCCTCCCTCTCCTCCCACCTGCGCCGCTCCTCCCTCCACTCCGCCTCCATCCCCCTCCTCATGTCCTCGCGCTCCTTGTTGAGGTCGCTCATCCTCTGCTCCCACTGCTTCCTCTCCTCCCTCGCCGCGCGCCCCCTCTCCTCCTCCGCCCGGTCGCCCTCCTCGCGCAGCGCCTCCAGCTCCTCCGAGAGCCTTTGCGCCTTTTCCGAGTCCTCCCGTTGCTCGCCTCTCCTGTCCTCCTCCTCGTCCCTTTGTCTCTGCTCCTCGGCCGCTTGCTTCAACTCTTTCTGCAGCTCCAGGATCCGCTCGCCGGCCTCCTCCAGCTCTTTGCTCAGCCGCAGGTTCTCCTCCTGGCCGTCGGCGATGTGGGCCTTGGCCTCCTGGAGCTCCTCCTCCGCTGCCTGGAGCTTCTCCTCAAACTCCTTCCTCAGCTCCGACCCCGTCTCGCGCTCTCTCTCCTCCGACTGGATGCGGAAGACCTCGAAGTCCGCCTGCACCTGCGGGCACAGAGGAGACGGTGTTAGACGCTGGGGGGCTGCTGGGGGGGGGGGCTACTATGCTCCACCATTTCATCTCAGGGAAGAACTGCAGCATACAGGCAAACCACAGTGCACAGGAGCCCCTTCAGTCTTCTTTAATAAAACACAAGGTGAGTTGAGTAAATTATTGTCCATTTAGTGTCAAAGAAATACCATAAAAGAAGAGTAGGCTTTAGGGCGGGGCTACATGATCGACAGCGTGTTCTTACATAATTCCACTGCGGCCCAAATTTGGTCCTTATATATATAAATATATACATATATATATATATACAATATATTCTGATAACGGCCAAAATCCAAGATGTCGACAGCAAAATTGAGGCTTCTCAAAACGCAGTTTTTCATTTACTTTTACTTTATTCTGCCTGTGACGTCCAGGATTCTAAGATAGTTTTAGTCCTGCAAATAGAAAACCTGTTTAGGGACAAAGGACATTGAGAGTCTGCCATGTCCTCGCGGCTTTAATCCCTCCTGTACGCGTCTCCTCATTATATGGACATTTGCGTCAAAATACAGTACTTGTGTTTTCTAGACGGCGCCGGTGATCCAGCGAGAGGGTGAGGCCGTGTTTGATGTTTGTCGACGGATTCTAACAGAAGTGTTTCGTTTACGCGTCATGTTCCTCAACGAGACAAAGAGACGACATTTCCAAATAAAAAATGAAGAGGTTGATGTCACATCACTGAGCTGCATTGTGTTCGCTCAGAGGAAAGGCGCGTGTGTGTGTCTCAGCGACGCAGCATCGATAAGGCCGTACGGCCTCGGGCCATCCGGGCCGGGCGGACCGCTGTGGGTCACTTGAAGTGGGGGGGGGGGCTTTTGTACACGTGGCATTACGGCAACACGCAGAGTCCTTTGACTAAGGTCAGCTGATCTCACAATGGAGAGCGACGCCCACACCGCAAACACCGCCCGTCAGCTGGGGGGGGGGTTGCAGTTTTGAAGCTTAAGAGTTCTGAATTTAGAGGGAGAGGGGGGGGGGGCTATTTGACCCCTGGTGAGACAACAGTTTAGAAAGTGACGAGGATGCTGACTCTCCTCTGTCACACACACACACACACACACACACACACACACACACACACACCTGGGCCCCGGCTCTCTGCTGCTCGTCCAGAGAGTCCTGCATCTCCAGGAGGCGCGTCCTCAGCGGCGACCCCTCCCCTTCGTGACAGGTCTCCACCAGGATGCGGTGCACCTCGTCGTGGTGGGCGTGGCTCAAGGCCTGCAGCGCCGCCTCCTGCTCCTCGTTCTTCATGTTCAGAGAATAAATCACCTGGAGAGCATGAAGGACAGGGAAGCGTTAAGCCGCCGTGGGCACAAACCGTACGTTCTGGGCCGTATCTGTTCATCCACTTCGCCCATCGGTGGCTGAAGCGGTTTTCTGTCCCCCCGTGTTGAGAGATTTGAGGGAAAAGCACTTTAGTGTCGTCTCCCTCCTATTTTTGGAACTGCAGAATAGCGTAAAGTAGGAGCAGCCAGTCATTGTCGAGTTTAAGCTGACATTGAAAGATTTATTTGCGGACCGTCGATAAGAAAAGATTAAAACTGGCCCAGTTTTGTTGTAGGAGAATAAAACCGTTGTTTCTATTCCCGTCCTTTTGACTGGACTGATCCCAAACTGTGTGTGCGGAGGGACGGAACGCAAACTGACGCCAACACGCCAGTATAATAACAAACACCTGCAAACTGACACAGAAAACTCAATAATCCCCAAACACAAAGCACAGAGGTCAAACAGTAACGCCTGCAAACAGCGCGTTCATTCTCCAGCCGCCGTCACGTGACGAGTCCTCATATGGTCCGTGACTAACACCTGAAATACGGCCCGCCGTCCTCCGTACCCTCCATTCCACATCTACCGTGTCATCATCTGCTCCCCCCGACCCCCGATGGCTCACTTACACGTGTATCCGCAGAGGTGTGTGTGTGTGTGTGTGTGTGTGTGTGTGTGTGTGCGCGCACATCGGCTCATATTTTACCCGGACGCCTCTCTGTCTGCAGCGTACAGCTGGCACGGCTCTGCTGGACATTCCCTCCGCGTGAGCCATGCTGTGTGTGTGTGTGTGCGTGTGTGTGCGTGTGTGTGCGTGCGTGTGTGTGTGTGAGCGACAATGTATTTCCTATTAATAAGCAACAGATATCGATGACAGAGGGGACAAATTTTCAAATGCTGCCGGTGAATGAAAGAGCGTGAACCATGAACTTTGACCCACGACTCAAGGGGACCCGAGGGGACTGTGAACCGAGGGCACGGTTCTTAGGGGATTACAACCACACTGCATTCTGGGAAGTCTCTCCACGCATTTGGCAGAAGCAGGTCGCGGGGCGATGGTTCTGACAAACATTTCACTGGATAACCTCTCAAATGAACCTAGCAGATAACAAAATGGACAGAAATATAACCCTTTTTGTAAATAGGCTGTATTACATTTAAATAAAAGGCCATCAATTCTCTGCTACATTTACGCCCTTTGATCCTTGCGTTTGAGGGATTAAACGCAAAATTAAATTTGCTTGAATCAAAGCGCAAAGAGAACATATTTCGCAAATCCCCTACAACTACGACAGCATAATGAAGGCTGAATTCCCATTTCGTCATCATTCTTCACAAGACGACAAGCCAATAACTTTCACAATACTCACGATCAGTGCCGGGCAGCGCTAACGTGCAGCTCCGCCGACCCTCCATGTGACCTCCTGTGGTTTGCACACATTTATCTAATGCACCAAGCTTCGCCCGGCGTTTACCAACATGAGCTGTCACTCGCGCCCCTTTTGGGGTGTAAATTCAGAGAGGCGCTCGGTGCGGCCGCTCAGTGTCAGAGAGTGGAAACACTGTAAATCTCGCCCCGAGATCCCCGCATTGATCCCGCCAGTCGATGGTGCTTGTCGGCCTCTGGAAGCAGGGCCGGTGCTTATTGCCAATAACTTCATCCTCAGCAGAGCGTGGAGTGAATGTACCGTCTCCGGTGTCTAAAGGAGCACCGGGACGAGGCTTTATGAAAACGGAGTTGGGAGCTGGGGTGGGTGTTTGAGGTCAGGCAAAGATACGGGCAAGCGTGCACGCACACACACACACACACACACACACATATCAATGAGGGCACCGGGTGTTCTGCGCTGCAAAGCGGGGACCATCGTGACAGATCAAGCGTGATAAGTACAGGAAGTCAAACAGACGGAATTAGAGCTGCCAATCAAACGTGCTGCCGTACTGCATCCTTTAATGTGTCACCATTGATCTCTGCGACTCGACGTCAAGAGACTCTTTTCTCCGCGTGTTCACTCACGTGCGCACGTCTGCGCACGAGCTTATGTGAGCATTCACAACAGCTGGGCTCTGCTTTCTTTCCCGCTGCCTCGTTCCTGCACTTGAAAACACTCCGGCGTGCTACCGGTTATCTTTAGCAGCAGGAGTGGAACGGGGAGCAGAGGGATGGAGGAAGGCCCATGTGGAGGTGGGTGGTGGAGGTTGATAAATATGTAAGGTTACCACAGCCGACCCGTTTCCCGCTTCCTCTCCCTCCGTGCTACTCTCAAGCAGGCCGGACAACACGCACAACAACCAAACGTGGGGTTTGACGATTCTAAGGTGGGTTTTTAGATTTATTCACATGCGCTCGTGGAAAGAGCGACAGAAGTCGGGGCCTGTTTTTTCTTTTCTTTTCCTTCATTTTATTGGACACAGCCAAAGGGGTTGCCAAATCCCACAGACCCAAACGATGACCCCCACTCCCCCAAGCTCGTCTGTGTTTTCATGCGTCCTGAGAAGAGGCTGAACAACACACACACACACTGACACACACACACACACCTGCAGGCTGCACAGAGGTGAGTCCTTAAGGGAGGAACTGCACTGTCATCAGTAATCGCCGTAGCTCAACAAGCGATGGGTCATGCCCTGCCCTGCTTCTGCAAGCGTTATTGTGCACCATGCAGAGAGGGAGAACCCCAACGCTTTGCTGCACAGAACCCCCCCCCCCCCCCCCTCCCCCCGCCTGGGGGGTCCATGTCAATGTTATTGATTACTCAAATGATGCATTACCATAAACCTCTGGCTACCTTTTGTATCCTCTGCTGGTCAGACAAAGGGGAAGGCTGCAATCTTTGAGATCTCTTTATTGTTTTCATGCATTCGTTTTTTGTTTTTTTAAATACAACCCATTTACGCCGTAAATCGATGCCGAGGACGACCCGTGCATCAACTGATAATTACATCGCTCCTAATTGATGCCCCGGAAGGTTTGGCTCCCCAGTAGGAGACCTGCGGGCGAGTGATGTCTGATTAGTGTGTCAGTCACGGAGACCAATGAAGCCAAGTTCCCCCGGTCGTTATCTGGAGGGACGGCGATGCTTTGGATGCAGGATATAAAGGTGCATGTACCGATGCAGCCCCCCCGTCATCAGCGGCGGATCTCACCTTGGTGAGCTGAGCGATCTTCTTGCACATCTTGCCGTGCATCTTGTAGTCGTACAGCTCCGGCTCGATGTTCGCGAACTCTGCCGCAGTCCCGTTAACGGAGGAGCCCGGCGGCCCGGGCGGCTGCGCAGCCTTACCGGCGCCCGCTGAAGCCATCACTTAAAAAAAGACCCCCCCCCCCCACACCCTCTCCCCCGGACCGCCGGGGGGGGGAGTCGAACGTGAACCTCGCGCCTCTCAGATAAGAACCCCGAGGCTTATTCGTGCGTCGCTGCACCCCCTCCCGTCTCGAGCGATTCGCTGGGGAACATTTGGCGGTAGATCGGCGCGGTCTCCGCTGTCCGCCCGGTGGTCGCGGAGGTCCCGCGCTGGAAGCCCATCGGGGACGCGCCGAACGACTGTCAACACCGTGATGCTTTATTCTAAGAGGATGGAGGCGCGCAGGGCACCACCTGTCTCGCGAGGGGCGTTTGTGTCCTATACATCATTACCAGAGAGAGAGAGAGAGAGGGAGAGAGAGGGAGGGAGAGAGGGAGAGGAGAGGGAGAGAGAGAGGGGGGGGGCGCACTGCTGCATTGCTTTCCCCCCTCACGGAGCTGCTGTATCAACGCGCGGTAGGAGGGAGGGTTGGGTGGGGGTGTGGGGGGGGATGTTACTCCATCAGTTTGATAAATACTACCACTACAAGCAGGCTGTTGGCTGGATCGCCACAGCAGCAAAACAACTTATTCCTCCCCAACAGTAAACGCGCCCTCTAGATGCTGACTTTTAACCAACTGTGTAGCCCACATGTACACACTGTTATACACGGGTTGCTACGGTTGCCTAATGTTAAGAGCAGTTTAGCAGTTTAGATGTCGTGTTCCAGGAAATAGGGGGCCGTGCAAGTAACATTAAAATTAAAAAATCAATCCACCTCCAAACACACTTCTATAGAGCTCCAAAAAACTCTAATTCCATACGTGCGTAATGCAATTTGTATTGGAGCAGACTTAGAGGTTGTGCCATAGATTGCTGTTTATATGTATTACATCAAATGAGAAGTACGGTGTTTTTCTCATAGACTACCTACGTGTATAACACACAAACATACACTGCCATTCAGACTCTTTGCAAGAGAAGGAGCCGCCCCCTGCTGGTCAGAGTAGAGAATGCAGGTTTAAGACACTTGGCAGAAAGGTAGGATGCCTCCTGATTTGATCCTCACGGAGAGGCTTAGTCATGCTCCTTTTGCTGTCCCCCATGGGCCCTATAGTCAATCAACTATTTGTAACTGTGTTACTGTGTTACACTGCACATGTCACTTTAACTGTAACTGTAATTCATCACTTTGTCGTCACTCGTCACTTTGTTACTTGTTCGTTAGTGCACTTTATGCTGAATATTTCTTTTTTAACTTTTTTAATATTTAACTTTTTTTACTTTATTCCCTTGTTTTATACTAACCCATAGCCTTATTTTACTAACCCATTGCATTAGCATTTCATTTTACTTTATTTTATTACTTGTGCACTGCTGTCTATTGTCACTTTGTCTACTGTCGCGCACCAACCGCCAAGACAAATTCCTTGTATGTTTGGCATATTTTGGTAATAAATGTTTCCTGATCCTGATCCTGATCCTGATGTTGTTCTGTACATGTCACGTGTTCAGAGAGGGATCCCTACTTTGTTGTTCTCCAAGAGGTTTTGTCAATTTTTCCATTTGTTTCCACGAAACTTTGAAATACCTACAATCTTACAGTCGACATGAGGCAGTAATGTGATGCCAAGCTCTCTTTTGTCATTCTTCAGTTATCACATATAACCAAGTGCAACTCCGTGAATGCCTTTGGGGAGAGAGTGCCTTTGTGTTTAAACCGTTAGTAAATGCATTGATTTTTAGAGTACAAAAATATCCAAAAGACACAGGTAGCAAATCTTAACATTTGAGAAGCTAGAACGTTTTCAACTTTTTCCTCCCAAAAATACTGAAACAGTAAATGAAATATCAAAATCGTACTGCTTTGGAACAGTTCAGGGCTCCGTTCTGTCCAGACTCATTAGGTCATTGAGAATTATTACATTTAAGGAGTGCTTTATTTTTAACCTTTTTCTTTTTTAGCCTTGGCAGCACTCATTCACCGGTCCAGGTCCATCAATTTAATGCATTTTACAGAATTTATACAATAAACTTGTATAAGAAAAAAAAATCTCTCTGTTGTACATTTTTTCTTTAATACAGCCCTTATAATTAAAATGAGAGAAAATTGATTTATTATTATACTGTACATTATTTATAAGTCGTGCTGGTCCATTAAGAAAATTACTCTAAATACTGTTGAGATATTATTCATTTGAACATAGTTTATTTGAAATAAGAGTCAGTTCTCGACTGCGTACAGACATTATTACAAACGTTTTCAATTTGAATACTTACACATTATTGTGATTTTCCTACATTTAGATTGATGGAATTGTCTTTAGCTCAACCTCGTTAGATATTATTGAAATATTCCTGGAATAGATTATCTTTAGCCTGCCAGGCTCAACTCGGGAAATAGTCTCCCTGTACCACTTTATTAAGTAACCACGTCTCAACTCTCGCGAGAACACGCGGGAGTTGAATTTGAAAACAGGCGGTAGTGTTGCGAGAGGAGAACGAAAGAAAAGGTGCGTTTCGAAAACTCATAATTTAATTGTTCTGTATAATACTATATGTGCTTTATTGCTGTGATAAAAGAAATACGTTTAGTATCCCTAGCGAACTTCATCCCGTACGACGCAGTTAGTTAGTGCGAGGTTAGTGTAACTTAACGTCAGCGCTGTTTTTCTGCTCTTCTCTCAGTGGGGCTTTTAGCTAACGAGGCAAACGGGCTGCAGCCGTTAGCTTCCCGTTAAACGCCGCGAGCAAAGCGTGTCGTACAAGTGTGTTATAAGTGTGCTTTTGTTTAAACCGATGCTTTGTTCATCTTTCCGCGAAGGGGAGATGGCGGCAGACCACGGAATGGACCTGAAAGAGGCGTTTCAGCGCGCGCAGAGAGGCCTCACCAACAAGGCGCAGCTGGTGGCGAGTCTGAGCCGCTACGACGAGGTGATCAATGTGATCAATATGATCCACGGAACCATTCAAACTTCTTTACTTTTAGACTGAACAGACGTGCAATGGAATCAAACAAGACAAAGTAATGAACTGCACTTAAAAACGGATGTATGAATGAGGGAATGAACCCTAATGTGACCCAAACCGAAAAGTCTAAATCCACATTTCTGATGGATGTGATGAAGAAAAACGTCTTCTCTGTGTTTCGTTTTGCCCGTGAGTGAGTTAAGTTAACACAGCTTGTTTATTGTGTTGTGAATGAATGTTGCACGAATGACTTTGGTTTCAATTGCTGCTCATTTCTGCTCAAAAACCCCAACCGCAACTGCTGTGTCCCCCGGTTTGCGTCCCATGTCTCCTGCTGCTGATGACACCCGCCGTCTCCTCAACCAGCTCGAGGACAAGACCCTCTTCCACGAGGAGTTTGTCCACTACCTGAAGTACGCCATGATTGTCTACAAGCGGGAACCCATGGTGGAAAATGTAATGGAGTTTGTCGCGAGGTTCGCCACGAGTTTCCTGCCTCCGCCCAAAGGAGAGGAGGAGGAGGAAGAAGAAGAGGAGGAGGAGGAAGAAGACGATGCTGAGGACGATCATCCTTTTTTGAGTTTCCTTTTCAACTTCCTGTTGGAGGTAGAAACATTGCTAAATAATCACAAGAGACGCCGTGATGCGTGTGTGTCTGCTGCCTTTTAATCAGGTTTTGTCTTGTCCCATCTATCTCTCTCCCTGCTCGTCCTCCGTCCTCTGTCCCTGCGTCTCCGCTCTCCTTTGCGGCGTGTGTCTTCCGCCCCGCATTCCGCCCCTGTCCGTCAGTCCCACAAAGCCAACAGCCATGCGGTGCGTTTCCGCGCGTGCCAGCTGATCAACAAGCTGCTGGGCAGCATGGCGGAGAACGCCCAGATAGACGACGACCTCTTCGACCGCATCCACCAAGCCATGCTGGTCCGCGTCACCGACAAGTTCCCCAACGTGCGCATTCAGGCTGCTCTGGCCATGACGCGTCTCCAGCAGCCAAAGGACCCGGACTGTCCCACCATCAACGGTGGGCCGCTGCTGCTTCTCACTTTATTGCTGATTTGGCAAAGTGGAGCGAATGCAGAAGAATCCTATTGAATATTTAAACAAGTGCGTTTTTCTTTCCACCGATCAGCATACATGTTGATACTAGAAAATGATGCCAACGCTGAGGTGCGGCGTGCCGTCCTCTCCTGCATCGCCATGTCCCCTCGCACCCTCCCCAAAGTGCTCGAGCGCACCCGGGACATCAAGGAAAGCGTCCGGAAGCTCGCCTACCAGGTAGCCGCCACGCGGTCAAAGTGCACCAGCCGCCGCCGCCGACGACACAGCAAAGTTTCCTAATCATTGTGTGTCATTGGTGGAACTTTTCCCCCCTTTTTGTTTTTCTGTTTTGAAGGTTCTGGCTGAAAAGGTTCACATTAAAGCTTTGACCATCGCTCAGAGAGTTGATCTGCTGCAGCAGGGTCTCCACGACACCTCAGGTGCTGAGGCCTTCTGCACCCCGGTCACATCACCTTCATACAGACACACTTTTTAGCACCTTAAACGCACGTTGTTGGTTAATGGGCGCCGTTGTGTAAAGGAACTTTTTACGTCTGCACGTTGCAGAAGCGGTGAGGGAGGTGGTCTGCTCTCGCCTGCTGCCGGCGTGGCTGCTTCGCCTGGACGGCAACGTCACCGAGCTGCTCCACCGGCTGGATGTGGAGAACTGCGCCCAGACGGCTCTGGACGTGCTGCAGGCCGTGTTCAAGGGCACGCCCGCCGAAGAGCTGCTGCACAACGGCGTGCCGCTGGACCACAGGTACGCGCCACGCCGCCGGGCCCGCGGGCGCCGCGCGCCGTCGCGTCCTCCGCTTGACGAAAGGTCTTTGGTTGTCAACAGGAAGCTGGTCCCGGTGGAGTCTCTGTCCTGCGAGAATGTGCTCTACTGGAGAGCTCTGTGTGAGTTCATCAAGGCCAAAGGAGACGACGGGGAGGAACTGCTCGAGCGAGTGTTGCCAGACGCTGCCAGTTACGCCGACTACCTCTACGGGTGAGAGAAGAGGCGCTTCAGCGGGTTGTGCTTCTTGCGTTGGCGCCGTCGGGAGTGCGCTTTTCCCCAACAGGCTCCACAGAGGGATGTGTTCTTGTAGTTAAAGGAAGAATAGAAGCTGCTGCTGTGACATCTTTAACTCTTCTACACGTTGGCTGCAAGACGTCACGTCTGAGATATTGACCCCTCTTCTTAAACAGGGACACTTTTTAAAATGTATTTGTTGCAAGGTACAGAAGTCTTTGCTTCTGAGGGTTTTGGATTGGTCATCGTGATTGGAGAGGAACTCACGTCGACCAGAAATGAGTGAAATCTAAAGTGCCTTCCGCTCTCATTCATTTACATAGATAGATACTTTATTGATCCCTCAAGAGGGACATTTTGGTGTCACAGCAGCATGTACAGGGAAGAAAATAGAATAAAAAGATACACATTATATACAATATAATAAGATAAAAATATTAAATAAAATAAACTAAACTGAAACAAAAGAATAACCTTCAAGAAGAGACAATAATAATAATTTGTAAAAGGAGAAGAGCAGCATCACAGCAGTACAAGGTTGTTATTGTCATTATTTGGCCAGAGATGATTTATTGTAAAGTGTTATTGCACTGGGCACGAATGATCCTGGGACTTCATCCATGTAGAAGCCGTTTTATCACTTGTCCAGTGAATGATTTCATAGCATGAAATGTTCCTCCATTCCGCTGTCTGCTCATCAAATCCACCCGTGAAGTGAGTTTGCGGCTGGCTGATGTACATCGGGCGCGTTTAGCCCTCCGCGGCGCTGCAAACAGTCTGTGGTGGCCGCCGTGTTCTGAGGTCATTCCCTGAGCTGTGTGGGCGTCGCCCGTCGCAGATACCTGAAGGCGGTACCTTTGCTGTCGGAGGAGCAGAGAGCCGACTTCAACCAGCTGGAGCTGGTGATGACCAAGGAGTTCATCTCGCAGCAGCTCATCCGCCTCATCGGGTGCCTGGACACCGACGAGGAGGGCGGCAGGTGAGCGGAGATGAATGCAGCGCTCCCACCTGATCCCCGGTGTGTCGGGGGGGTTCCGAGTCACACTTGTCCTCTTATGTTGGTAGGAAGTGCGTGTTGGCCGTCCTGCAGGAGATGTTGGCTCTTCCACAGACTCCCCCCTCCCTGGTCTCCCTTCTCACCGAGAAGCTCCTCACCCTCATTCCCGACGACAGCAGGCGCATTCAGACCGTGAGTGTGACTCTGCTGCGGATCCAGTGGGCGTCTCCTCAACTGTCCTGCGGTGCCGACGGTCTTTTGTTTGTGTCCTTGCGTCCCGCAGGTGGCAGAAATCATCTCTGATGTGAGGGAGCCCATCATGGAGGCCAGCAAGCCGGTGGACCAGAACACCAGCCGGCGGCAGCAGGTCCAGGTGAGCGACCAAGTTTAAAACTTCCTTATAGGAGTATAATAATATATTAGGAATAACGATCTAATCCCAGCCCCGTGCGACCCAACAACCGCAAACCAGAGAGGAAGATCATTCCTGGGATCAATGGCTTTTATTGGCTGTATTAATTATAACAAGTTTTCAAAACAACTTCTGCCATCAAATCTCGTTCCTGCAGAAATCTCAATCAATCAATTTGTAAATTAAGAGACATGAATAAATTTGCGCGTCCAAAGACATGCTCTGGGGATCAGGTTAATTGGGGACTTTAAATTGCCCGTAGATGTGTGAGTGTGAATGGACCAATCCAGGGTGTACCCTGTCTATCGCCCGAAGTTGGCTGGGATGGACTCCAGCCCCCCCGCGACCCTGTGTGCAGGATAAGCGGTTTGACAATGGATGGATGGATGGATGAATAAATACATTATTTATTTCTGCTTAGTCTGAAATAAATGGAACTGTTCACAGCTTCCAGGTGACGTACACCAATTCTATGTGGCTCATACGGTCGACCTGCTGCCCCCCCCAGAGGTCCTCCTCTCCTATAAGACGTGTTTCTGAGGCTTGGGTGGAAGTCGGCGGTCACTGAGGAAACTTGTATAATCCCGCCCGTCTGCGTAGCTGCGTCCTCTCTCCCCGTTTCAGTCAGCCGGGGCGAAGAGGTCTCTGGGGGGGCCGTCACCGGGCCCAGAGCCCCAGGTGTTGTTGTTTTTCCGGAAAATGTCTCATCAGTCCAGGATCCCTGGAGTGTATTTGAGCTGAGGACCGACTCTCCCTTCCTCTGCTCACGGCCCCGTCTCCCCCCCCCCCCAGCTGGCCCAGGTGAAGGTGCGCATCATGGAAGCCAAGCAAACCCTGGAGGACTCCATCGCGGCCCAGGACTTCAGCCGGGCCGCGGAGCTGAAGGACTCCATCGCAGAGCTGGAGAACCAACGGAACCAGATCCTCCAGGAAATGACGGCGAGCAGCCAGCCGGCCGACAAGGAGAACCGCGCAGAGAAGGTTCGCCACCACGTCATGTATCAGTGACCCCGTGTGGTGCAGGACATAAAACCAGCGTTTCCTTTCAGAATGACCCAGAGACTCTCCTGCGATGTCTAATCATGTGTGCAGAACTGCTCAAGCAGATGAACATCAAGACGAGAATCGGTCCAACCATAAGCGCCCTGATGTCCTCGCTGGTATGAAGCCTTCCCCTTAAACACACATCTACAGCTGAGTTGAAACGGGTGAACCACCCCCTGGTTATTTGCTCGTGTTTTTATTCTTTTTTATAAAAGTTGGGTGGGTCACTGCTTCTCCCCCCCATCAGGTCCTGCCCAGTATAGCCAACGCTCACCCTGCTGTCCGGAACATGGCGGTGGTTTGTCTGGGAACGTGCACTCTGCACAGCAAGGAGCTCGCCAGAACACACATGGTCCTGCTGCTGCAGGTAAGCTCATCCACCCGACACCTCTACCCACGAGGAGACGGGCTGTCTGAATCCCACTCTAGCGGCCTGTATTGAATTATCGTGTGTGTGTTTTCAGATCGCCCAGCTGGACGAAGTGAAGATCCGTATCAGCGCCCTGCGCGGCATCGTCGACTTGCTGCTGCTGTTCGGCTTCCAGCTGCTCTCGGAGCCGGCCGGCGCTCAGGCGGCCGCACAGACGCGGTCCCCGGAGCGGCCCGAGGGGGGCGCCGCGTCCGCCGAGGAGAAGGGAGGCGCACCGGAGGACACGGTGCAGAGCATTCTCGTGATGCTGTCGGACTTCCTGGACAGCGAGGTCGGCGCGCCGGCCGCGTTTTACTCGACTAACCCACGCGCGCGTCCGCGGTTCGGTTGGATCACCTGTGCTCGTTGGCCACTTGTTTTGTCAGGTGGCGGACCTGCGCACGGAGACGGCGGAGGGCCTGGCCAAGCTGATGTACAACGGCCGCGTGTCCAGCGCCAAGATGCTGTCCCGCCTGGTGCTGCTGTGGTACAACCCCGTCACCGAGGACGACACTCGACTGCGCCACTGCCTCGGCGTCTTCTTCCAGCTCTACGCCCGCAAGAGCAGGTACGCACGCACACGCCTGCGTTTCTCCGCCCTCCTAGTGCTGGGAGGAATACTTAGTTTTGCTATAAATAGAGAATAGGATACCACAGAGTAGGAACTTATGGTTCTTTCTTTTTACGGTCATGAAATTTTATAATTCATAGTATTGTAAAAATAGCTTAAAGAAAAGTTTAATGTACACGTGGTGGTAAGTCCCAGTACCTGTGTGTCAGGGTTCACCAGGAGGTCGTGGAGGAGGGCTTCCTGCCCACCGTTCGGACTCTGATGAACGCACCGGCCACCTCCCCTCTAGCCGAGGTGGACATTAACAACGTGGTGGAGCTGCTGGTGGAGCTGACCCGTCCAAGCGCGCTCATTAAGCCCTCCACCAACACGGAGGTAAGACGCGTCCCCGGGAACCCGCCGCGGCTGCGACGTGTGGAGGTGATTGAGAGTGCATGTGTCCGCAGGAGGTGTGTGTCCATGACTACCTGGCGGTGCGTATGTGTGGGGAGATGTTGAAGGATCCCACCGCCCCGGAGGTGCGTCTCTACGCCAAGACGCTGAGCAACCTGGAGCTCAGCAGAGGCGACACCGTACGGAAGGACCTGCTGACGCTGCTGCAGCAGCTCGTTCAGGTACCGACGTGTTTCAGACTAACAAGAGGGTCAATCGCAGCTACCTTGAAGGCAGATGAGGATAGAACAGCAGCGGGATGCGAGACGAGGAGCACACATCTGTTTCTAAGGATCCTGCGTTTGATACATCGGTATTATTCATTTTTCTCTGTTAGAATTTATGAACTTCTTTACTGATCTACTACTGATTTCTATAGAAATACATGATACATATACATATATATTAATGTCTTTATTAATGAGTAATATGCTGCTCTGACATCAACACCGTCTCTCCAAACGAACAGAGATTCTCAAATCGGTAACGTTTGATTTAATTTCCAGGTTTGAGGGTTCTACCAAGGAGCATGCTTCCTTTTTTTTATGGGAGCAATAGAATCTAGCATCATTCTATATTTCGTTTTTATTTGTATGTATGTTGCGACTGGAGAGGAGCTGGAGGATTCCATGTACCTCTGACCAACGGGGTACATTCAAGTTGTCCGATGTCATGATCCATCTTAATGCCAAATACCAGAACACGGTGGAGGATCTGATGAAAAACAATGGCTTCAGACACTTACTCAATCAAATAGAAGAGCGAGATAAAGGAGAGCTCGGCCTCCAAAGGGCTGTAGCCACATGCAGGTTTTGGGTTCATTGATCGGCTACTGAACGTGACTCTTGAGAGGTTCGATGGTTCATGTCCCGTCTGCCCAGGTGGTGAAGGACCGCGTCTGTCTCCGCGCGCTGGAGAAGATGGTTCATCAGCTGGTGGACGCAACCGAGCAGGCGGAGCTCCTCTGCGCCAGCGCCCTCCAACCGCTGGACGTCAACGCAGACGGTGCGCAGCAGGCGTCGCACTAAACACCCGGAACAAGTGTCTCCTCCTCGGTGCTGGATTTGAAAACTGCAACGTTATGAAATGTTCCGTCTTTGTCCATCCTCAGAGGCAGCAACAGACGACCCGTCCAAGTCCGCCAAAAGGGCCAAGAGAGGTAATGCTGGTTGTGAATCCTGGTCTGAGGAGCGGTCCTCGTCTACTCGGCAGCGTGGGCTAACCCGAGCGTTTGTGTGCACAGGTCAGAGGAAGGCCAGCACGGCCAAAGGAGGCAGGAAAGCCAGCAGGAGGGCCGAGTCCTCCGAGGAGAGGTGAGCCGATGCAGCGCGCCAGGAAACGCGTCCTTTCGTTTGCTTTATTATCACATTCTCGAATGCATCTGCTTGTGTTTCGTGGGGCCGCAGCGATGGGGAGAATGTTCCAGAGTCCGTCCCTGTGGCGCGTCTCTCGCGGAGGGCCAAGACCGCAGCGCTGGAGAAGACCAAGCTGGACCTCAACACCCTCATCAACAAGGAGCCCAACGTGTCGTAGAAGGTGCTCCAGTGTAATATCATCCACGTCAGCCTTTCTCCTTTTAGTTCTGTATGTTACAAGTTATATTATGTCAATAAAAGCTATTTCCCAACCGCACTGCCTCCTACACGAGTATGTTCAACCATAGCAGTGCGGTGCCTTTTCAAATTGTTCATTTTGCCACAAATGTAACTTGGAATCATTCTAAACTTTCAAATTCCAGTGAATCACTCCACGCTGGTTATTTCAAAAGACTCTTTATTGTTCCAATCAGACTTTGTTGCATCTGTAATGGACAGCATATAAAAACATAACGGAAAATATACAACGGATGTTTAGCACCAGGTTCTTCGACAGCACTCTTCACAAGACTGGGCCGCCCCCGAGTCCCTCCTGTTGATATGGCAACCGTAGTAACGCACACACACACACATACAGGTTTGAGTTGAACTACAGCCAGACATCTTGGATCTATTCCCCCCTTAACGTGGTGCCGATCCAAGGTTAGTGTTACCGATCGTCTGACATGTAGGGGGGCAGGAGGCCTGCTGAGCCCCAGTCGAGGTAGTCGTCTCTGGCTGAAACGCAAACTCAAGGGAAACATGAAAACAGCAACACGTTTCCCCCCCTGCAGTTAAACAGTTAATGCTAGTACGTTTATGATAAAGGAAACCTATTTAATGCTACTATAACAATTAGGGATCTGCTCCATTGAGCAGAACAAAGCAGGTGGGAGAGAAGGAGCAAAAACCTTTAAGATCATTTTAATGGCTGTGGTAAAAACTGAAATAACATCCCAGGCCATCGGTACTTGTGTACATCCATTTGTCTGTCAGCAATATAAATATGGATAAATCCTCTGGGTTTGTATTGCACCAAACAGATTCTCTAGTTTTACTGTGGGGTTCGGTAGTGGGACATGGAATGTGCAAACATGGGGAGGGAATCTGTAGTGGGGTTAATAATCTCAGATGGGATAGTGCAAGAAGTAGATCCGACACCAACATTACAGTATTTGCTTTGGGTTAAAACAAGAAGATACACAAAATATAACTGAATTAAAACGAGAACCAACAGATGGTTCTACTCTACAACGGCATCGTGTCTTCTTCATCGCTTCAAGTGCACCTCTACATTTTATTGGGGTTATGCGCAGTTTGAATAACATCCATTATTTGATTTTAGTTTGGGTAGAAGGCCCATTTCTGCAGTTCAATACATCATTTAAGTTTGTGCCCAAAACAAATAGTCAGTATGGTGACACAAAGAGTCCTTCATTAACGCCATGTTGTTGGGCAACAATATGCCGAGCAAGGCTTGGATTGAGAAAACTAGAAGTTTTATCATTTTGTAAAATCCCAAAGCAGCTATAAAGGCCAATTTGGAATTTAAACAGTGCCAAAGTAAGGATGACTATGAATTCCGTAGGACAAAAATGATTAAATAAACTGGGGGATTTTAGGGCTGTGCATTTTTAAGATTTACATCAAAGGATCACCGTCCGATGGCCTTGATAATGAGGTATATTTGGGGGGAGATGGCACTGTCTATACGCAACCAAAGCTTTGGCTTTCCTTCCGATACAGCTTGCTGACGGGGCTCAGTGGAAAAACAATGAAAAACTCACTTTGACGTACGGATTTGATCTACTAAACGCTTCCAGAAAGACCGAGGCAGGTTTACAATAAAAGGAAAGCAGAAATCTGATATTTCTGTACATACATATCCATGGATAAAAATAGTGCAACATCAAGCATTTGTTAAGTTAGACTGCTACATAATTGCTGAGTGTAGGACCTAACCACAGCGGCATGGTCAGTCCACGTGGTCAGCTCAATGTCCAAAAGGCACCACGTTGAACCACAGTCCTTCTCCCTGGTACGAGGAGGCTTCACGCTTCAATTAGTTTTCTGTCAGAAAAGAAAGAAGAACGGTATTTTGTAACGACTCGAAATGGAACTTAAGAGTTGATGTTTAACAAAGAGAGATAGTTACCAAGCACAAAGTCGCACCACCTAGGCCCGGTTAGGCCTCTCATTCGCGATTGTCTCAACATCTTCGCTGGTGGTGGTTGCGGTGATTCAGTAGAAACAACCACAGGACTTTTGTGTTTGCTTTTCGGTATCTCATCCGCCTCCTGGACCGATTTAGGTTCAAAACTTGCCAGCTCTCTCGAGGCGCCGCTCCTTTTTCTTTTAGTTTTCACAGCTTTAACGGCTCCTACCAGTTCCCTCTCCCTTCCTCCAAAGAGGTATGCAGGTGACCCCTCATCCAGTGTGACGGTGCACGAGTCGCACTCTTCCTCAGTCGATTCGTTGTCCGGAGAGTTTATCTTCCTCAGAAACACCCGGCATTCCTTCAGTGTCTCGGGACTCCAGGCTTTGGAGCAGAGGTTCTGCTCTTTGGCCACGTCCACGTGCTCCTGAGTCTGGTCAACAGAACTGTTCTCCAAACAGTGGGGCAGCTGATCTTTTGCTGATCTGCGTAATGATTTACGCTTTGTTTGTGGTCCAGTTGCATTTGAACAACTTGTGGCTACCTTTCTGCTTTTCTTATTCCTCTTACCCTTTTGCCACCTCTCCCTCTCACTCCGGGTTAGAAACCTCAGCCTTGCCCTACATAGGGTTGTGCGGTATTTGCCAAATACTTTTCTCCACCATTGGTTTCCTTGACTGAGCCTTCCTGCTGCAAACCTGGGAGTAAAAAGTCGCCGCCTTATCTTGTGCGTCGGTAGAGGTGCCTCATTTCTTTTCCTCAAACTTTTTTGAGCTTGTTGGTGTTGCAGAGGGCTTTTTGGCACAGTTTTAGCAAATTTCTTGATGTGTTTGCGGAGTCGCTCCGCCTGAGGGCTGGGGCAAACACTCTCTTTGTTGGCAGAGCGGGGGAAGTGCATGAGTTCGTAAGGGTTTCGGGAGCTTGCCTTCTTGACAATAGCCAAAGACTGCGTCTCTGTGGTCTGCATGAACCAGGAGCAGAGCTGCTGCATGCTACAGGAGCTTGGTTTGTTAGACGGACAGTCAAACAGCATTCGTATGGAGGAATGTTTTGAAGTGCTGGTAAACGAACTGTTGCCTTTAGTGCCCAGATTGGATTTTAAGGCAGTTTCTTTTCCATGGTTCTCTACAGTGTTTGAGACCCAGGTGTCGGAGATGAGTCGTATTCGCCGGGCAAGCTCTTGGTTCATAGTCGGCCCCTCTGCAGATGCTGCCCACCACCTTAGTGTCTCTCTTGGGGTGAAGATGGAGTCCACAGACACCCCTCCCACTCTGTTCAGGTCCTTGGAAACTTTGTTCCTGTCTCGTCCACAGAGCAGTCTTTTCTCCCTCGTAGTCTCGACACTACTCGGTTGCTCCCCCTGTCTCCTTTCATTGTGGGCCTTGTTTAGCAGAAGTTGTTTGGAGCGCCGCAGCAGAGCATTACTGTGGCTGCATGATCGAGAGGTGGCCACAGCGTGCAGAAAGTGAATGGAGGGCTTTCTCACTCTCATCGATTGACGCACTGCTACTGGCTGATTTTGCGTTTCACCTTTACTTTCATCCTCTGTTTCAACGCCTGCGGTTTGACGGATTTTGCTAGTTGACTCATGACTGATTGTCTGAGGCTCTTTGGCGGATTGGAAATCTGGTAAGAGTACCTTCCTATGAATTTCTGTTTGAGGAGACTGCAGAGTATCCTTATTTATCAGAATTTTACGCTGCCGAGGTGACACTGTGGTTACGGTGACTGAAATCCCAGAGATTTTGACTTTTGCAGGTCTACCTGGCTTCCTTGAGGGCGCAGAATCATCCTTCTTCAGACATTTGATGTTACCGCTAGATTGAAGGGCAGAATCTTTTACTGGGCCGACAAAATTGAATTCCTCGGGCATTTCCGTTGAGACTGCTTTGATATTACCTGAGCTTGTCTTAGAGTTGTGCATTAAAACCCCCAAGTCCCCTTTTGGCAGGCCCACTGCCCGCCAAGCGTCATGGAATTCTGTTTGCAGCTGGTCAAAGCCCTCAGACACCATACGTTTGTTTCGCCTTGAACGGCCATAGACGACTGTTATCTTAAGGTTCTTGTTTACATTCTCCTCAACTTCGGGTGCTGTAACCAATTTTCCATCTACAGTTTTTGCCCCAATTACTGAATTCAAAGCCTTCTCCTTGCGAGGTCGACCGATTGGCCTCTTTACCTTTTGCTCAAGCTGTGGTCCCAGCTTCTTGGGCCGGCCCGGACGCCTTTTTGGAGTGGTTTCATGGAAAGACGTTGAGTCACCTGAGATCTGGCTCTCAGCTCCACGCTTAGTCGGAGTACCTTCGCCTGATCTTCTGGAACCTATTTTAGGTGATGACGAAGATGACTTGGGTGAGTAAGCAGACTTGGGTGAGTAAGCAGACTTGCTTGGCGTTAACGCTATTTTGGGAGAAGAAGCAGACTTGGCAGGTGAAGAAGCAGACTTGGCAGGTGAAGAAGCAGACTTGGCAGGTGAAGTAGCAGACTTGGCAGGTGAAGAAGCAGACTTGGCAGGTGAAGAAGCAGACTTGGCAGGTGAAGAAGCAGACTTGGCAGGTGAAGTAGCAGACTTGGCAGGTGAAGAAGCAGACTTGGCAGGTGAAGAAGCAGACTTGGCAGGTGAAGTAGCAGACTTGGCAGGTGAAGTAGCAGACTTGGCAGGTGAAGAAGCAGACTTGGCAGGTGAAGAAGCAGACTTGGCAGGTGAAGAAGCAGACTTGGCAGGTGAAGTAGCAGACTTGGCAGGTGAAGTAGCAGACTTGGCAGGTGAAGTAGCATAAGCAGACCTGGCTGGTGAAGAAGCAGACCTGGTAGAAGAAGCAGCTGATCTGGGAGAAGAAGAAGCAGACCTGGGAGAAGCAGCAGCAGACCTGGGAGAAGCAGCAGCAGACCTGGGAGAAGCAGCAGCAGACCTGGGAGAAGAAGCAGATTTGGCTGGCGAGGAGATGGACTTGGGTGTTGAAGGGGCTGATTTGGCCGTTGAAGAAGCAGATCTTACAGGTGAGCTAACAGACTTACGTGGTGAAGAAACAGATTTGACTGGCTCGGTTCTCCTTTTTTGTTTATCAACTGTCCCGGACCATGAAGATTCTATACACGGGTCAAAGGGTTCCTGTGTACTAGAACCTGAATGTGCTGATTTGAGACTATATTTAACCCCTTCCATATCCTTTACTGGTGAAAAAAACATGAGCTTTATCGGACTAGTATACTGGACTTGGGAAGAGGGAAGGCTCTCTGCACGGGCAGCAGACGTCAGGTTGACATCGGTGTTTGATGGGTTTTGGGGAGTTCTTGTCTTTGAGCACCGTAGTCTTTTTGGAGATGACCGTAGCCTTCCAAAAGGCTTGGCAGAAAAGTTGCTGCCATTTGTCTCACTGTCAGAGCTCTGTTTTGCAGGACTTTCGTCTTTGGCTGCCGCAAATTGTTCATTGACCTGGTTTTTAGAAAGACCTGTTGACTGCGAGTGGGATGGCCCGCATTGTTCTCCACGTGTTGATTCAAAGGTAAGCTTCCATGTGTGGTCAGTCGAGGATAGAGGGGCTTTACTCCTTGATTCAAACTGGGTGTCCTCAGCATCTGGATCTTTGGATAAGGCACCAAGCGAGGTAGATGCCAAAACCTCGTCCTTTTGTGTTCCCTGTTTAAAGATTCTTTCAGGGAAACATGCAACATTGTACTTCTTCCAGGGCTCTGTGACATAAGAAGAGAACCACTGGGGGGGCACTATATTTCTCCTTGATCTCCTTGTGTCCTCGGAGTGATGCAGTTCACATTTCTGCCCATCTCTAATAGGACTATGGCAGCGCTTACCATTACTTGCTTTATTGCCATTGTCCGAGCTCTGACCGGATGCGGCTTCTTCATGGGGTTCACCACCCTCAGGACCACTGTTCATACCATATCCTTCGCAAGGCATGGTACACTTCCCTGCTGAGGTTGCACTCACAGTTGTGACCTGTGTTGGTACATTGTCGCCATTTGTATCTTGTTTGCCGTACTTTCTCTGGAGCTCAGACGCGGGAATTTGAGGGTGTGGGAGGGCGAGATATTTTTCCTCGCCTAATATGTCCCTCTCCTTATGCTCTACTTTAATGAATTGAACGTCTCCTGTTAGCTCAGATGTCCGTGCCTCTTCTTTTACTTCATCCCTTGCACATTCTGCAGTGATCCAGTTCAGTGGTCCCTCCCTAACTCCATGATTCTCTACAGGTTCTAAACCTACCTCCAGTTTGCTTTTAGTCTCCTCTTTAACTGGGTTTAAATCTGGTGAAGTAGATTTAGTCATAGTACTATTTCCATCTTTGAATCGTGCCCTCTTTGCTAGTGGTACCTCCCTCCTGCTGTAGCACATGGCCAGCTCTCGTTTAATTTGTACGGTTTGCCTTCTGGTTGCGGCATCGTCAGCGGGTGTTGCTATAGCAGCAAGGACTTCTTGGCGACGTCGAGAGCGGGTGTTGGGGGACTTGGGCCCCTTGTTCTCATGGCGTTTGAACAGCTCACTGAGATTGTAGTCACTAGCGTTGTCTGCATGCAGCATGGTGGTGATGATTTCAGTCAATTGAGCATCAGCCTGACACTTCAGGGTCTGACTGGTTGAGGGACACTGTTGCATCTCTTTTCCAGACACAATAACAGCTGCTGCCATCAGAGGTGGGTCCTTCTCTATGGGTCCGATGGTCTCCAGTTTCTCACTAAATCGATTCACAACGTCTTGAAGTGAAGTCCCACTTGGATCCTCCTCAGCCCGACTACCTGTTGGGTTTCTATCTTCTCGCTCCTCTTTTGTAGCTTTATACACATCTGCTTCCTGGTGGCTCGCATTCACAAGACAACCTTTAAGCATTCGATCAGCGTCCTCCTCTTGTCTGTGGTGAAAGAGGGAGGGTGGCTTTTCATCGGTTTTCTTATTGATGTCTGAGAGGATGGGGGACAGAGGGGGAGGAGAGGGGCTCTGCTCTCTTTTTAGGACAGGACATGGGGGATCCCCATCCACAGCCTCCATTTCTGTTGTGTTGCTGGACTGAGTCAGAGAGGCTTTCTTTGAAGGACGGGGGCTATGCTGGTTATAGCAGATCGATGATGCAGGGAATAAACTAGAGGAGGGAGTGCACCGCGAAGGGGGTTTGGATAACAAAGGCAAGGATGCAAATGAACACACTACGTTGTCGATACCACCCGCTGCAATGCTTTGGCAGGAAACGCAGTGCAGCCTCTTGGGGCACACAACAGTGTAGGTTTCCATCCCGCAACTCTGCACACAGCAGTAACCCGAGCACAGAGGAGCGCCGCTTGTACAGTCCGTTAAAGGGCAGTGATGGATGCTACAATTGGACTCGGAGTCCCCTGGATGACACACTGTTCCACCATGCTCTTGATTGTCACAATCAATTAAGGGGTAGTTCAGGCTGCCGTTACGGGCTTTAGATTCACTTAACGGGACCGTATCAGGGCTAACAATATCTTGTGGGTTCACGCCACAGTGACAGCAGTGAGGTTCATTCGGAGCGACGGGTCTGCGCGCCAGCTGCAACATCTGGTAGATCAAGGAACGGTGTGCTGAGCAGAGCGAGCTGAGAACAGCCCCCAGAGCAGTGCTCTGATGACCTGCAGTCCTCTGCTGTCCCAGATCCCCCAATTCTTCCACACATGATGGCAGCAGGGAGCTAGAGGCAAAAAGAAACACACAAGATTGGGGGTTTTACTCATGGCCAAGCACAGTTTAAATGATAAACAGCAAAAACCTCCACTTTATGGACGCTAAACTATAAAGTACATAATATTGTGGGGTGTTTTTCCAATAGTCTGGTACACAATTTACACTTATGTAAGTGAATATTGTCTAATCTTCTGGCCTGTTTAATGTATGCATTTTGTAGTTTGGCGCCAGAGCTAAAAATAAAAAATAAAGTGGTCTCATCCACCATGAAGAAAAAAATAGTTAAGTTCCTTGAAAAGAAATAATTAAAAATAGCATATGCGCGGGTGTTAAGAAAATTATGACAACGGGCAACTGATTAAAGAAGCGTTTTATTGATGAGTTGCTGAAGGCAAACGATAACGTTCTGCTGAAAGCAGAAGGAACGATTGTAAAACGCTTAAAACAAAATGTTAATCCCAACAGCCTTTTCACCAACAAAACTCTAAAAAGATCCAATTTCAAACCAACAAACAGTTAAATTAGGTCCTGCGAGTGATTAGTTCCATTAGGGAAACAAGCAATCCATTTTAATATCATTAAATTAATTAGTTTCATTATGGATAGTATTTCCAACCGTTTAAGTGCTTATATATATATATATAAATATATATATATATATATAAATTAAAAGTCCAGCCCCTCTCGAGGTTTAACTGAACTGGATGCAGTATAAGAGTTACATTCTTTAGTGTTACTGTTAGCAGATGTTCTTTTTTTTCATCAATAAAATAATCTTAACATAAGCACTAAACAACCACCATAGTCAAGGGCGTCATTGCAGTTATTTAGGACTAAATCAACTATAAGTGCTAACATTTAAAAGCGTTCATGCAGCAATACACACTTCACATTTCATCAAAGTGCCACATTAAAAATCAATAGCTACAACTAAATGGTAAAATCACAGTTCTCTAGCACAATCAATAAATAAGAAGGCAGCAACAACAACACAAGAGGTTTCTATAGTAAAGATTCTTCTTACAAATCATAGTGCAATAATTGATTGATGCATAAATAGCAGACTATTAAGTTAAGTTGTTTCAAAGATTTACCAGCACTTCAGTCCAAAAGGAAACAAAAAACGCAACAAGCTTAAAGTTCGACAACAAGCCACGGTGTGTTCCCAGAATGCACTGCAATGGGGCTCATACAATTAAATACCGTTTCTATTTCTCAAGAGGTGTTTAGGTGTGTTCACAAAACAGGCTATTTGACATAAATAGCGGGCCGTTCCCAGAGTAGACACACCATGCTGCGCTGTGGCCTCAGACACAGGCACTGTGCGTTGCTGAGAGCCCAGACATTCAGCAGCAGACAGCAGTGTTTGTATAGTTGCCAAAGTTACAAAAGGTTGAAAAGCCCAAAAAAACACATTAGCCTTAAAATGGACAAATGACACAAACAAAGAAAACCTGCAGCGAAATTCTGCATGCTGCACCCTAAAAACATGGCATGCGAATGCTTCGTTTCCAAATAAAACCTTTCACAACAAAATGCCTGACTAACTGTATCGTGTACTTGAAGCAAACGTTAGCGTCGCTGATGGCCATACAGTTACTTTACAAACGGCTCAGCGTCCCTCAGCTAAAACCCCAGACGATTCAGAGGCCTTGATGAGTGAATCCCACGCAGCTACAGGCAGATAAAGTTCAGAGGTATACATGTGCCAACGAGGTTAGATGGGGAGGGACGCACAACACGCACACACACACACACACACACGCGCACGCACGCAGCTTCTGGGTGCGAACTGCTGCTTTGGTAGTAGCACTGTTAAAGGCGATAGACCCATCTCAGTGGCGGACGCACAAAGAAGTCATTCATCCCAACACAACCAGTCGCCCACACAAACGACCACCACGAAGGTTTGAGCGGCGGCTTCACGCGCGCCGCCTTTGGAATTCGGGCGACTTCGATGTAGCCTCGCTCCGTTCCTTTGCTGGGGAATTGCTCTGGTAAAAGTAAAGTGTTGAGCAGCGGCCATGCATGAGGAAATATCGGTGACACTAAAAGAACATCTTTTTACAAACGGTACACATACACAATCACGTACGTTTTCCAGAGCGCATCAGTGCACGTCAGAAACATGCTGCACGGTTGCATTCCAACTACTCTCGATACGATGCTCAAGACTAGCACTAGCTTAGCACTACAAGGGAGGAGAACTACGCGGACGTAACAAATGGCTTTCTCAAGCTAATCTCTTCAACGGAAAAACTCAAAATGAGGATGTAGCAACCACAGCGGTTTATGGTGCACAATCGTTTGTAGAGGTGTCAAACGGTAGCAAGGAGTTTTTACAATGGCTCTAAGTCACTTCAGGGGCCCGGGTACAATATACCCAGAGATATATATAGAAAGCTGCAAATAACAATCATCAACGCTCCGTTAAGAGGGAGCTTTAAGAATTGAAACCTGAATAACCTAATAGTCCAACAGCCTGCAAACGTGAGTCACACTTTGTTGCTTAACTCTTCCTCGCTTGATGCTGGGCCGTGGCAATATGATCAATTTGAGTAGCGCATTGAAAACAGGAGCGTTTCAGTCACGCGCACTGAATTACCACAGAAATAACACTTCTTTATGGCATTTTCTGACACATATCCGGCTTTGGCTGCACACCAAAGCCAGGTTAGTGGGATATACTTCTGATATTTCAGCGGGATTTGTTGATTACTGTGAGCAAATAACATGAAGCAAGCCATATCCTTAAATGGTAAAAACTGAAGCGACGGGGAGCTTGTCGACCGCGGCAGTCCCCTGTGAGCGGGAGCAAAGGCCGGGCCCTCGAAGCTGCTCCGGTCAAAGCCCAGAACCAAGCGACAGAACCAGGGCCCCAAGTGTGACTGTCACGTTACAGACAGAGTTAAAAGACCTGAATGTCAGTATCCGTATAGATTTTATAAAGGCATGTGTTGTGTTAAACAAGTGTCTCCAGAAAACATGTATCTTGTCAAAGGTGAGTTCAAGTGCCGAGGAGTCCTAGAGGCGTTCTGTGCTCTAGAACATCTTTGCGTCAGCAGCTGAGCGGAGAGTCCCTGAGTTAGTGGAGCTGGCCGTGGTACCGGAGCCAGACGAGTTGGAATTGGACGAGCAGAAGTTGGCCGATTTCTTCTTCGGCGGGTTCTTCAGTGTTCCAGTGCGCTCCTTGACTTTGTATTCCAGTGTGCTGTGGGGCACGCCGTACACCCCCTGGGCCTTGGACACGCTCATGCGACCTCCCATCACCATGGTGATGGCCTCCTCCAACAGGTCGTGGTCATACTGGCGATACCTCCCGCGTTTCTTTCTCGGCGGCTTGTCTTTGTCCCGGACGCCTCCCCCGTCTTCTGAATCATCCAGGGAGGAGCCGCGTCGCCCAAGGCGATGGGGCGACTGGTTGCCGCTGCCCGGGCAGCCGTGTGGTAAGACGGGCGGTCTGACCCTGAAGAGGGACGAAGGTCTCGCAGCAGCCGCCGATGAGCTGGCGAAGGCCTCCAATGATGAGGTACGTTGTTTGAGGTTTTCGGCCACGCTGCCATTCTCCGCTGGGACGGACCTGTTATGGTCGACCACGGAGCGGACCTGAGGAATGCGCAGGGACGCGGGGGGCTCCGGACTGGGGGCGGGGCTTGCCGGGGCCTGGAGAGCGTCTCGTAGCTGGGGGAACGCTTGGCTCGGCTGGTAAAACGTCAGAGAGGAACAAGGGAAACTCAAGTCTCCGTTGTCCTCCGCAGCTCCTCCGATCTCGGCGCGTTCCGCCCACGCCGCCACCTTCTGCAGAACCAGGCGGGCTTCGCCGCCCAGCATGGACGACATCACATTGTGCGACGACGTCACTTCATCCCTGAAATCTTTGCCTCCTGGGGCGAGTTGATGTAGCATCCCCAGCCCTCCCTCAGCCCAGCCTTCCAGACCTTGCTTCAGGGCATGGGGGGGTATCCCATAAAGCAATGCGGCCCGCTGCTCCTTCAGCCTCCCTGAACGAATATCCTTCAACGCCTTGGACAGCAACCCCTCAGACAGCTCCAAGCTCCTCTCAATGTACTGCCTGCGCTGCCTCCTAGGGATGGGAGGACCAAACAGCAGGGTCAGGATGGAGGTGATGGAGGGAGTTTGATTTTGGCATAGGGGACAGGGGGGGGCAGAGCAAGGGGTCCACTCCTTTAAGCCTTGTGTTGGTAACATCACTGCGACTGTTAAGTCTCATGCCCGTCTGTTCTCACACACACACATTCTTTGTGTGCGCCAAAGCCTCTTCACGACCAGGTGGGACAGTCTGTGAATGGCCATGTGCTTTTGAGTTATCCTTCAGTGAGTCCCACTTGCCTGAAGGTTGGATTATCAAACTCATCATAACCGGATCAGTAAGAAAAAGAGGTCAAATCGTTATGAGGTAATGCAATCTTCTCCTCATTGTGCAATCCCGGGCTGTGGGCAGATGTTGTAACACGGTGCCATTGCCGTGACGTTACCGCTCAAGAGATAAAAGAGTCAACCCCGTAGAACCAACACACCAAACACATGCCAGTCTTCATAATGACTAGAGGAACAATGCACTGCCGAACAAACGACTACAACACAGCAGTGTGGAGGCCAACCCTGCAATCCATGCCACACCACTTGAAGAAATGGAGAAGACAAGAGTGCTGGACTTAGTTAGAAATGGGGCTTCCCTCACATGTTTAAGGCTACATCCACACCAATACGTTTGTGTTTCAAAATACATTTACGCCTCGCATCCGCGGTGTTTTGGAGCCGTTCTGGGTGGAAAGTGAGGCCTTTATGTCGCGTCCTTCCCGGGTGATCACGCTGCTCTCACGGGACCCCTTCCCTCGAATACCAAGCCACTACCAGTGGTTATGGATGAGAAGAAGTAAAAGGCGTGTCTGACCTCGTTAGCTAGCCGCAGCTGCAGTGCAGCTCAATGTTAAATGGTATAATGCGAGTGTTGCATACATGCGCTGGCAAGCTACTTTCAAGGGATTTGCCTGCAGCGACCCGGCAGCGTCATCAGCCCGGTGGAGCTGAGGATGGAAGGCTGTGTTTGTGCTTTTGAGGGGCCAATGGACATAAAAAAAAAAAACAAGGCCTTTTCTTTATCTGTTTTGTTCTGCACAACCATTGTGAAGCTCACAAAGAAACTGTGACCGAACAAAAGCATAAACTCTGGTCCTCAGAGCGAAGGGGAGTCCCAGCGCCACGGCCCGTCGGGTATCAATCAAGCCCTTATAAGATAGGGAGCACAATGATACGCTTTTACAATGTCAGCCATACCATCATACGGGAGAGCGGGGGGGGTGTGGCTGAGCCGCCGATGCCCCAAGCAAGCCTCAAAGTTGTTTTTTATGTTTAGTTCTCCACTGCTCGCTTCGTTAGTGCCGCTCCGATGGGCACGTGCACAGATATATGCACGCACACACACACACACACACACACACACACACACACAGGTGTGCAGACACCCACCAGCGGACACGGTGAGGAGGGGGGGGGCAATCGGAAAATGTCTCTGTAACTAAGTAACCAACTTCAGAGTAGACAGCCTGCTTCCTGTTTGCGCCACCCCTACATGCGAGCGTCATGTGATATGCGGTTGATAAAGACGTTGTTGTTTCTGCTGGAACGTCTGTGTGCACGGGGAGCGTTTTAGTGTGGATGTAGGCTTAGTTGTGCTGGTTTTTGGACAGTACAAAGAGAACCTTACCCTGGGGCTTTGTGATGAGATGGTGTCGAGGACGCAGCCGAGCAGGCAGAGTTCTTGTTGGAGAGGTCGAGCACGCCATCTGTTACGAGAAGAATTCATTTGAACCGGTTTGCGTTGCAGTGCCTTGGTACCTTCAGTGGTTCAACATCAGGATCTAAAACTTTAGAAGCCAGGAAGACTCCATTGGCGTTAAATTCAGAGTGGGTTTGATGCTTTCCTACCCGGGTCACTTTCACTCTCTTTCTCCTCCGCGGTTCGGCTCACTGTGAGGTCCAGAGGGGCGTCTGGCGCTTGGGACAAAGGTGATGAGGTCCTTGTGGTGTGGACTAGGCACTTGGACGCGTACTCCAAGGCAAACCGTTGGATCATCTTCTTCATTAGCTCCTGAGCAACCAGAGGGATGCTGGCGTCACAGTCCGGGGACACATCTAATGAAGGAGGCACAGGCGCAAAAGAAATGAGACATACTGAATCAACAGGAGGGGTTTCTGTTATTCTTGTAAGATGAATCTCTCTGGGTGCCAGCACTTGGCAGGGGTGGAAAAAGGAATTCAGCATTTAACCAGTGAAACAGGAAAGGCTGGTCCGCCTTAAGGGAGCCGGAGTTGTTGCTAACTGCGGGCTTGAAGTCCTCCGCTTTAATCATCGGCTGGCTGATGAGCGGAAGCATTTATTCACCAATAAATGAGCGGGACAATTGTAGTACTACATTTGCTTAACAGGATTGTTTGATGAAGGTTATTCATACAATTTTATTTACACCAGTGTTAAAAAAAAAAAAGAACGTCTTCTAAAACCAAAATCATTTTTATCGCAATAATGAGATTTGACCATTTGTTTAACCGCCACAAGGCAGACTCACCTTTCTTGTGAAACACGGCTTGGAGGATCCTGTGCGCTGATTGGCCGCTCTCAGAGATGGCGGGAGCCTGACAGGGAGAGCATTCCGAGAGGGAGGAGAGGGGAGACGTGGCTGCAGGTAGATAATCCTAAAAGAGAAAAGAAAGTTACACCCTTGACTTATATCCATTGAGATTCTATATTTTATACAATCCTAAAAACTGTCAACAGCCATAGGTGGCTTAAATAGGCTGATTAAGTATCAAAATAAAAACATTTGGATGCGTACGCTGCAGAGTTTGTCCAGGGGAAGGTTGCAGAACGAACATTGGGCGGAACTTGCTTCCGACGACCAGTCGTCCACTTCCTCGGGTTCACAGTCTGAAAGACACAATAACATTCATAGATTAGAGGGACATAAAGGACCAAACAGGCCCATACAGTGGTCACAATACAGAATATGACAAAAGGCTGTCGTGACTACCAAACTGCATCCTCACCATTTTGTCCACGCTTAATAAAACAATATATACAAGACAATATGAAGGATACAGCCAATAACGCTCCATAAAGCTCCTGCACTTCAGAGAATCCCAGAGGTAATGCTGGATTGCAAAATAAAATACACTATATGGATTATACTAATCTCCCTACTATTAAAAATATACCGGAGTGTAGCTGAAAAGTAATATTGCAAATCAAATATTGAATTGGTCATTTCCTCTGAAAAATCATTTTCATCCCTCTAAAGCCATCATCTTTATTCATGCTCACGTCCTTGTTAACAAATACATCTTTTTATTAATTATTTCCAAGTGGGGGGGATAAGAGGCCAGTGTGTCGGACTATTTTTTCTTCTTGTTCTGGTTCAAGGTTAATACTTTATCAACTGTTTAGTCATTAATTTGTAAAGGCTTCTGTTTAAGTGGTTAGCCACTAGCTACTGTACAGTGTGGAGTCTAAACTGTTCAACCATTGTTTTTACTCAAATGAAGGTGGTAAAGTGATGTTTGGGATTACATGATTTATCGGGTGAGGAGTGGGTCAAACAGACAGATGCAAAGGGGTCTAGTTTACAGATGAAATAGATTTGCAGTTCCACAGTAAAAGAGCACTGGTTTAAGCCTGTGTGTTACAGACTGAGGGAAGGTATCGTCTATGAACGACTTGTTAAATAATTCACTAGGGCTGATCGATAGAATGAATCCCCGGACAACGGAACATATCCACCTTCTTCAGCTAGGAGTCCATTTCTAACATTATATAAAATGGCTAGTGACTCAACCCACCCACACTGTGCTACAGCCACAAAGACTCGCTACGCAAAAAAATGCTTATATAATAATCAAAAATGCTGATTCTTGTAGTATTTTTTGGTTTTTGGAAAGAAAATATGAAAGCAGAACTATGATTGCACGGTGATGACTACATTGTTTTAATGCACACACAGAAACCCACCATCAAATAAATTGAGGTCCCTCAGCAGCGGGCCATAGATTCCCTCCAGAATGCTTTCAAACCCTGCAAGACACAATAAAGAGAAACCATCCTTGAGTACTGACATGAACGTATTTAGACCAGAACTGATCTGTCATAGAAAGCTGTCAACACGTGCAACGTTTAACAAAGGACCCATATAATAATTTACTAAACAAAGCAAACAAGTGATCCGACTCCCATCAGGTGTTCGCGGTAGTTTAATGTCATTGTGCTGAACACGCATAATGTCTCCGGCTTCTGCAACATAAACACACATTTGAAAGAGGCTCACGGTGCGGAGAAAAACAGTTACCCGACATCGCAGAAACGTTCGCTTTTGTCATATTGCACTGACATGGAAACAACACCCCCCCCCCCCCCTCCCCGAAATGAACAGCAACAGCATTCATGTTAGCATAGCATGCTAGCTGGTATTTAGCACAGGCAACATATTTGTCAATAAACACATTTAGCTAATGTTCGAACAAAGTACATGATACTCCTTAATAATGCATGACCGATATCATCTCGGGCATTTAACATAATCTGACAGGATTACCGCCGGTGGACAGCGAGCTAGCTCACAGGGACAAAGAAAAGGAGCCAACTCGGAGGGCTAGCCAGCTGGTAAATATTAGCCTGGCAGACTGCACGGCTAACGTTGGCCACCTATGGAGCCAGGCTACTAGCTAGCTAGCTAGCTAGCTCCAGCTAGCTGCGAAGCAGAGAGGGGGGCTCGCGAGCCCTCAGTCGCCGGGTTGAAATCTCTTTGAAGCTCGTTCATTTTTTTTTTTTTTTTCTCTCACAAAACACGAAAGCGCAGGTTGTTCATACCGACGCAGTGTATCAATTTGTAACGCCAAGAATCAAGTTCCCGCCGAAACCCTTTCCTTTCGGCCGTGCATTTGCAACACTGCACGGTCGCCATTCTGCCGCGTCCTTCCCCCCCCCGCTCTCTCCCTCCGCCTGGGCGACAGGAAGCGGCTGTGAGCTGCTCGCGGCCGCGGCGCTCGGTTCGCGACCCGCCGCCAGAGGGAGAGGCGCGTCACCGCGGGGGCGTTTCCTTCTCCCCTTCTTAAGTAAGTAAGGCTACGCGGCATCCTTCTGGTGCATCGCATGCATAGCCCGGGGTGTCTGGGCCACTGATACAAGGCAATAAGACAAATCAGAATAAAACGAGAGTGACTTTTAACACTAAATTAGATTACCTGAATCTCAGTGTCACTTGTGAACAGATGGCGACAGGCTGAAGGGCCGCCTGCTCCTCCTCGGTGCCGCCACGTGAGAGCAGCAGAGGACTTCAGTGGCTGCAGCGTGCATCACGACGTAGGCATGAACGCGTCTCATCGACACGCTCTTTATTAGTATAATAACTCATCCTTTTATCCCCAATCACACAGATACACTTTCAGCACACCGCCGACAGGGCCCCCAAGCCCGAGACCCTTTAAGAGCCCTAGAAAACAATGAAACTGGAACATGCCCCAGTTTCATTGTTTTCCAATTTGTATGTACAATTAATGGCAGATTTAATGGAATTGAACCATGAAATAGCATTTTCCTCTGAGATAATTGACTCTAAGCTGTGCCGCAGGATAGATCACGCACGCACGCGCACGGCCAACCTGGGGCCCGGTAATCCATCGTCCCGGAGAACGGGTTGGCATCTTTGAGAAGTATAATCAACATACATTGCTCCTTCTCGCTGCACCGTTGTGTCCACTGATGTACGGAGAGTTGGCAGAACGTGGTTTTTACTGATGAGCGGCAGCACAGCACCGAGGTGGGGGTCCTGCTGCTTCCCCTGCAGCAGCCCAGAGCAACATTTAACACCTCAGCCACCGACATATCTCGTTACTGCACCCAACACGCAGTTATAAATGCAGTTAGGGCCACTCAGAGGTGTGTGTGTGTGTGTATGTGTGAGAGAGCCCGGCCATGACACCTGGATCTTGTTATGTAGTGCAGAAGAGAGGTGGGGGGCAGTAGCTACACATTATGGTCCACCTCAGTTGCAATGCCTCATTGAGTGCACACACAATCAACCAGATATTGGATGTGAGTAACTCATCCCCTCAGAATAATAGAGGCAGGGTTGAGGACTAAACCGTCCATTTTACCGCTTCTTGTCATATCACCTCCAAATCTACCCCATTGTCTCTTAAATTCCCTCCCCTCAGTTCCCTGTAGAGGGCGCTACTGCAGACGCTCGTTAAAATAAAAGGCTTTCTGCCTGTTAAATTTACAGGTGCATTCTGTACGTTTTTGTTTGCACTCCATATGTCATTAAAACGCCCTCACCTGTATAATAGAAACATGATTTCGCTGGTATCGGTGGGGTTATTGTTGCTTACAGCTCCGCCCTGAAACTGACTGTGACGCATAGTTCCCATAGTTTTATTTTTCTTTCTGTTTTCTTAAGGTCCTAAAAGACGTCTTGCTGAGTTTACGGCGTTGTAAGTGGCGCGGTAGAAAGCTTTCACACCTGATAAATGAGAAAAGGCCTTATGTCTAAAAGCTACAGGCCTCCATCTGGGGCCTGGCTTCTTTTTCAAGTTGGCGATTTGTGGCAGCTGATGGATTGAGTACATTGTGTGTGTGCCAACATGTTTAATGACATGTATGCCAAATGAAGCATCGGCGCTGGGGCGAAAGCGCAGCCACACCGGATCGGGAGAATCAAGGTCGAGTAGTCGCAGACCTCCACTGGGCTTTTAAGCGGGGCTCTTTTCAAACGTGATTTCCCGGAAAAATCACTTATTTACGCTTCTAAGGGCTTGGCATTGTTTTTATGAAAACATACTGTGGCGAGAGGAATACAAATACAAATATGGCAATGGTTATTTTTTGGAGTGCATGTGCAGAAGGGCCCATATTATGTATGAGTTGTGTGTGTGGGAGGTGAGAGCTTTATGGTTGGAACGTGGCCACTGTGATTACCACAGAGGTGTAGCACAGGCTCCGATGTTCAAGCCAAGTACTCACAGAAAATCTGTTTGGAATGCCGTGGCTTCAAATGAGAGCTGGGAGTTGATGTGTGGACGGCTATTACTGATTTGTGACACAGCATGACTGTGCATTCCTTTATAAAACTCAGCCGATACCTTTGCATGAAGCTGTGCATTGCATCTGTATCGGAGCAATATGAGAGGAAGAAAAAATGGCAGTGAAGTAAGAAAGGGAAGTTCAATCCAAGCACAACTAAGCCTACATCCACACTAAAACGCTCCCCGTGCACACAGACGTTCCAGCAGAAACAACAACGTCTTTATCAACCGCATATCACATGACGCTCGCATGTCGTGGTGGTGCAAACAGGAAGCAGGCTGTCTACTCTGAAGTTGGTTACTTAGTTACAGAGACATTTTCCGATTGCCCCCCCCCTCCTCACCGTGTCCGCTGGTGGGTGTCTGCACACCTGTGTGTGTGTGTGTGTGTGTGTGTGTGTGAGTGGACGCACAGCTGAGCCCCCCCCCCCTTCACTCTTCCTGTCCGTCTGAGCTGTCTGTCTCTGGTGCGTCTGAGCAGGCCTCTGACGGGGTTCGGGGGAAGCGGCTTGTTTTTTAATGGAGGTAAAAGGTAAAACGGGGCACTGGGGGCCAACGCAGCCCAGGAGCAGTTCAGAGGATTAGCACTAATTCTGCACACAACAAAGCACTTGACTTTGATGCAACCCCCTGTAAAAATGAGAGAAAAATGAAATTGCATTCTTTTGGGTCATTGAAGCGAGGAAGTATTTGACACGATGTTCTACATGCAAACAGCTGTGAATAGTAAAATGTTACATGAATAGAAACTCTCCCGCATTAAGCACTGCTAACTACATGAACTAAAACAGTGAAGGTGTTTCACTGCTGCACTTCCACTGTCTTTGGTGTCTTTAGTGGAAACTTACCTTTGCTCCCGTCTCTCAATTGTGTTATTTTTCTGCTAAATATATTAGAAAGGTGCCTCCTTCTCAGTGATAGAACGAAGGTCAATAAGGCTGGGCAGGCCCGTCTAATCCAGCCCACGTGCTATTAGCGCTTTGTCCATTCTCTCGCCTGCTGTAATAAAGCCAACAGACTCTGAAATCTATGCTAATGTGTGTGTGGGGGGAGGGGTGGAGGGAACAAACCTGGGCCACAAATGAGACCGCACAGGTTATGATTTACGCACACATCAACCCGATGAATACAAGCTCATCCACGCACAGATGTTGCGACTAATTGGGGTTGAGTGTGCGGGCGCGCAGAGCTGCTGCTGGTGATTGGCTCTAAGTGTGCGCCGTGTTTCTGGTTGACGAAAATAGACCACACAGCAACGCTTCCCTCCTTCACCTCCCACACACACATGATTGAATCAGGAATTGGATCAAACACAGTGGGGTACAGCTGTATGTAAAAAGCATGTGTGTGTGTGTGTGTGTGTTGTACGACAGAGAACACGTTTGGCAGTAGAATGTCCGTCAGTGATTGTGCTGACGGATGGAGGGTGTGTTGGAGCGGCTGGTGTCCGGCATGCCATCTCACGCCATTCAACTTTTGGTAGGACGGGATGTCTCTGTGTCTTTAGGGAAGGGAGTGACTTTATGAGTCTGACTGGAGGAAGTGGGTTGAGAAAGGAAGGGCACCGCTCAAGAGATTAATCCTGCTCCTCGTCCAAGTATCTGTGTGTGTGTGTGTGTGTGTGAGACAACTGTTGTGTTCATACCACAGTTGGCGAGACATCCTGTCGGGCTCGGCGGCACAGCGGGAAGGCGGCGTAACCTTTTGACTCCACTGCGTGTAGCCTATGTGGCATGTATGTATGTGTGTGTGTGTGTGGACACGCTGACAGGATTTACTATTGGTCGGTCCATCCTGTCACCCCCTCGTAAACTCCCGGACACGCTGGGATCCCAGAAGGAGTCAGAGTAAAAGCTAAAGAGGATAGTCTGGTGCTCAGGTTCAGCACTGCGTGGCCTCCTAGCAGCGAGGCGAGCGTCATTGGGCCTGGGAGCGGTCCTCCTTTCCACATAGAAAACATTTGAAATGTCTTTGTGTAAATCGGATTCGGTTGTGTAAATATTAGGCTGTCAGTAGATTTAAAAAATGAATTAATCCCGATTAAAATCTCCCAACATTTAGCCGGGACGTTTTCCAAACTGCTGTCCTTTAGGGACACAGTGGTGGTCCCCTGCAGACTGTGCAGATGTTGAGATGGAAGTAGATGTAACCAAAAGGTGTTCCTCAGCGAGGTGGTGTGTGTGCACTACAACAGGCAAACCAAATGAATTGGAAGCATAATTTATTTCACTCTGGATCACAAACGACAGTAAAAACAGACAACCTGTCAGGAAGGGGGGGAGGCAGGACTCAAACAAAAAGACTTTAATGGTCAAAAATTCCAAAAAGCAAAAAGGCCAAGGGGCAAAAACGCAGACAGGAACCAGGAACATGGACATGGACTTCCGGAACATTCAACAATGTTGAATGGGACAAGAGACACACATGGCTTAAATACACTGGGAAGGTGCAGGTGATTGGACACAGGTGGAAACAATGACACGGCAGACAATCACAGGGAAAGACAGGAAGTTACCAGGGAAACATGATGCAGAAAACTCCAAAATAAAACAAGACGTGAACCCCAAAGCGTGACAGAATCCCCCCTCAAGGGCCGAATTCCAGAAGGCCCTAAAACAGTAGAGAAGAGACAAGGGTCGGGTGGGAGGGAGCCAAGAGACGAGGACCGGTCCACCCGGGGAACTCCGGCGGGCGGCCCGGGGGGCAGTCAGTTGGCCGGGGAACCTCTGGGGGTCGGCCCGGAGGGTGGTCAAAAATTCCAAAAAGCAAAAAGGCCAAGGGGCAAAAACGCAGACAGGAACCAGGGACAGGGACAGGGACATGGACATGGACTTCCAGAACATTCATCAAGTGACAAGAGACACACATGGCGTAAATCGGATCTAAAATATTTGATCTCATTTTTCTCAGCCACAACAATCTCATCGATTAACGAGTTAACTCTAGTAAATTCATATACATACAT